GTCCCACGTCCCTCCCTCCCCCCTTCCTGGGGCGGGACAGTGTTCCACCCTCCCCCCTGGGGCCGGACAGTGTCCCCACCCTCCTCCCTGGTGCCGGACAGTGTCCCCACCCTCCCCCCTGGGGCGGGACAGTGTCCCCACCCTCCCCCCTGGGGCCGGACAGTGTCCCACCCTCCTCCCTGGGGCGGGACAGTGTCCCCACCCTCCTCCCTGGGGCGGGACAGTGTCCCCACCCTCCCCCCTGGGGCCGGACAGTGTCCCACCCTCCTCCCTGGGGCCGGACAGTGTCCCCACCCTCCCCCCTGGTGCCGGACAGTGTCCCCACCCTCCCCCCTGGGGCCGGACAGTGTCCCACCCTCCCCCCTAGGGCCGGACAGTGTCCCACCCTCCCCCCTGGTGCCGGACAGTGTCCCCACCCTCCCCCCTGGGGCCGGACAGTGTCCCCACCCTCCCCCCTGGGGCCGGACAGTGTCCCACCCTCCCCCCTGGGGCCGGACAGTGTCCCCACCCTCCCCCCTGGGGCCGGACAGTGTCCCACCCTCCCCCCTGGGGCCAGACACTGGCACCCTACCGCTTGCTGAATTAACCTAACAAGTAGATTAGAGGAAGGCCCCGTGCAAGAGGAGCGAGGCTTGAGGTGGCTGCTACAGGCAAGAGGAATGTGGTGCATGAGGCCGGATGCTTGACTGTAGTGCAGCATGAGCACCACACTAACCACAACCACCACCACATGGGTAAGTATGAAACTCGCCACGTCACCTCACACTCCCACATCCTACCACCCACAACCACCATCGCTAACACCGCCAATGGACCCGAGTGTGAATTATTTACTCATAGAGTTGATAGTGACCCCTCACCATCCCTTCCAGGGGCTCCATCACCTCTATTAGAACTGAATAATTCTACAATAATCAATTAAGATTCTGTTATACAGTGGACGATACATGAGTCAAGCTTCAGTGTGACTATTGGCCGTGTTAGTAACGTAGCTTGTGACTGGTTGATGGGGCTTTGTGATGTTACCAGAATGTAAACTATTGAGCTTCTTGGGTTTACGCTGTTGGATGCATGAGTTTACCAGTGTCTTGGTGAATGCTGTCCCTCCAGCTTCCAGAATGCCAGCCACACACCCGCCACGCATCTCGACCGTCTCCAGCTTTCTCCAGAAAGAAAATACCTTTTGTGATCTTTTTTTCTTGAGAACTGTGAGTGGTGTTGATGGAGCGTCTTAGGCGGGGAATGTTTGTGGTCATTAAGGAGCTGCTAAACGCACGGTGCTTCTCTGCGTCACGCACAAGGTCACCATGCTGCCACTGACGCACCTCCTGCCATAGGAGGCTGCGTCACGCACATGGTCACCATGCTGTCACTGACGCACCTCCTGCCATAGAAGGCTGCGTCACGCACAAGGTCACCATGCTGCCACTGACGCACCTCCTGCCATAGAAGGCTGCGTCACGCACAAGGTCACCATGCTGCCACTGACGCACCTCCTGCCATAGAAGGCTGCGTCACGCACAAGGTCACCATGCTGCCACTGACGCACCTCCTGCCATAGAAGGCTGCGTCACGCACAAGGTCACCATGCTGCCACTGACGCACCTCCTGCCATAGAAGGCTGCGTCACGCACAAGGTCACCATGCTGCCACTGACACGTCCCTGACAACTGCTACGTCAGACAGCTCTCCCTGATATCCTGAGTGCGTCAGTGCGTCAGCAGACGGTGAAGTGTGGTGACGTAGAGAGGTGATAACAAAGCAGATAACGATATGTGCGGGAATGCTATTCCCTGGAGCTTATATATAAACCTGTAACCTGTGCTTGTCTGTTCTGTACTCACCCCAAGTGCTTCTGTACCTCTTGCTTTCACCTTTACATCGAGTCCTCGCTCGCTAACCGAATGGCTGCTATCCTCCTGCTCTTTCCCACTATTTTGGACCATATTGGCTTGATAACGGACTGTGGGTTATCTGCTTCCATGTTATATATTCACACATTAACTATAAACAATGTCATATAAAGTGTAAGTAGTTATTGTTGTAAGTAAACTGTGTAAGTAGATATTAAGTAAGTCTTGAGTCGCTTTCTCTCCGTTTGTCTCCGTACTCAGCATGATATTACTGCCGATATGCGCGTATTTTGTATTTGTTTGTGGCGATGTAAATGCTTCAGTCACCCCGAGAATTTGGCTCGGAGTGCAGCGATAAACCGACGTTTGAGCATGTGTGTGCGTGTGAGTGTGTGTGTGTGTGAGTGTGTGTGAGGTCTGCGTGTGTCTCTGGCTTAGTCGTTTGGCTGCATGGCGGCGGCCCGCGTCCTCTCCCCTACTAACCCACATCCCATTTTCTGTCGTCTTGGATAACCTCCTCCTCCCCATTTTCTGTGTCTTGTTTGCTCGTACTCCCGTTTTCTGTATCTTGTAAACGCCATCCTGTTTCCACTATAAATATCTAACCTCGTGCCGTTTTCTCTATAATTGCAAACTTTACATTCCAATATAAATGGAAAGTGTATTGCCTTAAAATCCACCCGCACAGCCCATAAACTATAGATATAAGCATGCACAAGTTATCACATGTGATTCAATTTTGCGTCCTATTGACATGTTTATAATAGAATACAGTCATGCAACTGGTTGAGGACGCCACATAGACGGTTGTGGTGGACCTGTCAGTCGACTCAGTCACCACAGCTACCAGACAACCAGACGCCACAGTCACCATAGCTACCACATAACCAGACGCCACAGTAGCTACCATGTAAACTGCATTAGATTTTTTTCACAGACGTTAACGAGCAATTCTAGACATTGCAAGCATAGGAGGAGTAACTAGCCATGCAGTATACACAACAGACTTAACAGAGATCAGGTATAGAACGTGTAACTGTCTCATATATCTCAGAAGTTAGATACAGTCTACAGACTGGTCAGGTCAGAAGGCCTCGCAACGACAGGAGTTTCCGGTCACAGTCACGAGTATATTGATGAGCTCGCCCCCATAGACGGGAGACAGGAGAGTGATTCGCTGATCAAGACGGGCACCACACACGACCACTCGCTTACAGTCACACTAAACTGATCATGTCAGAGTGTATTGACGAGTTCCCTACCAGTTCCTCTGCCCCCCCCTCCCTCCCTCCAGTCTTGGCAGCCCTACCCCCACCCACCCCCCCTCCTATGCAGGAAGCCCTGCCCTCAGCCCTGGGCCTCACGCACCCCCTTTGAGTGCCCTCAGCCCTCCCCCCCTCCCTCCTGTCCAGGCTGCCCTGCCCCCACCCCCCTCCTGTGCCCTTAGTCCTGCCTTCCCCTCCCTCCTGTGCCCTCAGCCCTGCCCCCACCCCCTCCTGTGCCCACCCCCTGCCCCGGACACTGCTGGACCACAAAAGACACATTACCAGCCGCATCACTAATAAATGCAACAGGTGTCCACTATGCTCCTCACCACCACAAAGTTGTCCTCATGCTTCATGACCTCCCTCATGGCCCCACATGACCTCCCTCATGGGCCCTCATGGCCCCACATGACCTCCCTCATGGGCCCTCATGGCCCCACATGACCTCCCTCATGGCCCCTCATGGCTGGACTCTAAATCAATTCCATTTTAAAACCGGTTGCAACCCGTTCTCGCACTTATAGTCAATATCTTGCTTATGAATAAGTACCTATGTGACATACTAATTTATTGTGAATATTTGAGTTTACCTTGAAAAGTTGAATAGAAAACCACAACCTAACCTAACCTTCTTAGTATGTTAAGACATTACAATTAGTACTGAACCTATACCTATACTGATATTAAAGTTTTATAAAAATAATAAAACAAAACTAAAATATTTAAATAAATTGTAAAGTAACTCAGGATATTGTCAAATTTTGTATAAAATCTCTATTGTTTAATAAAAATGAGAGGAAAAGTTAGTGCCTTGGAAAAAAATATGGCTTGGAATGTCACATATGTACTTATTTATAAGCGAAATAGTGACTATAAGCAATAAGTCATATATGTGCTGTTTTGTGCGAGAGCGGGTTGCATTTTGAGGGGCTTTGTCCCCACGACTTAAACTGCTTGTTATGAGGACATTTTGTGTGTGGTGGAGGAGAGGTGTTTCATCAGAGGAGGTAGCTCCCTCCTGCAGCTGCTGTGGTGGCAGCATGCTCCTGCTGCTGCTGTGGTGGCAGCATGCTCCTGCAGCTGCTGTGGTGGCAGCTGCTGTGGTGGCAGCATGCTCCTGCAGCTGCTGTGGTGGCAGCATGCTCCTGCAGCTGCTGTGGTGGCAGCATGCTCCTGCAGCTGCTGTGGTGGCAGCATGCTCCTGCAGCTGCTGTGGTGGCAGCATGCTCCTGCAGCTGATGTGGTGGCAGCATGCTCCTGCAGCTGCTGTGGTGGCAGCATGCTCCTGCAGCTGCTGTGATGGCAGCATGCTCCTGCAGCTGCTGTGGTGGCAGCATGCTCCTGCAGCTGCTGTGATGGCAGCATGCTCCTGCAGCTGCTGTGGTGGCAGCATGCTTCTGCAGCTGCTGTGGTGGCAGCATGCTCCTGCAGCTGCTGTGGTGGCAGCATGCTCCAGCTGCTGCTGTGGTGGCAGCATGCTCCTGCAGCTGCTGTGGTGGCAGCATGCTCCTGCAGCTGCTGTGGTGGCAGCATGCTCCTGCTGCTGCTGTGGTGGCAGCATGCTCCTGCAGCTGCTGTGGTGGCAGCATGCTCCTGCAGCTGCTGTGGTGGCAGCATGCTCCTGCAGCTGCTGTGATGGCAGCATGCTCCTGCAGCTGCTGTGATGGCAGCATGCTCCTGCAGCTGCTGTGATGGCAGCATGCTCCTGCAGCTGCTGTGGTGGCAGCATGCTCCTGCAGCTGCTGTGGTGGCAGCATGCTGCTGCAGCTGCTGTGGTGGCAGCATTCTCACGCAGCTGCTCTTACATTTTTTCTTGCAGCATTAACCACAACCACCAACACCACCACATCCGGTACAGGCACCACCACACTAACCCAACTAGATGGTGAGACTCACATCACCACCGCGCCACCTACCGCACCACCCGCCACGCCACCCGCCACGCCACCCTCCACGCCCCCGCCCACGCCCCCACCCACGCCCCCGCCCTATGGCGAGACGGAGCCCTCCTACCCCCCATCCACTGTTGAAGCCCACTACCACTGTGACCCCCCAGGCCACCAGTTACACACCAAGCGGAAGACACAGAAGACACCGCCACTGTGAAGACCACTCCCCAGGCACACCAGGTAGACACCACCACCTCGCGGCCTGAAGACACCGCCACTGTGAAGACCACTCCCCAGGCACACCAGGTAGACACCACCACCTCCGGCCTGAAGACACCGCCACTGTGAAGACCACTCCCCAGGCACACCAGGTAGACACCACCACCTCGCGGCCTGAAGACACCGCCACTGTGAAGACCACTCCCCAGGCACACCAGGTAGACACCACCACCTCGCGGCCTGAAGACACCGCCACTGTGAAGACCACTCCCCAGGCACACCAGGTAGACACCACCACCTCGCGGCCTGAAGACACCGCCACTGTGAAGACCACTCCCCAGGCACACCAGGTAGACACCACCACCTCGCGGCCTGAAGACACCGCCACTGTGAAGACCACTCCCCAGGCACACCAGGTAGACACCACCACCTCGCGGCCTGAAGACACCGCCACTGTGAAGACCACTCCCCAGGCACACCAGGTAGACACCACCACCTCGCGGCCTGAAGACACCGCCACTGTGAAGACCACTCCCCAGGCACACCAGGTAGACACCACCACCTCGCGGCCTGAAGACACCGCCACTGTGAAGACCACTCCCCAGGCACACCAGGTAGACACCACCACCTCGCGGCCTGAAGACACCGCCACTGTGAAGACCACTCCCCAGGCACACCAGGTAGACACCACCACCTCGCGGCCTGAAGACACCGCCACTGTGAAGACCACTCCCCAGGCACACCAGGTAGACACCACCACCTCGCGGCCTGAAGACACCGCCACTGTGAAGACCACTCCCCAGGCACACCAGGTAGACACCACCACCTCGCGGCCTGAAGACACCGCCACTGTGAAGACCACTCCCCAGGCACACCAGGTAGACACCACCACCTCGCGGCCTGAAGACACCGCCACTGTGAAGACCACTCCCCAGGCACACCAGGTAGACACCACCACCTCGCGGCCTGAAGACACCGCCACTGTGAAGACCACTCCCCAGGCACACCAGGTAGACACCACCACCTCGCGGCCTGAAGACACCGCCACTGTGAAGACCACTCCCCAGGCACACCAGGTAGACACCACCACCTCGCGGCCTGAAGACACCGCCACTGTGAAGACCACTCCCCAGGCACACCAGGTAGACACCACCACCTCGCGGCCTGAAGACACCGCCACTGTGAAGACCACTCCCCAGGCACACCAGGTAGACACCACCACCTCGCGGCCTGAAGACACCGCCACTGTGAAGACCACTCCCCAGGCACACCAGGTAGACACCACCACCTCGCGGCCTGAAGACACCGCCACTGTGAAGACCACTCCCCAGGCACACCAGGTAGACACCACCACCTCGCGGCCTGAAGACACCGCCACTGTGAAGACCACTCCCCAGGCACACCAGGTAGACACCACCACCTCGCGGCCTGAAGACACCGCCACTGTGAAGACCACTCCCCAGGCACACCAGGTAGACACCACCACCTCGCGGCCTGAAGACACCGCCACTGTGAAGACCACTCCCCAGGCACACCAGGTAGACACCACCACCTCGCGGCCTGAAGACACCGCCACTGTGAAGACCACTCCCCAGGCACACCAGGTAGACACCACCACCTCGCGGCCTGAAGACACCGCCACTGTGAAGACCACTCCCCAGGCACACCAGGTAGACACCACCACCTCGCGGCCTGAAGACACCGCCACTGTGAAGACCACTCCCCAGGCACACCAGGTAGACACCACCACCTCGCGGCCTGAAGACACCGCCACTGTGAAGACCACTCCCCAGGCACACCAGGTAGACACCACCACCTCGCGGCCTGAAGACACCGCCACTGTGAAGACCACTCCCCAGGCACACCAGGTAGACACCACCACCTCGCGGCCTGAAGACACCGCCACTGTGAAGACCACTCCCCAGGCACACCAGGTAGACACCACCACCTCGCGGCCTGAAGACACCGCCACTGTGAAGACCACTCCCCAGGCACACCAGGTAGACACCACCACCTCGCGGCCTGAAGACACCGCCACTGTGAAGACCACTCCCCAGGCACACCAGGTAGACACCACCACCTCGCGGCCTAAAGACACCGCCACTGTGAAGACCACTCCCCAGGCACACCAGGTAGACACCACCACCTCGCGGCCTGAAGACACCGCCACTGTGAAGACCACTCCCCAGGCACACCAGGTAGACACCACCACCTCGCGGCCTAAAGACACCGCCACTGTGAAGACCACTCCCCAGGCACACCAGGTAGACACCACCACCTCGCGGCCTAAAGACACCACCACGGCGGATGGCGCCACGACTCTTCCCGCGGGTGATGGAGGTCTTCCCACTCTCCCTACCATAAGAGAGAGTGTACCGACCTCTGCCCCTGTCGACGAGGCAGTGACGTCTCCTCCTCCAGGGGCAGTGCCAACCCTGCCGACGGTTGAAGGCGAGAGAGAGACGGCCACTTCGACACCTTACAGCAGCGTGCCAGACACGACACCACCGCAGGGGCTCGTGGTGCCAACCATACCTCCAGTGGACATGGAGATGGACTCGTCATTACTGACCACACCTGCAGGCACAGAGACTGGCAGGCCCATAGTGTTCCCCCCTGCCATCACCCTGCCCACACCTGCAGGCACAGAGACTGGCAGGCCCATAGTGTTCCCCCCTGCCATCACCCTGCCCACACCTGCAGGCACAGAGACTGGCAGGCCCATAGTGTTCCCCCCTGCCATCACCCTGCCCACACCTGCAAGCACAGAGACTGGCAGGCCCATAGTGTTCCCCCCTGCCATCACCCTGCCCACCCAGGTCACTGCCCACCCTGGCTACCAGCCCACCCACTACCCACTCATTCCAGGCTACGTGGAGCCCACCAACGCACCTCCACGCCCGCCCTACACTGGAACTCCAATTATATTTCCAACTTCAAATCAAACGGATTCTCCACTTCCATATAAGACTGACAGGCCACTGGTTCCTGCCACTGACAGACCACTGGTTCCTGCCACTGACAGACCACTGGTTCCTGCCACTGACAGGCCACTGATTCCTGCCACTGACAGGCCACTGGTTCCTACCACTGACAGACCACTGGTTCCTGCCACTGACAGGCCACTGATTCCTGCCACTGACAGGCCACTGGTTCCTACCACTGACAGACCACTGGTTCCTGCCACTGACAGACCACTGGTTCCTGCCACTGACAGGCCACTGATTCCTGCCACTGACAGACCACTGGCTCCTGCCACTGACAGACCAGTTAGTCCACACTATACTGCCACTGACAGACCAGATAGTCCAGACTATACTGCCACTGACAGACCAGTTAGTCCACACTATACTGCCACTGACAGACCAGATAGTCCACACTATACTGCCACTGACAGACCAGTTAGTCCACACTATACTCCCACTGACAGACCAGTTAGTCCACACTATACTCCCACTGACAGACCAGATAGTCCACACTATACTGCCACTGACAGACCAGATAGTCCACACTATACTCCCACTGACAGACCAGTTAGTCCACACTATACTGCCACTGACAGACCAGTTAGTCCACACTATACTGCCACTGACAGACCAGTTAGTCCTCCACACTATACTGCCACTGACAGACCAGATAGTCCACACTATACTGCCACTGACAGACCAGATATTCCACACTATACTGCCACTGACAGACCACTGGTTCCTGCCACTGACAGACCAGATAGTCCACACTATACTGCCACTGACAGACCAGATAGTCCACACTATACTGCCACTGACAGACCAGATAGTCCACACTATACTGCCACTGACAGACCACTGGTTCCTGCCACTGACAGACCAGATAGTCCAGACTATACTGCCACTGACAGACCAGATAGTCCAGACTATACTGCCACTGACAGACCACTGGTTCCTGCCACTGACAGACCACTGGCTCCTGACACTGACAGACCAGTTAGTCCACACTATACTGCCACTGACAGACCAGATAGTCCACACTATACTGCCACTGACAGACCAGATAGTCCACACTATACTGCCACTGACAGACCACTGGTTCCTGCCACTGACAGACCAGATAGTCCACACTATACTGCCACTGACAGACCAGATAGTCCACACTATACTGCCACTGACAGACCAGATAGTCCACACTATACTGCCACTGACAGACCAGATAGTCCACACTATACTGCCACTGACAGACCACTGGTTCCTGCCACTGACAGACCAGATAGTCCACACTATACTGCCACTGACAGACCAGATAGTCCACACTATACTGCCACTGACAGACCAGATAGTCCACACTATACTGCCACTGACAGACCAGATAGTCCACACTATACTGCCACTGACAGACCAGTTAGTCCACACTATACTGCCACTGACAGACCAGTTAGTCCACACTATACTGCCACTGACAGACCACTGGTTCCTGCCACTGACAGACCAGATAGTCCACACTATACTGCCACTGACAGACCAGATAGTCCACACTATACTGCCACTGACAGACCAGTTAGTCCACACTATACTGCCACTGACAGACCAGTTAGTCCACACTATACTGACACTGACAGACCAGTTAGTCCACACTATACTGCCACTGACAGACCAGATAGTCCACACTATACTGCCACTGACAGACCAGACAGTCCACACTATACTGCCACTGACAGACCAGATAGTCCACACTATACTGCCACTGACAGACCATATAGTCCACACTATACTGCCACTGACAGACCACTGGCTCCTGACACTGACAGACCAGTTAGTCCACACTATACTGCCACTGACAGACCAGTTAGTCCACACTATACTGCCACTGACAGACCAGATAGTCCACACTATACTGCCACTGACAGACCACTGGCTCCTGACACTGACAGACCAGTTAGTCCACACTATTCTGCCACTGACAGACCAGTTAGTCCACACTATACTGCCACTGACAGACCAGATAGTCCACACTATACTGCCTCTGACAGACCAGTTAGTCCACACTATACTGCCACTGACAGACCAGATAGTCCACACTATACTGCCACTGACAGACCAGTTAGTCCACACTATACTGCCACTGACAGACCAGATAGTCCACACTATACTGCCACTGACAGACCACTGGTTCCTGCCACTGATAGACCAGATAGTCCACACTATACTGCCACTGACAGACCAGATAGTCCACACTATACTGCCACTGACAGACCAGATAGTCCACACTATACTGCCACTGACAGACCAGATAGTCCACACTATACTGCCACTGACAGACCAGATAGTCCACACTATACTGCCACTGACAGACCAGATAGTCCACACTATACTGCCACTGACAGACCAGTTAGTCCACACTATACTGCCACTGACAGACCAGATAGTCCACACTATACTGCCACTGACAGACCAGATAGTCCACACTATACTGCCACTGACAGACCAGATAGTCCACACTATACTGCCACTGACAGACCAGATAGTCCACACTATACTGCCACTGACAGACCAGATAGTCCACACTATACTGCCACTGACAGACCAGATAGTCCACACTATACTGCCACTGACAGACCACTGGTTCCTGCCACTGACAGACCAGATAGTCCAGACTATACTGCCACTGGCAGACCACTGGTTCCTGCCACTGACAGACCACTGGCTCCTGACACTGACAGACCAGTTAGTCCACACTATACTGCCACTGACAGACCAGATAGTCCACACTATACTGCCACTGACAGACCAGATAGTCCACACTATACTGCCACTGACAGACCAGATAGTCCACACTATACTGCCACTGACAGACCAGATAGTCCACACTATACTGCCACTGACAGACCACTGGTTCCTGCCACTGACAGACCAGATAGTCCACACTATACTGCCACTGACAGACCAGATAGTCCACACCATACTGCCACTGACAGACCAGATAGTCCACACTATACTGCCACTGACAGACCAGATAGTCCACACTATACTGCCACTGACAGACCAGATAGTCCACACTATACTGCCACTGACAGACCACTGGTTCCTGCCACTGACAGACCAGATAGTCCACACTATACTGCCACTGACAGACCAGATAGTCCACACTATACTGCTACTGACAGACCAGATAGTCCACACTATACTGCCACTGACAGACCACTGGCTCCTGACACTGACAGACCAGTTAGTCCACACTATACTGCCACTGACAGACCAGATAGTCCAGACTATACTGCCACTGACAGACCAGTTAGTCCACACTATACTGCCACTGACAGACCAGATAGTCCACACTATACTGCCACTGACAGACCAGTTAGTCCACACTATACTGCCACTGACAGACCAGTTAGTCCACACTATACTGCCACTGACAGACCAGATAGTCCACACTATACTGCCACTGACAGACCAGTTAGTCCACACTATACTGCCACTGACAGACCAGTTAGTCCACACTATACTGCCACTGACAGACCAGTTAGTCCACACTATACTGCCACTGACAGACCAGATAGTCCACACTATACTGCCACTGACAGACCAGATAGTCCACACTATACTGCCACTGACAGACCACTGGTTCCTGCCACTGACAGACCAGATAGTCCAGACTATACTGCCACTGACAGACCACTGGTTCCTGCCAGTGACAGACCACTGGCTCCTGACACTGACAGACCAGTTAGTCCACACTATACTGCCACTGACAGACCAGATAGTCCACACTATACTGCCACTGACAGACCAGATAGTCCACACTATACTGCCACTGACAGACCAGATAGTCCACACTATACTGCCACTGACAGACCACTGGTTCCTGCCACTGACAGACCAGATAGTCCACACTATACGGCCACTGACAGACCAGATAGTCCACACTATACTGCCACTGACAGACCAGATAGTCCACACTATACTGCCACTGACAGACCAGATAGTCCACACTATACTGCCACTGACAGACCAGATAGTCCACACTATACTGCCACTGACAGACCAGATAGTCCACACTATACTGCCACTGACAGACCAGATAGTCCACACTATACTGCCACTGATAGACCAGATAGTCCACACTATACTGCCACTGACAGACCACTGGTTCCTGCCACTGACAGACCAGATAGTCCACACTATACTGCCACTGACAGACCAGATAGTCCACACTATACTGCCACTGACAGACCAGTTAGTCCACACTATACTGCCACTGACAGACCAGATAGTCCACACTATACTGCCACTGACAGACCAGATAGTCCACACTATACTGCCACTGACAGACCACTGGTTCCTGCCACTGACAGACCAGATAGTCCACACTATACTGCCACTGACAGACCAGATAGTCCACACTATACTGCCACTGACAGGCCAGTTAGTCCACACTATACTGCCACTGACAGACCAGATAGTCCACACTATACTGCCACTGACAAACCAGATAGTCCACACTATACTGCCACTGACAGACCAGTTAGTCCACACTATACTGCCACTGACAGACCAGATAGTCCACACTATACTGCCACTGACAGACCAGATAGTCCACACTATACTGCCACTGACAGACCAGATAGTCCACACTATACTGCCACTGACAGACCACTGGTTCCTGCCACTGATAGACCAGATAGTCCACACTATACTGCCACTGACAGACCAGTTAGTCCACACTATACTGCCACTGACAGACCAGATAGTCCACACTATACTGCCACTGACAGACCAGTTAGTCCACACTATACTGCCACTGACAGACCAGATAGTCCACACTATACTGCCACTGACAGACCACTGGTTCCTGCCACTGATAGACCAGATAGTCCACACTATACTGCCACTGACAGACCAGTTAGTCCACACTATACTGCCACTGACAGACCACTGGTTCCTGCCACTGATAGACCAGATAGTCCACACTATACTGCCACTGACAGACCAGTTAGTCCACACTATACTGCCACTGACAGACCAGATAGTCCACACTATACTGCCACTGACAGACCAGTTAGTCCACACTATACTGCCACTGACAGACCACTGGTTCCTGCCACTGACAGACCAGATAGTCCACACTATACTGCCACTGACAGACCACTGGTTCCTGCCACTGACAGACCAGATAGTCCACACTATACTGCCACTGACAGACCAGATAGTCCACACTATACTGCCACTGACAGACCAGTTAGTCCACACTATACTGCCACTGACAGACCAGATAGTCCACACTATACTGCCACTGACAGACCAGATAGTCCACACTATACTGCCACTGACAGACCAGTTAGTCCACACTATACTGCCACTGACAGACCACTGGTTCCTGCCACTGACAGACCAGATAGTCCACACTATACTGCCACTGACAGACCACTGGTTCCTGCCACTGACAGACCAGATAGTCCACACTATACTGCCACTGACAGACCAGATAGTCCACACTATACTGCCACTGACAGACCAGATAGTCCACACTATACTGCCACTGACAGACCAGTTAGTCCACACTATACTGCCACTGACAGACCAGATAGTCCACACTATACTGCCACTGACAGACCAGTTAGTCCACACTATACTGCCACTGACAGACCACTGGTTCCTGCCACTGACAGACCAGATAGTCCACACTATACTGCCACTGACAGACCACTGGTTCCTGCCACTGACAGACCAGATAGTCCACACTATACTGCCACTGACAGACCACTAGTTCCTGCCACTGACAGACCAGATAGTCCACACTATACTGCCACTGACAGACCAGATAGTCCACACTATACTGCCACTGACAGACCAGATAGTCCACACTATACTGCCACTGACAGACCAGATAGTCCACACTATACTGCCACTGACAGACCAGATAGTCCACACTATACTGCCACTGACAGACCAGATAGTCCACACTATACTGCCACTGACAGACCACTGGTTCCTGCCACTGACAGACCAGATAGTCCACACTATACTGCCACTGACAGACCAGATAGTCCACACTACACTGCCACTGACAGACCAGATAGTCCACACTATACTGCCACTGACAGACCAGTTAGTCCACACTATACTGCCACTGACAGACCAGATAGTCCACACTATACTGCCACTGACAGACCAGTTAGTCCACACTATACTGCCACTGACAGACCACTGGTTCCTGCCACTGACAGACCAGATAGTCCACACTATACTGCCACTGACAGACCAGATAGTCCACACTATACTGCCACTGACAGACCAGTGGGACCTGCCGAGAGCACCAGCGAAGGCACCACAGTGCCTGAGAAGAGTACCAGTGAGGCAGGAGTGCCCACGGCGCCTGAGCTGGTGACCATAGTGAGTGAGGAGGAGCCTGGCACTACACCTGCTCTACCCCACGCCTCGCCCACTCCCTCGCCACACCTGCCCCCGCCCACCGCCTCACCAGGAGAAGTCACGCCCACGGCTCTCGTCACCACAACAGGAGCACCGCAGCCCGATAGTGAGACTGTCACTTTCCCGCCCTTCCTAGACACCTTCCCGCCCTTCCAAGATACCTCCCCGCCCTTCCCCGACACCTCCCCGCCCCTTCTCGACACCACCACAGCCTACCCCAGCCAGGCCCGCGCGTGCAGCGGGTCTGAGGAGTGCGGGGATGAGGAGGTGTGCGTGGAGGGCGTGTGCGTGGCCGGGTGCGTGGCGGCAGGGTGCGGAAGGAACACCGTGTGTGCCACCCGCCACCACCGCCCCGTGTGCAGCTGTGCGCCAGGCTACAGCGGTCACCCGCACATCAACTGCCTGCTCATACTAGGTACTTGGCCGGGCCTCGGCCCCGCCCAGCTGTTCATGCGTCGACGCATCGTCTGTCATCTCCTTGTTTCTCTCAGACTTAATCTCGTGTATTTTCAGTTTCTCTGTATATTTTTTCCCCGCAGTTTCCCGTGTCTGTCTTCGACTGTGTATGTGAGTGTGTGTGTTTGTGTAATGCGCTTACACAGTGCGCCTTGTATTTCAGGTCTCTCCTGCTTGTTCCCCTCCTACAGTCATTGTGAAGTGTATACAACACCACGTTCTTCTCATGTTCTTTGTAGATGATTGTATTTCACACACCTGTTCCCTCAGCACACCTGTAATGCGACTTCTTGTCCGGGTGGAGCAGTGTTGCTGCCCCCATTATGTGTACCTGTGTACTCACTCTCTCGCCCCCCACCCCACCCCCCAGAGGTCGTGCCCACCCCACGCCCGCCCACGCCCACCCCACGGCCGCCCACGCCCACCGCTGAGTGCCAGAGTGACGGGCAGTGTGGGCCCACGGCGCGGTGTACCGCTGGCAGATGTGTGGACCCGTGTGTTGTGGGGTCTGGCTGTGGTCTCAACGCTCACTGTACCGTCACGGGGCACCGTGCCCACTGTTGGTGCCCCCAGGGGTACCACGGTGACCCCCTCCACATGTGTCACAAAGGTACTCCCCCCACCCACCACATGTGTCACAAAGGTACTCCCCCACCCACCACATGTGTCACAAAGGTACTCCCCCAACCACCCACCACCTGTGTCACAAAGGTACTCCCCACCCTTCTACCAGTGTCACAAAGGTACTCCCCCAACCACCCACCACCTGTGTCACAAAGGTACTCCTCACCCCCACCACCTGTGTCACAAAGGTACTCCCCACCCTTCTACCAGTGTCACAAAGGTACTCCCCCACCCACCACCTGTGTCACAAAGGTACTCCCTCCACCCACCACCTGTGTCACAAAGGTACTCCCCCCACCCACCACCTGTATCACAAAGGTACTCCCCCCACCCACCACCTGTGTCACAAAGGTACTCCCCCCACCCACCACCTGTGTCACAAAGGTACTCCCCCGCCCACCACCTGTGTCACAAAGGTACTCCCCCCCGAATACCCGTCCAACACTTCCTTCCTCACTATATTTCACTGTATTACCTGTGTGTGCGTGCGTGCATGTGCATGCGCGTGTCCATGCGTGCGTGCGTATGTGTGCATGTGTAGATGTATCCATGTAGTAAATATTACCCACTGACATCTCTGTACCAAACCTTCCTCCAAATAGACAGTACGTTTTAATACTAAATGTAATAAGTGCATTCCTGACTGTCTGCATAGTACATAAATACACTAAATTGTGCTGTTACATTTACCTCCCCATATATTCTCCTCATTTTCTGTTACTACACAAAATTTTTAGGTTGAAGTTTTCGTGTTCAATTCTATATACACAAGTTTTATATATAAATAAGTTCTTTTTCAGTTTTATTAAACAATTGAGATTTTCTGCAAAATTTGAAAATATCCCGAGTTACTTTATAATTTATTGAAAGACTATAGTTTTGTTTTATTGGTTTTATAAAATTGTAATATCGATATAGTTGTAGGTTAAGTATTAATTGTAATTAAGAATCAATAAATGCTATTTACATGCTTATCCTCCTACACTAAGAAGGTTAGGTTAGGTCGTGGTTTTCTATACAGCTTTTCAGGTAAACTCTAATATTTACACTATTTTGGTACGATGCTGGCGAGTAAGTGTATTTATGTACTATTCCGATAGTCAGGATTGTACTTATGTATTACGTTTAGTATTAAAACGTTCTGTCTATTCGCAGGATGGGTTGTACACCAACTGAACGTGCTTGGGGTGCTCCTCTCATGGTGGGTGTCCCCCTCTCATGGTGGGTGTCCCCTCTCATGGTGGGTGACCCTCTCATGGTGGGTGACCCCTCCCATGGTGGGTGTCCCCTCTCATGGTGGGTGACCCTCTCATGGTGGGTGACCCCTCCCATGGTGGGTGACCCCTCCCATGGTGGGTGACCCCTCCCTCTCCCCTGCTTGTAGCACAGTTCCTCAGTATTATTACCCCCCCCCCCCTTGTCTCAGTAATGATCTTTGTCATCCAATATTTAGTGCGTTTATGGTGGTCTAACTCGTGTGTGTGTGTGTGTGTGTGTGTGTGTGTGTGTGTGTGTGTGTGTGTGTGTGTGTGTGTGTGTGTGTGTGTGTGTGTGTGTGTGTGTGTGTGTGTGTGTGTGTGTGTGTCATGTACCAGACTACTGAAGCAGCAGCAATATAAATATGCCTGTTTTTGTATCCTCTTGACAACCTGACCTACACCTGCACCACCTCCAGTGTACCTGACCTACACCTGCACCACCTCCAGTGTACCTGACCTACACCTGCACCACCTCCAGTGTGCCTGACCTACACCTGCAGGACCACCACCAGTGACGCACCACACAACCTGACCTACACCTGCAGGACCACCACCAGTGACACACCACACACAACCTGACCTACACCTGCACCACCACAGTGACACACACCACACAACCTGACCTACACCTGCACCACCACCAGTGTACCTGACCTACACCTGCAGGACCACCACCACAGTGACACACACCACACAACCTGACCTACACCTGCACCACCTCCAGTGTACCTGACCTACACCTGCACCACCTCCAGTGTACCTGACCTACACCTGCACCACCTCCAGTGTGCCTGACCTACACCTGCAGGACCACCACCACAGTGACACACACCACACAACCTGACCTACACCTGCACCACCACCAGTGTACCTGACCTACACCTGCAGGACCACCACCAGTGTACCTGACCTACACCTGCAGGACCACCACCACAGTGACACCACACAACCTGACCTACACCTGCACCACTACCAGTGTACCTGACCTACACCTGCACCACCACCAGTGACACACCACACACAACCTGACCTACACTGACCGTGAAAGGGGCGCGCATGATAGCAAGAGAGGTGTCAGTGTAGCATGATAGTGTAGAGGTGTGCGAGGTGTGTGTGGTGTGTGTGGCGACAACTGACCTCCTGCCTCTCCTGACCTTAGCACCGACCCCGGCTCCCGGCTGCGCCTCCGACCCGGCCTGCCCTGACCACCAGGTTTGCTATAACCGGGTGTGTCGCGACCCGTGTCACCTGGCCAACCCCTGCGCCGCCCTGGCCACCTGCCACACACAGGGGCACCGCCCCCTCTGTACCTGCAAGCCGGGGTACTCAGGAGACCCGTATATACTGTGCGGCCTAGACAATATCATCAGTAAGATTACTGCTTCCCTCTTGTTGGTCTGTCAAGTTGCCTCTCACTGTGTCGCTCTGACACACTCTACACTATCCTCCTTCCTCATGATATGTACTTCTGTATGTAATGTGATATATATGGTAGCTGTCTCTTACATGATATACACCTCGTGTCCCTGTGAGGCGACCCCTACATCCCCCCCCACTAACCTCGACCCCCACCAGCTGGCGGCTGCCGGAGTGACGGTGACTGCCTCTCTACACAAGCTTGTATTAACGCGAAGTGTCGCTACCCGTGTGAAGACGACCCGTGTGGCGGTAACGCGGAGTGTGTCAACACTGAGCACACTGCTCAGTGCAGGTGTCGCAACGGGTTCCAGGGTGATCCTCTCAAGGGATGCTCCCCCGGTAAGTCCTCACATGTGCCCCCTCTCCCTCTCCCTCTACTGTATCACCCCCACCTCTCTCTTCTACCACCACCACCACCCCCCACCTCCATCACCACCTCCTCTACCACCTCCACAACGTCCACCACCCCCCTCCACAACCCCCACCTTCACAACCATCACTACCACGTCCACCACCCCCACCTCCACAATCACCACCACCACCACGTCCACCACCATTACCACCACAACCACCCCCACCTTCCCCACCACCACCACCACCTTCCCCACCACCACCACCACCACCACCACCACCTCCCAACCACCACCACCACCTCTCCCACCACCACCACCTCTCCCACCACCACCACCACCACCACCACCACCTCACTACAGCTATCTCTGCTCTACCACCTCTAACCTGTATGTGAGTTTTGTGTTGTATTAGATATTAATATGTATAGATAAGAGTGCACCATTAATGTGTAATGCCAGCAAGGTGCCAAGCACACTGTAACTCAGCCTACAGAGCAAGTATTAATATGTCACAATATTTACCACTACCATAGATGATGTCACTAGTTTACAATCACATATGATTAACAAGTTGTTGCTGTTACTGATGATAGAGGGAGTTAATAAGGATATAGTCGGTGCAGTGTTCCTCTCTCTTAATTAGACTGACGTACTAACATGTGCCTCTTCACCTGACTGACCGCCTCATTGACTGACAGTTGGCTGCCTTACATCTGACGACTGTGCGCTGAGCGAGGAATGCTACAGTGGTCAGTGCGTGAACCCTTGTCGGGGTGCCAACAACCCGTGCCCTGCCACAGCCACCTGTCGCCCCCTGCTCCACGCAGCCACCTGCCTCTGTCCCGCAGGCACCACTGGAGTACCTCTCCAGGGCTGCTCCACGCTCCCCACATGTGGCTATAACTCCGACTGCCCGCCGGACAAAGCATGCATGGATCGTGTGTGTGGTGACCCGTGTGCTGGGGCCCCCTGCCCACAGGGGGCCCTCTGCCGGGTCCACCAACACCGCCCCGTCTGCCTGTGTCCCCCAGGCCACACCGGAGACCCAAATGTCGGCTGCGTCAGGAGCAGCTGCGAGGGCGACACTGAGTGTCCCCGGGGCAGTGTCTGCCGTGGCGGCAAGTGCGTGGACCCCTGCCAGGACTGTGGACGTGGGGCGCTCTGCCAGGCAGAGGCTGCCACGACCATGTGCCGTTGTTCTGTTGGGTTCACAGGAAACCCACGAATTGCTTGTGACCCAAGTAAGACCCAACACTCTTGCTCTCTCTGTTGCATGCTGCTCATACTCATGAAGATAGTAGATAGATGAACTTGTTGTCTCTGTCATTCATCACCCCGGTAGTGTAGCTGGGGCGTGCCAGCTGCCCCTTGTTCCTTCCTGACTCATCACCCCCTGACTCATCACCCATGCCACCCCTGACTCTGACACACCCCTTCAGTACCCGGCTTCTGCTTGACCGACATCGAGTGCCACGTGAGGGAGGCGTGCGTGTCCGGGGAGTGCCGTGACCCCTGCACCACAGTGCCTCCCCCCTGCGGCCTGAGTGCCCGCTGCCGTGTCATCAACCACCGCTCCATCTGCCAGTGCCCGGACGGGTACGAGGGTGACCCTCGTGACCTGTGTACCCCAGGTAACCCTCAGCGCTAAGACGTCTCTCTCTCACTCCGTCCTCCTGGGGCATGCCCGCTCTCACCCTCATGCATGAACCCTGACTGACCTCCCTGGTGTGAGTGGCCTCATGCATGACCCCCTGACTGACCTCCCTGGTGTGAGTGCCCTCATGCATGGACCCTGACTGACCTCCCTCGTGTGAGTGCCCTCATGCATGGACCCTGACTGACCTCCCTGGTGTGAGTGGCCCTCATAAATGGTGCCTCACACACTTCTCATAACCTTACTGTTCTCACCTCATGCATGACCCCCTGACTGACCTTCCTGGTGTGAGTGGCCCTCATGCATGACCCCTTGACTGACCTTCCTGGTGTGAGTGCCCTCATGCATGGACCCTGACTGACCTCCCTGGTGTGAGTGGGCCTCATAAATGGTGCCTCACACACATCTCATAACCTTACTGTTCTCACCTCATGCATGGACCCTGACTGACCTCCCTGGTGTGAGTGGCCCTCATAGACGGTGCCTCACACACTTCTCATAACCTTACTGTTCTCACCTCATGCATGACCCCTGACTGACCTCCCTGGTGTGAGTGGCCCTCATAGACGGTGCCTCACACACACTTCTCATAACCTTACTGTTCTCACCTCATGCATGACCCCTTGACTGACCTCCCTGGTGTGAGTGGCCCTCATAGACGGTGCCTCACACACACTTCTCATAACCTTACTGTTCTCACCTCATGCATGACCCCTTGACTGACCTCCCTGGTGTGAGTGGCCCTCATAGACGGTGCCTCACACACACTTCTCATAACCTTGATGCTAACAACCCCGACACTGCATGACTCTCCCCTCACAACTACTGCCTCAGCACTGTATGGTGATTCAGCTCACAAAACTAATTTATTCACTTACTCTCACATTATTTCCTAACTAACTTCACACATCTGTAATATATTCTAAAAGCTCAGTAAGGACAAATATAAGCATTGTTGGTATGAGTTGTGATGAGTCAGTCACAGCTTGGTGAGGGAGACTCATCTCATGCACCAGGCTGTCTCATGAGTCACACCTCATACTCACCAGGCTTCCCTCAGTGAGTCATGCTCCAACACTCCCTCAGCGAGTCATGCTCCAACACTCCCTCAGTCGAGTCATGCTCCAACACTCCCTCAGCGAGTCATGCTCCAACACTCCCTCAGCGAGTCATGCTCCAACACTCCCTCAGCGAGTCATGCTCCAACACTCCCTCAGCGAGTCATGCTCCAACACTCCCTCAGCGAGTCATGCTCCAACACTCCCTCAGCGAGTCATGCTCCAACACTCCCTCAGTGAGTCATGCTCCAACACTCCCTCAGTGAGTCATGCTCCAACACTCCCTCAGTGAGTCATGCTCCAACACTCCCTCAGTCATGCTCCAACACTCCCTCACATGCTCCAACACTCCCTCAGTGAGTCATGCTCCAACACTCCCTCAGTGAGTCATGCTCCAACACTCCCAGTGAGTCATGCTCCAACACTCCCTCAGTGAGTCATGCTCCAACACTCCCTCAGTGAGTCATGCTCCAACACTCCCTCAGTGAGTCATGCTCCAACACTCCCTCAGTGAGTCATGCTCCAACACTCCCTCAGTGAGTCATGCTCCAACACTCCCTCAGCGAGTCATGCTCCAACACTCCCTCAGTGAGTCATGCTCCAACACTCCCTCAGTGAGTCATGCTCCAACACTCCCAGTGAGTCATGCTCCAACACTACCATGGAGTTCTCCAACACTCCCTCAGCGAGCCATGCTCCAACACTCCCTCAGCGAGCCATGCTCCAACACTCCCTCAGTGAGTCATGCTCCAACACTCCCTCAGCGAGTCATGCTCCAACACTCCCTCAGTGAGTCATGCTCCAACACTCCCTCAGCGAGCCATGCTCCAACACTCCCTCAGTGAGTCATGCTCCAACACTCCCTCAGTGAGTCATGCTCCAACACTACCCTAGGGGCTCATGCTCCCACATGCGGTGTCGCCTTACATCACCAGACTTCAGTATCTGTCTACTATTGTCTTCAGCCGCTCATGACTTTCCCGCCGAAAAATGTTTCTTTGCGAAGGAGAGAGGACAGAGGAGGTGCAGCTTTCTGCTCTCCTCCCGCCGCCCGTCGTCACTAAGCTCGCCTCGACCTCCGGTCCAAAACGAATGCCTGTCAACAGATGATGTCATTTTCTAATAATTTGGCTCTGATTTGAACTTTGTTTTATTGTTTCTTCCACTACACAGTGAGCACCGTAGCACCCGGCTGCCAGTACAACCAAGACTGTCCCTCCAACAAGGCTTGTGACCGCCTCAGTCGCAAGTGTATTGACCCGTGCCTGGAGGGGGCGTGTGCCCCCAGTGCCACTTGCCAAGCCGTCGCCCACAAGGCGGAGTGCCGGTGCCCACCTGGCTACAGTGGCAACCCCAGCATCGAGTGTTCCATACGTGAGTCCTTATAACACAAACGCTCATCTCATTGTGTAGAGAAACACAAAATTTTGAGTAGACTTTATTCAAAATGGAGTTTTACAGGCAAGGGCTTTGTCAAACTTAGAATTTATAAAGCCTTGGCAGGGAAAACCTCATCTTTATTGATTTGTAGTTTCTTGTTGGTGTTTCTCTAAATTGTTGCTCGGTTTAACCAATTATTCTCATTTAAAGTTATTTATTGTTTATCTTTTGACACATGTCTAAATGTTGATTCCTTTCGCATAGCATGGGTTAAATACATGACTCGCTTCCTGAGTCACGGCCACGACCAACTTCAGGAGTCACAGACAACACTTCTGGATACTGCATAAATCCAAATAAATGTGTACACTTTTGAATCCGTAGACCAAAGACGAAGACGTGATAGTGACCGTCATACCCCCAAGTGGCTTTTCCGTTTGGTCACATGTTACTCAGCTGCATCAATTACAGGAGAAACTAAGTGATATTGATGGCGTGTTTGTGCTCTTCACAGTTGTGGGTTGCCGAGACAACAGCGAGTGCCCGCCCACTCAGGCCTGCATCAACAACCAGTGCCAAGATCCATGTCGCTGCGGCCGCAATGCCATCTGTGAGGTGGCCAGTCACCGAGCTACCTGTCGCTGTCCCTCTGGCTACCTTGGGGACCCTCTAAGGAGCTGCCAGGTGCCTATCAATCCCTGTGATACTGACCCTTGTGGTGAAGGAGCTCTCTGTGAGCTGGACGACGGCAACCCCATCTGTCTGTGTCCCAGAGGCACCACTGGCAACCCCTTCGAGAAGTGCAGTGAGTTTTAGTTCCTCCAATCCTTTGTCTCCACTGTTATAATAATTAAACCATTTAATATATTTTGGATTCAGATGCTCAGCTACATTGACAAGCTGAAGAAAAAATACATCTCTGCCTTTTATATTTTCTTGTCTTATAAGTGTATAACCCGACAGTTCCCGAGGGCGATGACTGTGAGCCTAACCAGTGCGGACCTAACTCCGGATGTCGGATAGTGAGCGGTGTTCCCGTCTGCTTCTGCCTTCCGGAATTTGTGGGTAACCCGCCCAGTGAGCCGTGCAGTCCCCCAGCTAACCCCTGCCAGCCCTCCCCCTGTGGACCCAACACCGACTGCAACGTGGTGAATGGCTTCCATCGGTGTACGTGTCGCCCAGGTTACGTCGGCAAACCCAACACTATCCGAGGATGTGAACCTCCCATCAATCCGTGCGTGCCCTCCCCATGTGGCACTGGAGCTCTCTGTGACTCCAACAGGAGCCCCTACTGTTTCTGCCGTCCTGGACTCATTGGCGATCCATTCACCGGTTGCAGAGGTCAGACACTAAGTTAATACATTTCTGTTAATGTTTGTTCTTACTTGTTTGAATATTTTTCCTTGGATGCTGTGGATGATGACATTAATATAACAATCCATTCTCCCACTAGCGCCACCTCCCTCATGTGGTCCCGGCATCTGTGGGACGAATGCTGAGTGCTACACCCGTGGAGAAAATCTTCTGTGTAGGTGTCTAGAGGGCTATGATGGAGACCCACAGCTGCATTGTCAGTCAAAGCCTGGCAACCCCTGTGAGCGCAACCCTTGTGGCCCCAACGCCCAGTGCTCCATCGGAGCCAACAACTACCCAGTGTGCTCTTGCTCCCCGGGCTTCTTTGGGGAGGCTGATTCTGAAACTGGCTGCAAACCTGAATGTACCGTAAACGACGACTGCAGTCACGACCTGGCTTGTGTCAACACTCGCTGTATCGATCCTTGCCCTAGTGCCTGTGGTATTAACTCGCTCTGTGAAGTCAACTCTCACCGTCCGGTGTGCTTCTGTCCTTCTGGGTTCAAAGGTAACCCTTACACACGCTGCGAAGTAGTTACCGAGCCTCTCCCACCAAAGGATGTGGTCACGCCGAAACCACCAGTGACCCCGTGTGTGCCCTCTCCATGTGGTCTCAACAGCGAGTGCCGTGTGGAGGGCACTCAGCCCATCTGCTCTTGCATTGGCGATTACATTGGCGACCCTAAAGTCCACTGTCAACCTGAATGCGTTAGTAATGCTGACTGCGACGACGACAAGTCGTGCATTGATCAAAAGTGTGGTGATCCATGCCCCGGGCTGTGTGGTACCAATGCCCTCTGTGACGTAGTCCACCACAACCCCATCTGCTATTGTCCCAGCCAACTCACTGGCGACCCCTTCAGACTCTGTGTTACGAAACGTAAGTGTGGAATCTCAGTGTAAGGATAGCGGGGGAGGGGGGTGGTCAAATTATAATGTTGCTACATGAGTTAATCTTGCAAATTTATTTTATATGTCCAGCTTAATACAAACACATTCCGGTCCCTAAACAGTCTTCTACCCATGAACATAATATAGATATAAATGCTCACTATTTACCTTCAAGCACAATGGTGTAAGTGCCAAGTCCTAGAATGGTAAGATGTGTGAATACCAGTAGCCAGGGCCAGGATTTACCAGGCAGTTACGCATCTATTTACGAACCTGTACATCATTTCTCAATCTTTAGCGACTTTATTTATATTTATTAAACAATTTACGACCATCAAAACTTCCCAATCAAATGTTATTGTTATTATAAAACAGCCTCCTAATGTTTCGAAGTTTATAACTGTTTAATTGGTGTAAACAAAGCTGCGGCCAAAGATTGAGACAAGATGTACAAGTTGGTAAGTAGATGTGTAACTGCTTGATGATTCCAGGTAGTAACTTTCAGTACAGGAGAGTCTCAGTAAACTGATGAAGTAGCTACACATTGTTTTCATTACGTCAGTAAGCTGTAACATAATATCAGGATATAGCCTGAGCGCTGTAACAACACATATGCAGGACTGAGGAGTGACATAGTATTCACATAATACTATTTTTATCTGTTACAGCATTGCCACCAACTCCTAAAGTGTCACCGTGTGAGCCCAATCCATGCGGGCCGAACTCTGAGTGCCGGCCCACACCTGACAACACCCAGCATGTGTGTTCCTGCCTCCCAGGGTTTTTCGGCTCTCCTTGTCGACCAGAGTGTACCATTAACTCTGACTGCGCCATGAGTCAGGCTTGCTTCAATTTAAAGTGCGTTGACCCGTGCCAAGGGTCATGTGGCATCGGTGCTCTGTGTAGCGTGGTGGCCCACAACCCAATCTGTAGGTGTCCGGATGGACTCACCGGAGACCCCTTCAGCCAGTGCTTCGAGAAGGGTAAAGCCTCTCCACTTAATTATTCTCAATCATACTCCTAGTCCTTCTTACTATCATACTTCTCATAGTCCTTCTTACAATCATACTTCTCATAGTCCTTCTTACTCTCATACTTCTCATAGTCCTCATTATCTCTCCTCTTCATCCTTCTATTTAGCTGTTGTTTACCTCGTCCTCTCCCTGTCTCGCTTTTATGCTCCGGCTGCTCCTGTTTAACCCCCATGTTCCATGTCTTGAATAACTTTCACAATTATTTGTTATATAAAATAATTTAAATTTTGGAGTATGAATACTGATACTTTTCAAATGAATTTCTATGTTTAGCTATGTATATTGATGCTGAGTATATATGGTTTAGTGCCTGCAGAGCCACAGCCCCCTGCACCCCCACCAGTAGCACTGTGCACACCTTCTTGTGGTGCCAATGCCCAGTGTCAAGTTTTGGATGGTGTGGGATCTTGCGTGTGTCTCAGTGGATTCTACGGTCAGCCTGAGCTAGGGTGCACGCCTGAGTGTGTGATCAACGCCCACTGCGTGAGCACTCGAGCATGCCTCAACCAGCGCTGTGTTGACCCGTGTGACGGTTCCTGCGGCGTGGATGCTGCCTGCAAGGTGCTCAACCACAACCCCATCTGCGCCTGCCCTGATGGCTACAGCGGTGACCCCTTCACCTTGTGCCACCCAACCCCTGTCACACCTGGTAAGTCTCCCTTGACCTTACTCCTAAACTTATCACAGCACTTAGCTTGTCAATACAGGTCATGTTCGTTTATATTTATAATTTTATAATGGTTTTGTACTCATGTTACACTGCAAACTGTTGCCTCCATTGGTGCAGCCCCGCCTGTCCCGATCCCCTGCCAGCCCAACCCCTGTGGGGAGAATGCTCGATGCACCCCCATGGCCACCACAACACTCTGCACCTGCCTCCCAGGCTACAGAGGTAACCCATACACGCAGTGTCGCCCGGACTGTGTTGTGAGCAGTGACTGTCCTTTGACCCTGGCGTGCATTAGCCAGAAATGCCGTGACCCTTGTCCGGGTACATGTGGTCACGACGCCCTGTGCTCTGTCATCAGCCACAGCCCCGTGTGTGTGTGCCCGGAAGGCTACACGGGTGACCCCTTCACTGCCTGCCAACTGCAACCCATCACTCGTAAGACTCCTCACCGCGTTCCTTCTCGGCCTCTAGCCCTTCTCGCCACCCTCCCTAACTTGCCTCACCAAACTTTGCCCTTAGCCTCTGGCTATGTATTTATCTATTGTCTCATAGTCTAATGATTTAATGTTAGTGTTATATTTCTTTGGGTGTGAGTGAGTGTAGGGTGTGGTGGAACCCACCCTAGGAGTGGCGAGACTGGTCAAGGCTCTCTAATGGTTGACTTCTACTCTTGTGCTAATGGCTCTCACATTTGCATGTATTGTATACAGTAATTCAAGTAATATGTGGGATGTCTTCGGAATGTGTCACGTCCGAAGTGTAACTCTCGCACTGTCCTCCAGACACCAGGTCTCATTTTGTCTTGTTCTCTTCTTCCCTTCCACACTCGTAAAGCCTTGCCACCCCACGCCGTGACCAGACCATGCGTGCCAGACCCCTGCGGCCCTAACACAGAGTGCCGTGCTCAAGGGGACGTCGCAGTGTGCGAATGCCTCCCGGGGACCTTCGGCAATCCCAATACGCAGTCAGGATGCAAGTATGAATGCGTGACCAATGCAGAGTGCCCAATGACAGAAGCATGCGACAACCGACGGTGCCGTGACCCGTGTGCTGGCACCTGTGGCCTGCAGGCTCTCTGCGACGTCGTGGCACACAACCCCATGTGCCATTGCCCACCTGGCTACACAGGAGACCCGTTCTACAGATGTACCCTCAGTAAGGCTCCTGCTCAGCTTAATAATGGTTTACCCTTCCTCTAATCTTGAGTTAGTGAACATTATCTTTATATATGTGTGTGTAATATAGCGTCGGAGGTTAAGCTTGTTGGAGTGTGGCTGATGACCTCTGTTACTCTCTTAGGCCTAATTGAAGTTCCACCTGAAGTAGAGCTTCCGACGGACATAGATGCATGCGCTGGGTCTCCATGCGGGCAATACGCACAGTGCACCACTCTCGACCACCGCATCACCTGCTCCTGTACCCCGGGCTACTTTGGCAACCCATACACAGGCTGTCGACCCGAATGTACCGTCAACTCTGACTGTGCCCTGAGCCGGGCCTGTGTCAACCAGGTGTGTGCGGACCCTTGCCCCGGCTCCTGTGGCCTCAACGCTGACTGCCAGGTGGTCAGGCACTGGCCTAACTGCTACTGCCACCCGGGCTACGAGGGCGACCCCTACACCCGCTGCCGCCCTCAACAACGTAAGCACTATAACTTCTTCTTGTGGTGGCTCCACTCCCACTTGGGTCCTGGGCCTTCGCTCGCCTCCTACTCACACAACGCACAGGCAAAATACATTCGACAACCACGGACCATTTGATTAACCTCGGACCCTTTTATCAACCTCAGATCATTTTAATAACCACGGATCATTCTAGCACGCACAGACCCTTTTATGATCAATCTTGGACCATTTTACTTATCACGGACCATTTTTACAACCACGGACCATTTTAACAGCCACGGACCATTTTTACAGCCACGTACCATTTTTACAGCCACGGACCATTTTAACATCCACGGACCATTTTAACAGCCACGGACCATTTTAACAGCCACGGACCATTTTTACAACCACGGACCATTTTAACAGCCACGGACCATTTTAATCAAGGACTATTTTAACAGCCACAGACCATTTTAACAGCCACGGACCATTTTTACAACCACGGACCATTTTAACAACCATGGACCATTTTAACAACCACGGACCATTTTAACAACCATGGACCATTTTTACAACCACGGACAATTTTAATCAAGGACTATTTTAACAGCCACGGACCATTTTAACAGCCACGGACCATTTTTACAACCACGGACCATTTTAATCAAGGACCATTTTAACAACCATGGAGCCATGATTACCTTTGCATAATGGGTAATAATAATGTGTGTTGCCACGTCACTCACTGGTCTCCTCCTTTCCCCCCTCAGCGCATGTGCCGGCCCCGTCAGAGGTGCCGCCGCCCTGCCAGCCCTCGCCGTGTGGTGCCAACGCCCAGTGTGAGGAGAAAGACTCCCTCCCCGTCTGCACCTGTCTCCCGGGCTACTTCGGCAGGCCTCCTGCGTGAGTACCCTCTCCACACAACACCACCACACACTCCAAACCACACCGTTTCTCTCGCCTTTGCTGGGACTACGACTCCCAAGCGTTATCCACTCAGCTGCGAGACTGCACTTCATATGTGTCTGTGTGTGTAAATTTGCCTGATATACACACACATACACACAGAGATCACACTAACGTGATGCATCAAATGAACAAATCAACAAGGGCCGTGACGAGGATTCGAACCTGCGTCCGGGAGCATCCCAGACACTGCCTTAATCGACTGAGCTACGACAGGGTTAAAAAAACTGGATTTGTTACCTGATATATTTTGCCTTGTAGCAACTTCACTCACACTCGAACACAACTAACAAGGCCGTGTATTGCAGGTGTCGTCCTCAGTGTGTGATCAACTCAGAGTGCCCACAGAACCTGGCCTGCTTCAGGCAAAAGTGTGTGGACCCGTGCCCAGGAGTGTGTGGGGTTGCTGCCCAGTGTGAAGTCGTCAACCACAACCCCATCTGCTACTGCCCCAAACACCTCACCGGTGACCCCTTCGTCAGTTGTGTTGAAGGTCAGTGCACTCCCACTTTTGTTAACGAATCTTGGCCTCAACTTAACACGTCCTTTATTATTTCTCTGTCAAGTTGTTCCCACTAACATCTTCGCCGCCCTTTTCTCAATCAACTCATGTCTGTATTGGAGTCCATTTTGAGCATCTTCAAGTCTCTGTCAATCACAGGTAAGTTGTGAGTGTGTGTCATGTAATCCGTGGTGAGTGTGTGTGTGTGTGTGTGTGTGTGTGTGTGTGTGTGTGTGTGTGTGTGTGTGTGTGCGTGCGTGCGTGCGTGCGTGCGTGCGTGCGTGCGTGCCAGCCATGAGCCAGAATGATGACTGGGAACTAAGAGATCAGCGTCTCCTCCACAGTGGCACAGCTCCCCCCGCCAGTGTCCAGCCCGTGTTGGCCCAGCCCGTGTGGGGTGCACGCCCTGTGTCGGAGTGAAGGGCGGCGTGCAGTGTGCACCTGCCCTTCCCCGCTACTCGGTGACCCTTACGTGAGGTGCACCCCAGAGTGCTACACCGACAACGCGTGCACCAACGACCTGGCATGCATGAAACAGAGGTGCGTGGACCCGTGTCCCGGCAGGTGTGGGCTTCTGGCCACCTGTAGCGTCTTCAACCACCGCCCCGTGTGCTCGTGCCCCGAGACCTTTACTGGCGACCCGTACTCTTCCTGTCACCCTGCTCCTGCCCCATGTGAGCATGCCTGCATGTCACTGCATGATCTTACCTTCATCCTACATAATTAAATGCATGTTTTATATTTCCCTTTCATTTTCTTAACATGCTATAGTTGTATACAAACTGTATAGCTCTTGGTGAACTTTTAACTATCCTGTCCTTGGCATGACTCTTACTGTAATCTCCTGCTTAGTGGCAGACAAATCCCCGTGTGGGCATGGAAACCCCTGTGGGGACAACGCCGAGTGCCGGGTGGTGGCAGGCACTGCCATCTGCACCTGCCGGCCTGGCCTTCAGGGAGACCCACTCAGCGGCTGCTACCCAGAATGCGTTACCAACAGTGACTGCCACTATGACAGCAGCTGTCGCAAGCATAAGTGCGTGGACCCGTGCCCGGGCACCTGTGCTGACGACGCCCTGTGTGAGGTGGTACAGCACCAGCCACGTTGTTCCTGCCCACCAGGCCTGCAGGGAGACCCGTACTCCCAGTGCTTCCTGCCCCGTGAGTCTCCTCTTCCCCCTCTCTCTCTCTCTCATGCATTTTATCTTGCCTCTGTAGAATTATCTGTATATATTTGTCATGTATTCTGTGGTAGTTTAAGTATATGGGTGCATGATGTTTCATGTGTGGTGTAGCTGCCGGTGCCGTGGCGGTCTCTCCGTGCTCTCCGTCTCCCTGTCTGCCCTGGGAGGTGTGCACCAGCCAGGGGCAGGCCGCACTCTGCCTAGAGTGTATCGTCAACAGTGACTGCGCTGCGCACCTGGCATGCATAGGTTACCACTGCACAGACCCTTGTCCAGGCGTGTGTGGTGCTGGGGCGCAGTGTGTCGTCGTGGCCCACAGCCCGGTGTGTCGCTGCCACCCAGGACTGCTCGGAGACCCATACACTCGCTGCTCGCGCCCCACACGCCCTGTACCCAAGCCTCTCAGGCCCACACCCTGTGTACCCAGCCCCTGTGGCACTAACGCTCGCTGCCAGGTGACCATAGACCATGAAGTGTGCGTGTGTGCCGCGGGTTACTTTGGCAACCCGTACCTTGGTTGCCGGCCAGAGTGTGTGGTGCACAGTGACTGTGCAGTGCGACTAGCATGCGTCAGGCAGCGCTGCGTTAACCCCTGCCCGGGCACATGTGCCCCCGAGGCCCATTGCACGGTGGTCAATCACCACACAGTGTGCACCTGCCCCTCAGGATACACTGGGGACCCCTTCATAAGGTGCCGTCCTGCGCCACAACTTCCGCCTCTTGTTACATGTAAGAAATCTTCCTTCTCTTTCTTCTGTCATATATTTTTCTATGTAGTATATGCATGACCTAACCTTAGTTGTAGCTCGTGTACAAGAAAGTGTACCCACAGCTCCCTCGGTGTCGGGTGATGCGGACCCCTGCACACCTGGGCCTTGTGGCACTCACACCCAGTGTCGCATCTCCGCCGGCCTCCCTGTCTGCGCCTGTCTCCCTGGTCTGGTTGGTAACCCCTACCTGGGGTGCCGACCAGAGTGCCAGAGGGACCTGGACTGCCGACTAGACAGATCGTGTCAGCACCAGAGGTGTGTGGACCCCTGCCCCGGGACGTGTGGCAGGCGCGCCTCCTGCATCGTCATCAACCACCGCCCACAGTGTGCCTGCAAGCCCGGCTACTCCGGAGATCCTTACCATGCCTGCTCTCTCTCTAAACGTATGAGTCTTCCCTGTTCTGTCCTCTTGTTCAGTATCTTCCCTTAACTACTTTGATCACATCTTATATAATAACTTTACATTTTCCTCAATTCTCTAGTTGCATGACATTTTAAAAGCATGATGTAGTATACTTGTAATATGCATGACTTAATTGCTCCTGTAGCAGTAGACGTTATTACTGCATGCCTCTACTTCCCCCCCCCCGCAGCTGCAGCACACTCCCCCACCTCCCCCTGCGCTTCCTCCCCGTGTGGCCAGTATTCCGAGTGCCGTGACGTGGATGGGAGGGCCAGCTGCACCTGTCTCGCGGGCTTCCTGGGCTCGCCTCCCAGGTGCCACCCTCAGTGCGTCGTCAACACTGAGTGCCCAGCACAGAAAGCATGCGTCAACCGCAAGTGCATAAACCCATGCATTGGTGCATGTGGCATTGACGCCGAGTGCCGCGTGATTCAGCACAGTCCCGTGTGTTCTTGTCGACCCCAGTACACGGGGAACCCACTCTCTCTCTGTCTCCCAGCGCCGTCTTGTAAGCATCACGCCTCACCTTACTCTTTCTTATCTCTGGTCCTTGTCTTGGGAGCTGATGACCGGCTTGGTAATACTGGCACACTCAGTAATATGTGTGTATTACACACACACCGTCACCCCTCACAACACACACACATCATCATCTTAGGCTGGCACAATGTCCTCTCTAAAGTCTGAATATCGAATATGAAAATATTGTCCAGTTCGAGCATCAGTCCTTCAGCTCTCAAGCCCGTGACCAAACTGTTTCCTCTTGACAACACCGATATTATATAGTGTTAGGAGCCCAGTGCTAGTAAATAACACAATGGTTGGGTCCTGTTACAGCGGCCCCACACCCTTCCCTGCCAGCCATCTCTCATCCCTGTGCGCTGAGCGGATGTGGCACTAATGCCAAGTGCTCAGTGCAGGGCGGTGCAGCGGTGTGCACCTGCCCACCCGACCACTATGGTAACCCATATGTGGCGTGCACACCCGAGTGCACGGTCGACTCTGACTGCCCTCGCTATTTGGACTGTGTGAGGAATAAATGCGTGGAGCCGTGCCCCGGGGCATGCGGCCTCAATGCCCTCTGTGACGTTGTCAACCACCAGGCCGTGTGTACCTGCCCAACAGGTTACACAGGCAACCCTTTCACCCGCTGCAACCTCGCGCCCCTTCCACCCAGTAAGTCTCCACGTCACAATGTACATAGTCACGTACCCACTTCGCCCCCACTTTCTGAAATCTTTTCCCCCTCAATGAAAACAATAGTCGAGAACAATGATTGGTAATAAGTGGACGAACCACCATGAGCACACAGCAGCTTCGGGTATGTGTGAGAGTGCGCTGATCCCTTCTTAAAGTTGACTTGGCGGCAGCAGCAGCTGCGGGGCCCCTACATACATACACAGATATGTATATAGATATCTGTATCTATGTACATAGATACAGTCTGCCTTATCACCTACATGTGATCACAGGCGTCATTCAGTATGCCGGTGATAGTGTTGGCACTGTCTAGAACTCCGTCACACAATGGTGCCAGTTGTACAAGATTTAATGATGAGGTGTGGTGGCACTGTGATTTTGGGGATTACCAGAAATTCAAGACAGCATTTTGGCACCTTCACCACATGACAGCTGTTGGCACCTTCACCACATGACAGCTGTTGGCACCTTCACCACATGACAGCTGTTGACACCTTCACCACATGACAGCTGTTGGCACCTTCACCACATGACAGCTGTTGACACCTTCACCACATGACAGCTGTTGGCACCCTTATTACATCACAGCTGTTGACACCTTCACCACATGACAGCTGTTGACACCTTCACCACATGACAGCTGTTGACACCTTCACCACATGACAGCTGTTGACACCTTCACCACATGACAGCTGTTGACACAACATCACAGGTGTTGACACACTCACAACATCACAGGTGTTGTGAGACACCCTCACCACAACACACTCATCATATAACAGCTTGGCAGTGTTGGTACTCCCGAGCTCAAAAGAGCTCTCACATGGCACCATAAAAGAGAACAGGAAGGGGTTCCCTGTGTTAACTTCCAGCGGTGGCTCCGTTAGAAACACCAAGCTGACTTCTTCACCGCTGTTACCTTGCCATCACCATCACATCGGGACTCTGAAACTGCCATCACCATCACATCGGGACTCTGAAACTGCCATCACCATCACATCGGGACTCTGAAACTGCCATCACCATCACATCGGGACTCTGAAACTGCCATCACCATCACATCGGGACTCTGAAACTGCCTTCACCATCACATCGGGACTCTGAAACTGCCATCACCATCACATCGGGACTCTGAAACTGCCATCACCATCAAATCGGGACTCTGAAACTGCCATCACCATCACACCGGGACTCTGAAACTGCCATCACCATCACATCGGGACTCTGAAACTGCCATCACCATCACATCGGGACTCTCAAACTGCCATCACCATCACATCGGGACTCTCAAACTGCCATCACCATCACATCGGGACTCTGAAACTGCCATCACCATCACATCGGGACTCTGAAACTGCCATCACCATCACATTGGGACTCTGAAACTGCCATCACCATCACATCGGGACTCTGAAACTGCCATCACCATCACATCGGGACTCTGAAACTGCCATCACCATCACATCGGGACTCTGAAACTGCCATCACCATCACATCGGGACTCTGAAACTGCCATCACCATCACATCGGGACTCTGAAACTGCCATCACCATCACATCGGGACTCTGAAACTGCCATCACCATCACATCGGGACTCTGAAACTGCCATCACCATCACATCGGGACTCTGAAATTGACAACTTACTCTTAACATTATGGAAAGAACATTTACCCATGATGGCAGAACTCACACCATTGGTGCCCTGCTGCTGCTGCTGAAGACTTCACCAGAGCTTGAATTTTCAAATGTCAATTTAAATGTGTAGCAATTAAGGAAGCCTGTGTGTGTGTGGATGTTTGTTGATGCTGTGTGCTCTTGTGGCGAGGCCCGGCTCTGGCGAGGAGTCGTGTGAGTGTATTAACACTTAACGGATGTTGCCACAGCCGCCGGGGTGTCAGACCCCTGCCAGCCGTCGCCATGCGGGGCCAGTACCTCGTGCCGTGTTGTGGCCGGCCGCCCTGTGTGTTCCTGTCTACCCGGGCTGCTGGGAGACCCGACCACACTCTGTCTCCCCGAGTGTACTAGTAGCCACCAGTGTGACCTGGATAAGTCGTGTGTGAAGCATGAGTGTGTGGATCCGTGTGTTGATGGCGTGTGTGGCCGCCATGCCTCGTGCAGGGTGGTGGTACACGCGCCTGTGTGCTCCTGTGCCCCAGGTTACACTGGGGACCCCTACCTCCACTGTCGACCAGTCCCATGTAAGATACATAATCTACTCTTGTTTTAATTTACCTGCATTTTGTCTCATAAGATATAAGGTATAGTTGAGCATGTATTTATGTATAGAGTTCTTATGGGCACAATCAACCATGCGTATATAGATTTGTAAATGATGATTAGGGCATGTGTTGAAGCATGACAGGATCCGGTGATGACTTAATACTCTCCTCTCTGTAGCGCATGTGCCGGCCGAGCCCCCCCGCACCCCATGTGCTGGGGACCCCTGTGGGCCAAATGCAGTGTGCCGTGAGGTCAACCAACAACACCAGTGTTCGTGTCAGCCTGGGTATGTGGGTACCGCACCTGCCTGTCGTCCTGAATGTGTGGTCCATGCTGAGTGTTCCACGCTCAGGGCCTGCGTCAACAACCGCTGTATAGACCCTTGTAAGGGCACCTGTGGAATTCAGGCTGAGTGCCGCGTAATCAATCACAACCCAATATGTAGCTGCGTGGCTGGCTATATTGGTAACCCATTCATCCGCTGTACCAAAACCACACCCACACCCCCTCCTCTCTCCCGTCCAACAACTCTACCACCTTTTGCCGACACACAAGCCCCTGTTCAGAAAGAGCCCGTCATCCCTGTCCAAGGTGAGGTCACCACCCACACACCCATAGCAATCCTACCTCAACCACCTGCCCCACCCTTCAACCCTTGTGACCCTGACCCCTGCGGCTCCAACACTATCTGCCGCGTCTCCCTCGACACCTACGTCTGCGAGTGTCGTCCAGGCTTCTTTGGCAACCCTGATGTTGGGTGTGGACCCGAGTGTGTCCTCAACAGCGACTGTGAGAGCGGCTACACCTGTGTCCGGAACAAGTGTGTGAACCCATGCCCTGCAGCCTGTGCCTCCACTGCCATTTGCAGTGTAGTCAACCACCGTGCTGTGTGTACCTGTCCGCCAGACCTCCAGGGAGACCCATATATACACTGTGCTCCTCTTCCAATCGTTGGTACCCCATGTAAGTCATCACACACCCCTTGTGTCTTTTAGATGATATCTCCCTGCACCATATATATAGTATACCACAGAGCAAGTAATGTTTATAGTGTACTAGATAGTGCGATATATGGTATACCAGACTGCACGTATGTGAATGACTTTTCCCTGATTGCCTTGAATCCGAAAGGATTAATAGTCCAGCATGTTATACATTGCATGTTGCAGTACCTCCACATGTGACCCCTGGTGTGCTGGTGCCATGCGAGCCTAACCCGTGTGGCCAGAATGCTGAGTGTCTCCCTGTCAGCCCCAGTGGCGAGTGTCGCTGCCTCCCAGACTACTACGGCAACCCATATGACAAGTGCCAGCCAGAGTGCACTACTGACCAACAGTGTCCTTTCTACCTCTCCTGCACCAACCAGAAGTGTGTGGATCCTTGCCCTGGCACGTGTGGCACCAATGCTGAGTGCCAGGTGGTGACCCATGCCCCTGTCTGCTACTGCAGACCGGGCTACACTGGAGACCCCTACAAGGCGTGCCGTGAGGAAATAGGTAAGCATGTCCTTTCCTTTCTATACATATTTGAATGGTCTCTTTAGTCTGTGTTTTTATACAAAATCTACATTTCCTGTAACACTGAAGAATTCTTGAATGTCTCATGATTAACTTGCTGTATGTTTGACACTCTACTTATGTTACTGGTAACTGCACCATTAGTGCAAGGGGTTGTAATAGTGTAAAATATCTACTGTGTTGTGCAAGATTGGCATTTCTTGTTTATGTGCATAAGCTAGTTGAGAATAACATTTGCATGTTGTAGTCACCCCCGCTCCGACACCCGTGGACCGCTGCAGCCCCAGCCCCTGTGGGCCTAACTCCAAATGCCACATGACCAAGGGTCGTCCAGTGTGCAAATGTCTGCCTGGTTACTTTGGTACACCACCCAACTGTCGGCCTCAGTGTATCGTCAACTCTGACTGTGAGGTAGAGAAGGCCTGCATAAACCAAGAGTGCCGTGACCCCTGTAAGGGGACATGTGGCACTGAAGCGCTGTGTGAGGTGGTCAACCACAACCCCATCTGTTACTGTCCTAGTCATCTCACAGGCGATCCCTTCATACGCTGCTTCGTACCACCCACCGGTAAGTTCACTCCCTGTGTCTCTCTCCCGCTAACACTCCGTTCCTCAGGTAAGCCTCCTAACACCCCCCTCGTCATTACTAATGCCAATTGTCCCATTTTCAGAGACACATTCAGAAAAGGAGCAGGAAGGAAGCCCCTGTGATTCTGACCCTTGTGGTCGGGGGGCGGAGTGTAGCGACAAGACAGGTGTTGCCGTGTGCACCTGTAAGCCTGGAATGTTTGGTAACCCATACCAGCTTTGTCGACTCGAGTGCGTGGTTAATTCTGACTGTAGCCGTGACAAGGCGTGTTCCCGCAACAAGTGCGTGGACCCGTGTCAGGGCGCATGCGGGGTGCACGCTGAGTGCGTTGTGTCGCACCACAGCCCAGCCTGCACCTGTCCTCCACCCCTCACGGGTGATCCCTTCTCTCGCTGTGTCCTCGTCCCTACCAGTAAGACACCTATTACTTACCAACTTACCCCCATGCTCCTTGTAAATGCATGGGTTCATCTCAAATACTTTATATTAATACTATCTCATTAATCTACATTAAATATCTAATGTTGGCATAACTTACTAGACTGCATTATATTTAATGTTCTCTCAATTTACCAAACAAGAATCCGTCTGTAGTGGTCTCACAATTTACAGAATTAATTATTTATCATTAAATCTCTCTTGGCATTCTTTACAGCTAATTAATTTCGAATTTTGGACCATGTTACTAGCATTATTCTCTTAATTTTCTAACAGTTAACTTAACCAAATTTTACCCTTGCATCAATATCTGTTATTAAAATATATTTCACTAATTTAGAGGATGTTAAGGGTGGTAGTGTGCATGTGTGTAAGACATGCACTATAACTAATGTGGACGCTGCGTCACCTCCACAGCCCCCGTCACACCGGATGACCCCTGCTCTCCACCCCCCTGTGGCGCCAATGCACTCTGCGAGAGAGACGCCAACTCTTACAAGTGCAAGTGTGTCCAGAACTACTTTGGCGACCCATACACAGAGTGTCGTCCCGAGTGCGTGGTCAACACGGACTGTGCCAGCAACCTAGCCTGTCGTAACCTGAAGTGTATTGATCCGTGCCCTGGTACCTGTGGCACCAATGCCCAGTGTAGCACCGCCAATCACAACCCGATCTGCAGCTGTCTTGCTGGCTATCAAGGCAACCCATATGAGATTTGTCACACCATTAAAGACGAGAGTGAGTGTCAAGTTGGTCACACTAGAGTTCATGTGCTAATGAGTTAAAAAAAAAAGGTCCTGTGTTCAGCTTTAATGACTCCCACATTGATTAATAATAAAGTCAATTCAGAGTTTTGAAAATATATGACATAGTGGGGAGGATGACCTTGTTAAGGTGTAGAGTCGGAGGGAAGACCACCTGCTTCCCTTCACCTCCACCAGCAGTCACCTCCTCCACCTGCACCTAGTCCTCAGTGAGCATTTGTTTAGGCAGATATAATGCTTGTGTAAGGTCCGCAGTTGCTGTCTCGCACTTCGTATCACCGTTCAGTTATCGATAAGTAATAGTTCGCTCTAAATGCTATTCACAACGCTGTTTCTCTCAATTGATATTTCTGTTCTAAATGTTATCCATGGCAATTTCAAGTCCTATAATGAACATAAGCAAAGACCTTCAATTTGGACTACAACCTGGATACCGTCGTCACTTTCACTCATGTATGGAGGTTGTGAGTTGTAGGTTATTGGTGTTATCACGCGTTATTCTGACATGTTCTTTGCGCCAGATATTTATGTAATATTGGCTCTTTAGTGATGATAACTGACCCAAAAGCTGTACTGACCTGTATAAAATTTTCAAAAATGAAGTGAATCACTGTAACAACTTTCTGATGATTCCTTCAGTTGCTCTTGCACGGGCTTTTGTCAAGCAATGCCAACTGTGCTATCTTACACAACGTTTGTCTGCTTAAGCGTGCGTTACAATAGCCTGTGCTATCACTGAAATATTACAGCAGGCTCGTGACCGTAATGCTTGTATCGCTCTCCCGTTTCATTAGTCCCACTAGAACACCCCGACCCGTGCCTGCCAAACCGATGTGGGCCCTTCTCGACCTGTCGGGTAGTGAAGAAGCGGCCAGTGTGCGAGTGCCTTGCAGGGTACTACGGTCTTCCTCCTCAGTGCCACCCAGAGTGCATAACTAACTCGGACTGTCCCAAGTATCTGGCATGTGTGAACGAGAAGTGTGTGGACCCGTGTGTAGGCACATGCAGCCGCCTGGCCCAGTGTCAGGTGGTCAACCACAACCCTCTCTGCTCGTGTCCACGGGGGTACGATGGTGACCCATACATCCAGTGCCACCTTCACAGTAAGCCACTTCCCTCACCATGTACCGCACTTCTGCTCCCCCACACACACCTCCCATCACACATCTACCCTCACCCCCCACACACACCTCCCATCACACATCTACCCTCACCCCCCCACACACCTCCCATCACACATCTACCCTCACCCCCCACATACACCTCCCATCACACATCTACCCTCACCCCCCACACACACACCTCCCGTCACACATCTACCCTCACCCCCCACACACACACCTCCCATCACACATCTACCCTCACCCCCCCCACATACACCTCCCATCACACATCTACCCTCACCCCCCCCACACACACCTCCCATCACACATCTACCCTCACCCCCCACACACACCTCCCGTCACACATCTACCCTCACCCCCCCCCCCCCCCACACCTCCGACACCTTCAGCTGCACTTTTGTACACAGGATGTCCAAGAGTTCTGAACAAAACCTTAGTCATCCATTTTGTGCAGGTTGGTTCTCCTTTGTCTAATCTGAGTACAAGCTCAGTCGTCTGATATTCATGGGGTGTTGATTACCATTTCTGTTAGAGATCTATCGTCATTTTATGGCAGGAATCCAGAGGCTGGTGTCATGCGCCCTTCAGCCATCCGCCTCTGAGGCACCAGCTTCCCGCCCTCCAGAACTCTTGGACAGTCTAGCTTCCTAGTTGCAGCTACATTTTTTGTAATACTTGATACAACATATATACAAGAGGTGGAACTTCCAGTTGTATAACGAGGAACTTGATCATTGCAGCAACCACCCCCACCCCCATTATTGTGACCACTCCAGACTACACCTCCCCACTGCCAGTGGTCACCACACCACTTCTGCCCTGCACGCCTAACCCGTGTGGTCACAACGCCCTGTGCTCACCTCGGGGACACAACTTTGAGTGCTCGTGCTCGGAGGGTATGTTTGGCAACCCATACATTGAGTGCCGCGCTGAGTGCGTTGTGGACTCTGACTGCGCCAGGGACAAGGCGTGCGAGAGGAACAAGTGTATTGACCCATGTAAGGGTGTGTGTGGAGCACAGGCTGAGTGTCACGTGATCATGCACAAACCTGTGTGTATGTGTCGTGCGAAGTATACAGGAGATGCCTACACATCCTGCAAGCCAATCCCTACGTGTAAGCATTACTCACTCACTCTCTCAATTACATATGATTTTATACTAATAAACCTCCATAATATTACACCTTCATGGTATCTGTGTTTGTGACTGGTGTGTGCCCCTGCAGCTGTGAGCTCGACCCTGCCACCAGTCGTGAAAGGCCAACCCTGCGACCCGTCCCCATGTGGCCACCTGGCGGAGTGTCATGAAGAGGCTGGTCGCCCACTCTGTCAGTGCATCGCGGGCTACTTTGGTGACCCTCACGTTGCCTGCCGACCCACCTGCTCGGCCGATTCACAGTGTGATTCTGGGCTAGCGTGTGTGAATGATAGGTGTATCGACCCATGCCCAGGCACTTGTGGCGTGAATGCAGAGTGCAGGGTGCCCAACCACATCCCTATTTGCACTTGTCCGGCAGGTTACACAGGCAACCCATACCAGCGGTGCCTCTTTCGTCCGGGTATGACATATTCTTCAACTTCTCTCTTTTCCTGGCTTCTCATAATATTAATTATTAATGCATATTAACATTATCAATAAAATACTGACCAACATCTTGCTATAGATTGCCTTCGCTGTGGCATCATTATGCATCTTACACTTCCCCATTCTAGTCGATGACTCGTCTGAGGAGAAAGAGGACATGTGTGAAGTGTGTGGCCCCAATACTGACTGTCGTGAGGTGGGAGACCGCCCCGTGTGCACGTGTCGTCCAGGTTTCATAGGTGCCCCACCAAATTGTCGTCCAATTTGTGTGGTGAACGGTGATTGCCCGGCTACTCTGGCATGCAACAGACAAAAGTGCATAGACCCTTGTCCCGGAGCATGCGGGACAAATGCCGAGTGCCAGGTCATCAACCACTCGCCAGTGTGCACCTGCATCTCAGGCTACACCGGAGAACCATTCGTCCGATGCAACCTTATCCCAATGGGTAAGATCCCCCCCACCACCTGCTTTCCTTCCTGGGATACCGTTATGCTACACACAAGTGTGGGTGCCACTTCTTCCCTGCGTCTTGTGTACTAATAATGTAAATTGCATATGTTTCAGCCGGGACCAGCACCTTGCGACCACTCGAGAAGGAAGACGGCCCATGTACCAAAGGACCCTGCGGCGCAAATGCTGAGTGTCGGGTCCAGGAAACCCGTTTTGTGTGTATCTGCAAGAAAGGCTACTTTGGAAACCCGTACCAGCAGTGCCGACCCGAGTGTGTCATTAACTCGCAGTGCCCGCAGTACCTGGCATGTGTCAACCAACAGTGTAAAGACCCGTGCCCGGGCACCTGTGGAATTGATGCTATTTGTGAAGTGATTAACCACAATCCAGTGTGCACCTGTCCGAGGACCATGACTGGGGACCCCTTCATTCGGTGTGAGCCATGTAAGAGCCACCTTGACTTCTCTTTACATTAACAAATAGCCCTCACTCATGGCAGGTGCATGACACCTAAATCTCTGCCTCCCCTGCCACCTTCCATGTGTTTCTCAGCCTTTATTTACATGCCTCTTTATTTGTGCTGGTTGTCAGTGTCCTTCCAGTGTTGGCATAATGGTGGGGGAAGGTGGCAGAGAGCCTTCCACAGTGGCACTAGTCGAGAATGCCTAAAGGTACCTTGAGAGATTTCCAGACAACCTTAACTTACAATGAGGGAAGGGAGTTAATCATAATGAGAGGGAATATCACCTAAGTGGGAGGAAAAGTCACCTAAGTGGGAAGGAAGGTCACAAAAGGGGGAAGAATGGCCACCTAAGTGGGAGGAAAAGTCACCTAAGTGGGAAGGGAGGTCACAAAAGGGGGGAAGAATGGTCACCTAAGTGGGAAGGAAGGTGACTTTGTTACTGCATTTATATTACCATGAGAGGAGTACTACAAGGTGTTTTAATATATCACGTACAGTTGGTGCCCCTCCGGACCCGTGCAACCCGGCGCCGTGTGGACCCTACACCAAGTGCCATGTGGTAGCGGACAGGGCAGTTTGCTCTTGTCTGCCAGGCTACACTGGCAACCCTGACCTGGGCTGCAAACCCGACTGCACGATCAACTCTGACTGTCCGCTGAGCCAGGCCTGTATCAACATGAAGTGTGTGGACCCGTGTGTAGGAGTGTGTGGCGTTGGAGCCCTGTGCTCCGTCGTCAGTCACAATCCCCTATGCAACTGTCCAGACGGCTTCTCCGGGGACCCGCTTCTTGCCTGCAGTCTGAAGCCATGTGAGTAGTTCTCAGTACCACTCGACACTAGAATAAATATGAGGTTGAGTAACGGTAGTATTCTTTTTAAACAATTATTAAAAGTCAAACATTAGAGGAATGAAGAGGTCATGTTTATTGCTTGTGGTCCAGAGTGTCTCCTGGTATTTATCGAGTGTGTGTGTGTGTTTGTTTCATTCACAGTATTGGGACTTATGATCTACTTTATTATGAACACAAAATCATTGCAGATCTTGATTTTCCACAAAAATATAATGACAGTTAATCTGACAGGCTTTGATATTCAAATATGATTTGAAATTATTTTCCTGTTTATATATATATATATATATATATATATATATATATATATATATATATATATATATATATATATACAATGTCAGACAACTCTCCTAAACACGAGAGAAAAATGAAACAGGAATTTCCTACTCCGAAATTACCATCTCTTTTAAGGGTCTGAGCGGGTGTGGACAGGGTTAAGGCGTACGTGTTATGCCATTTTCTGTGCTATACAGGGTTCAGTCTCCTGGTGGGAAAGTGTTATATATATATATATATATATATATATATATATATATATATATATATATATATATATATATATATATATATATATATATATATATAATTGCATTTACTAAAGCATTAAAAATATAGTCGTTAGATTATACTGAATACATTGTTCCTTGCAAATAACATTATGTACTTGTTGGGGTGTCAAGTGGTGCCATTGGACCCGTGCAACCCTACGCCCTGCGGTCCCAATGCCAACTGTGGTGTTACTGGCAGCCGGGCTGACTGCTCCTGCTTCCCGGGTTACATTGGCAACCCGTATGTGGAGTGCCGTCCCGAGTGCACCATCAACTCAGACTGCCCCAAGTACCTAGCGTGCGTCAACCAGAAGTGTAGAGACCCCTGTCAGGCCGGGTCATGCGGCGTCAACGCTCTCTGTAATGTCATCAACCACAAGGCCGTGTGCACGTGTCCCCGGAGATACGACGGTGACCCTCACGTGGAGTGTCGTCTTGGTGAGTACCCACCTTGATTTGCTTCGGGCCTAGTTTTTGAGTCTGTTTTTTTTCTGTCATATGATGATTTTTTCTTTTGCACGATAGACAGTTAGCAGTGTTTTTATAATTTCATCTGAAGCATGATATATGATAAGCATGAAATGTCATATGATTGAGCATGTCATATTGCATGGCATATGTTGCCTGGCGCTAGCATGTTGTCCTTGTTTCCTTTAAAAGTCCCTTTTGAGCTTGTATTCAGAAGTTGCTGAAGTATGAAGCATGTGTCATAATGTACAAACTTTAAAGTTATCCAGTGCATGTCGTAACTGCATGAATTATAACTTTTTTCAGCATCAACGAAGCCCGTCAAATGCTCCCCGAATGCATGCAGCTTTAACACTGAATGTCGAGTTACTAACAATGTTCCTATATGCTATTGTCTCCATGGTTACACAGGCGACCCCGAGCGAGGGTGTTCCCCTGCCACAACTCCTTCCCCGCTTGTAGAGACTCCCCCAGCTCAGCCTTCCCAACCCTTCCATCCCCCTACTACTCCACCCTCCCCTCCACTCCCACCCACCGAGTGTAAGTCTAACTCACACTGTTCCCCATCACGGACCTGCATCAACGAGAGGTGTGTCGACCCTTGCATCGCCACTCACCCGTGTGCCACAGGTGCCGATTGCACTGTCATCCGACACCGGCCAGTCTGCAAGTGTCCCGCAGGGTTCCAAGGCAACCCACTTACTAACTGCTTCCCGAGAACAACTACGCCCAGGCCTGAATGTCTGACAGATGTCGACTGTCCGCAAGATGAGGCTTGTGCTGAACGCCGGTGTGTCAGTCCATGTCGAGTGGCTAACCCATGCTCACACCTGGCTGAGTGCACAGTTGTTGCTCACTTACCACATTGTACTTGCATTCTGGGTTATGTAGGCAACGGTTATTACTGTGAGCTTTCCACTACTACTACTACTACCCCCTCCCCCATTACTAAATATCCGACTGGAACGACTTTCAGACCAGGAGTGGGTACTCGGCCCCCAAGCCACGAGGTTGACATAGAATGTACAAGAGACTCACAATGTGACGATGACGAGATGTGCCACAACTTTGATTGCATTCTAGTTTGCAATGTGACCAATCCATGTCGTAGCCACAGTGCACTGTGTCAGGGTGTCAACCACAGACCTGTGTGTTACTGCCAGCCAGGACTTGTTGGTAACCCATACATTGAATGCAAAGAGTCAATCCCAGCTACAATTCCACCAGACTGCCTCTCTGACCGAGACTGCCCACCCAACAAAGCTTGTGCCCAACGTGAGTGTCTCAATCCATGTATATCGTTTAATCCTTGCTCGCCGTTCGCAACATGTGAGACGCTGGAACACTTCCCTGTGTGCTCCTGCCTCTTAGGTTTTACGGGGTCTGGTTATGTTTGCGATCGTCTCCCACCAATTGTTGACAGGCCGCATTTGCAACACCCAGAGCCCCAACCCATCCCTATAGCAATGACCAGCACGACACAGCGCCCCATAGCAGAGTATCCTACTACAGAGCATAAGAGGCCATTAACGCCCAAGCCACTGCAACCATTCATTCCTGCACCACTGCCAATCACTGTTGGGTGTAAGAGCACAGATGACTGTCCATACAGTGACACATGTATTAATCAACTATGTGTAGATTTGTGCCACCAAGGTTACTGTGGAAGCAATGCAGATTGTAAAATTCAATATAGCAGACCCAAGTGCTCTTGCCCACCAGGAACAACTGGAGATCCATTTTTGAAGTGCATAGCTGTTGCAACTTTAGCTCCCCCGACCACTCTTGGTCCTCTTGGGGAGGTTCACCATCCACCACCAGAAGATCCTATATATCCTGTGAAAGGCCTGACACACACCTTACCCCCTCCTGTGGCTGCTCCCTCCACCACCAGAGCTCCAGAGAGACCATACACACAGCCCACACCAGTACACCAGGTGCCATCACCAGTCATGATTGGATGCGAGAGTAACGACATGTGTCCTTCTGATGCGACTTGCATAAACCGCCTATGTGGTGATGTGTGTAGCCCTACATTGTGTGCGGACACAGCTCTCTGCCACACTCTTGAAAATCGACCGACTTGCATATGTCCTCCTGGAACCTCTGGAAACCCAACTATCAAGTGTACAGCACACGCAACTGAAAAGCCTTATACAACACGACCACCATTAAGTGGAATGTTTCCAAGTACCCCATCGCCCCCACTGATCCATCCAATTTCTGGTCTCTCACACACACGTCCTCCTCCAGTAGCTGCTGAAGCCACTACCAGACCACCCCAGATGGAGGTGTCACAGTTACCTCTAGCGCCGATCATACCCATCATTGCAGTTGCATGTGAGAATAATGATGATTGCACAATGGACAACACATGCTATAATGAATTATGCTACGATGTGTGTGCTTTAGGCATATGTGGAGAGAATGCTGAGTGCACAGTAACGACACATCGACCAGTATGCACGTGTCCATCTGGCACAACCGGAGATCCCACTCGTAAATGCATGGCATTGTTAACAGAAAGACCAACTACTACCAACCCTATGGGACAAACATTTGCGCCAAAGGACTATGAAGATATTCAACCTATTCCAGGACCACCAATAATTACCATGCCACCACTGGCTGAGCAGCCAACACCGAGACCCAGACCACCACCAGTGACACAGCCTCCACCACCACCAACACCTGGTCCTATGGCTGTAGGATGTGAGAGCTCTGATGAGTGTCCGTTTGATAACTCCTGTGTCAACAAAGTCTGTTTTGACATTTGCCATCCTAGATTTTGTGGAGAAAATGCAGAGTGTCAGACAACAGCACACCGTCCCACTTGCACATGTCCACCAGGAACCACAGGCAATCCAAACGTCAAGTGTTCGGCACTTGCTTTCGATAAACCAGTTCCAATTGTTCCTGCAGTTGCTGCAGATAGACCCCCTGTTGCAGAAACACCAGTTCATCCCATTGCTGGTCCAATGGCTACAGGACTGCCTCCTTTGGTGGAGCAGGCAACGCATCGTCCAACAGAGCCGCCAGTCTCACGACCTCCTCCAGAGCCGATACGTCCTTTAGTCCTTCTTGCCTGTGAGAACAACGATGATTGTGACATGGCTAATTCATGTTTAAACAAACTGTGTTACAGTGTTTGTAGTCTCGGGGTTTGTGGTGAAAACACTGACTGTAAGACTGTTGATCATAGACCAGTTTGCCTCTGTCAGCCTGGAACAACTGGAAATCCACAAAAAGGCTGCATTGCTGTAATAACAGAAAAACCAGATATTATTACAAAACCTCCGGTTTCCAAACAACCACAAGTTAGTGTAATGCCAATAGACCCTATTCCTGGTCCTACCTCGCCTCCACCATCACCACTAACAGAAAAACCAGTTCCTTCAACAACAGAACCTCCAGTTCCACTGCCTCCTGCAATACCAACTGCTCCACCAAATGCTGTAGGTTGTGAAAATACTGACGACTGTCCAAATGATAACAGCTGCATCAATCGCGTCTGTCTAAACGTATGTTTCCCTGGTCTGTGTGGTGAGGCTGCTGATTGTAATACTGTTGACCACCGACCCACTTGTGTCTGTCCCCCAGGCACGACAGGCAATCCCACAAAAGAGTGCAAAGCAGTTGCTACTGACGGACTTGTTACCCCAATTCCAATTGCTGGCACATCAAGCTTACCACCTAGTGAGCCAATTTTACCTGTATTAGGTCCCACTGCTCCTGCTCCACCACCTTTAGCTGAACGACCAATAACAAAACCCCCAGAACCGACAATTCCAAGACCAACACTTCCTCTACTTCTTCCACCAGTTGTCATTGCATGTGAGAATAATGATGACTGCACATCGGATAACTCTTGCATCAACAAACAATGCTATGATGTGTGTAGTCTTGGAGTCTGTGGTGAGGACGCAGAATGTAAGATTGACAGTCATCGTCCAGTCTGTAGCTGTCCTCCAGGAACCACGGGAAATCCTTTACACAAATGTGTATCTTCACTGACAGAAAGACCTGCCATCCAACTACCTCCCATGGCAGAAATTATGCCTACTGAAACTGGCGACCCAATCCGTCCATTAACTGGTCCAACAAGTCCAGGTTTACCACCACTGACTGAACACCCAACACCGAGACCCAGACCACCACCAGTGACACAGCCTCCACCACCACCAACACCTGGTCCTATGGCTGTAGGATGTGAGAGCTCTGATGAGTGTCCGTTTGATAACTCCTGTGTCAACAAAGTCTGTTTTGACATTTGCCATCCTAGATTTTGTGGAGAAAATGCAGAGTGTCAGACAACAGCACACCGTCCCACTTGCACATGTCCACCAGGAACCACAGGCAATCCAAACGTCAAGTGTTCGGCACTTGCTTTCGATAAACCAGTTCCAATTGTTCCTGCAGTTGCTGCAGATAGACCCCCTGTTGCAGAAACACCAGTTCATCCCATTGCTGGTCCAATGGCTACAGGACTGCCTCCTTTGGTGGAGCAGGCAACGCATCGTCCAACAGAGCCGCCAGTCTCACGACCTCCTCCACCTCCGATACGTCCTTTAGGCCTTCTTGCCTGTGAGAACAACGATGATTGTGACATGGCTAATTCATGTTTAAACAAACTGTGTTACAGTGTTTGTAGTCTCGGGGTTTGTGGTGAAAACACTGACTGTAAGACTGTTGATCATAGACCAGTTTGCCTCTGTCAGCCTGGAACAACTGGAAATCCACAAAAAGGCTGCATTGCTGTAATAACAGAAAAACCAGATATTACAAAACCTCCGGTTTCCAAACAACCACTAGATAGTGTAATGCCAATAGACCCAATTCCTGGTCCTACCTCGCCTCCACCATCACCACTAACAGAAAAACCAGTTCCTTCAACAACAGAACCTCCAGTTCCACTGCCTCCTGCAATACCAACTGCTCCACCAAATGCTGTAGGTTGTGAAAATACTGACGACTGTCCAAATGATAACAGCTGCATCAATCGCGTCTGTCTAAACGTATGTTTCCCTGGTCTGTGTGGTGAGGCTGCTGATTGTAATACTGTTGACCACCGACCCACTTGTGTCTGTCCCCCAGGCACGACAGGCAATCCCACAAAAGAGTGCAAAGCTGTTGCTACTGACGGACTTGTTACCCCAATTCCAATTGCTGGCACATCAAGCTTACCACCTAGTGAGCCAATTTTACCTGTATCAGGTCCCACTGCTCCTGCTCCACCACCTTTAGCTGAACGACCAATAACAAAACCCCCAGAACCGACAATTCCAAGACCAACACTTCCTCTACTTCTTCCACCAGTTGTCATTGCATGTGAGAATAATGATGACTGCACATCGGATAACTCTTGCATCAACAAACAATGCTATGATGTGTGTAGTCTTGGAGTCTGTGGTGAGGACGCAGAATGTAAGATTGACAGTCATCGTCCAGTCTGTAGCTGTCCTCCAGGAACCACGGGAAATCCTTTACACAAATGTGTATCTTCACTGACAGAAAGACCTGCCATCCAACTACCTCCCATGGCAGAAATTATGCCTACTGAAACTGGCGACCCAGTCCGTCCATTAACTGGTCCAACAAGTCCAGGTTTACCACCACTGACTGAACACCCAACACCGAGACCCAGACCACCACCAGTGACACAGCCTCCACCACCACCAACACCTGGTCCTATGGCTGTAGGATGTGAGAGCTCTGATGAGTGTCCGTTTGATAACTCCTGTGTCAACAAAGTCTGTTTTGACATTTGCCATCCTAGATTTTGTGGAGAAAATGCAGAGTGTCAGACAACAGCACACCGTCCCACTTGCACATGTCCACCAGGAACCACAGGCAATCCAAACGTCAAGTGTTCGGCACTTGCTTTCGATAAACCAGTTCCAATTGTTCCTGCAGTTGCTGCAGATAGACCCCCTGTTGCAGAAACACCAGTTCATCCCATTGCTGGTCCAATGGCTACAGGACTGCCTCCTTTGGTGGAGCAGGCAACGCATCGTCCAACAGAGCCGCCAGTCTCACGACCTCCTCCACCTCCGATACGTCCTTTAGGCCTTCTTGCCTGTGAGAACAACGATGATTGTGACATGGCTAATTCATGTTTAAACAAACTGTGTTACAGTGTTTGTAGTCTCGGGGTTTGTGGTGAAAACACTGACTGTAAGACTGTTGATCATAGACCAGTTTGCCTCTGTCAGCCTGGAACAACTGGAAATCCACAAAAAGGCTGCATTGCTGTAATAACAGAAAAACCAGATATTACAAAACCTCCGGTTTCCAAACAACCACTAGATAGTGTAATGCCAATAGACCCAATTCCTGGTCCTACCTCGCCTCCACCATCACCACTAACAGAAAAACCAGTTCCTTCAACAACAGAACCTCCAGTTCCACTGCCTCCTGCAATACCAACTGCTCCACCAAATGCTGTAGGTTGTGAAAATACTGACGACTGTCCAAATGATAACAGCTGCATCAATCGCGTCTGTCTAAACGTATGTTTCCCTGGTCTGTGTGGTGAGGCTGCTGATTGTAATACTGTTGACCACCGACCCACTTGTGTCTGTCCCCCAGGCACGACAGGCAATCCCACAAAAGAGTGCAAAGCTGTTGCTACTGACGGACTTGTTACCCCAATTCCAATTGCTGGCACATCAAGCTTACCACCTAGTGAGCCAATTTTACCTGTATCAGGTCCCACTGCTCCTGCTCCACCACCTTTAGCTGAACGACCAATAACAAAACCCCCAGAACCGACAATTCCAAGACCAACACTTCCTCTACTTCTTCCACCAGTTGTCATTGCATGTGAGAATAATGATGACTGCACATCGGATAACTCTTGCATCAACAAACAATGCTATGATGTGTGTAGTCTTGGAGTCTGTGGTGAGGACGCAGAATGTAAGATTGACAGTCATCGTCCAGTCTGTAGCTGTCCTCCAGGAACCACGGGAAATCCTTTACACAAATGTGTATCTTCACTGACAGAAAGACCTGCCATCCAACTACCTCCCATGGCAGAAATTATGCCTACTGAAACTGGCGACCCAGTCCGTCCATTAACTGGTCCAACAAGTCCAGGTTTACCACCACTGACTGAACACCCAACACCGAGACCCAGACCACCACCAGTGACACAGCCTCCACCACCACCAACACCTGGTCCTATGGCTGTAGGATGTGAGAGCTCTGATGAGTGTCCGTTTGATAACTCCTGTGTCAACAAAGTCTGTTTTGACATTTGCCATCCTAGATTTTGTGGAGAAAATGCAGAGTGTCAGACAACAGCACACCGTCCCACTTGCACATGTCCACCAGGAACCACAGGCAATCCAAACGTCAAGTGTTCGGCACTTGCTTTCGATAAACCAGTTCCAATTGTTCCTGCAGTTGCTGCAGATAGACCCCCTGTTGCAGAAACACCAGTTCATCCCATTGCTGGTCCAATGGCTACAGGACTGCCTCCTTTGGTGGAGCAGGCAACGCATCGTCCAACAGAGCCGCCAGTCTCACGACCTCCTCCACCTCCGATACGTCCTTTAGTCCTTCTTGCCTGTGAGAACAACGATGATTGTGACATGGCTAATTCATGTTTAAACAAACTGTGTTACAGTGTTTGTAGTCTCGGGGTTTGTGGTGAAAACACTGACTGTAAGACTGTTGATCATAGACCAGTTTGCCTCTGTCAGCCTGGAACAACTGGAAATCCACAAAAAGGCTGCATTGCTGTAATAACAGAAAAACCAGATATTACAAAACCTCCGGTTTCCAAACAACCACTAGATAGTGTAATGCCAATAGACCCAATTCCTGGTCCTACCTCGCCTCCACCATCACCACTAACAGAAAAACCAGTTCCTTCAACAACAGAACCTCCAGTTCCACTGCCTCCTGCAATACCAACTGCTCCACCAAATGCTGTAGGTTGTGAAAATACTGACGACTGTCCAAATGATAACAGCTGCATCAATCGCGTCTGTCTAAACGTATGTTTCCCTGGTCTGTGTGGTGAGGCTGCTGATTGTAATACTGTTGACCACCGACCCACTTGTGTCTGTCCCCCAGGCACGACAGGCAATCCCACAAAAGAGTGCAAAGCAGTTGCTACTGACGGACTTGTTACCCCAATTCCAATTGCTGGCACATCAAGCTTACCACCTAGTGAGCCAATTTTACCTGTATCAGGTCCCACTGCTCCTGCTCCACCACCTTTAGCTGAACGACCAATAACAAAACCCCCAGAACCGACAATTCCAAGACCAACACTTCCTCTACTTCTTCCACCAGTTGTCATTGCATGTGAGAATAATGATGACTGCACATCGGATAACTCTTGCATCAACAAACAATGCTATGATGTGTGTAGTCTTGGAGTCTGTGGTGAGGACGCAGAATGTAAGATTGACAGTCATCGTCCAGTCTGTAGCTGTCCTCCAGGAACCACGGGAAATCCTTTACACAAATGTGTATCTTCACTGACAGAAAGACCTGCCATCCAACTACCTCCCATGGCAGAAATTATGCCTACTGAAACTGGCGACCCAATCCGTCCATTAACTGGTCCAACAAGTCCAGGTTTACCACCACTGACTGAACACCCAACACCGAGACCCAGACCACCACCAGTGACACAGCCTCCACCACCACCAACACCTGGTCCTATGGCTGTAGGATGTGAGAGCTCTGATGAGTGTCCGTTTGATAACTCCTGTGTCAACAAAGTCTGTTTTGACATTTGCCATCCTAGATTTTGTGGAGAAAATGCAGAGTGTCAGACAACAGCACACCGTCCCACTTGCACATGTCCACCAGGAACCACAGGCAATCCAAACGTCAAGTGTTCGGCACTTGCTTTCGATAAACCAGTTCCAATTGTTCCTGCAGTTGCTGCAGATAGACCCCCTGTTGCAGAAACACCAGTTCATCCCATTGCTGGTCCAATGGCTACAGGACTGCCTCCTTTGGTGGAGCAGGCAACGCATCGTCCAACAGAGCCGCCAGTCTCACGACCTCCTCCACCTCCGATACGTCCTTTAGGCCTTCTTGCCTGTGAGAACAACGATGATTGTGACATGGCTAATTCATGTTTAAACAAACTGTGTTACAGTGTTTGTAGTCTCGGGGTTTGTGGTGAAAACACTGACTGTAAGACTGTTGATCATAGACCAGTTTGCCTCTGTCAGCCTGGAACAACTGGAAATCCACAAAAAGGCTGCATTGCTGTAATAACAGAAAAACCAGATATTACAAAACCTCCGGTTTCCAAACAACCACTAGATAGTGTAATGCCAATAGACCCAATTCCTGGTCCTACCTCGCCTCCACCATCACCACTAACAGAAAAACCAGTTCCTTCAACAACAGAACCTCCAGTTCCACTGCCTCCTGCAATACCAACTGCTCCACCAAATGCTGTAGGTTGTGAAAATACTGACGACTGTCCAAATGATAACAGCTGCATCAATCGCGTCTGTCTAAACGTATGTTTCCCTGGTCTGTGTGGTGAGGCTGCTGATTGTAATACTGTTGACCACCGACCCACTTGTGTCTGTCCCCCAGGCACGACAGGCAATCCCACAAAAGAGTGCAAAGCTGTTGCTACTGACGGACTTGTTACCCCAATTCCAATTGCTGGCACATCAAGCTTACCACCTAGTGAGCCAATTTTACCTGTATCAGGTCCCACTGCTCCTGCTCCACCACCTTTAGCTGAACGACCAATAACAAAACCCCCAGAACCGACAATTCCAAGACCAACACTTCCTCTACTTCTTCCACCAGTTGTCATTGCATGTGAGAATAATGATGACTGCACATCGGATAACTCTTGCATCAACAAACAATGCTATGATGTGTGTAGTCTTGGAGTCTGTGGTGAGGACGCAGAATGTAAGATTGACAGTCATCGTCCAGTCTGTAGCTGTCCTCCAGGAACCACGGGAAATCCTTTACACAAATGTGTATCTTCACTGACAGAAAGACCTGCCATCCAACTACCTCCCATGGCAGAAATTATGCCTACTGAAACTGGCGACCCAGTCCGTCCATTAACTGGTCCAACAAGTCCAGGTTTACCACCACTGACTGAACACCCAACACCGAGACCCAGACCACCACCAGTGACACAGCCTCCACCACCACCAACACCTGGTCCTATGGCTGTAGGATGTGAGAGCTCTGATGAGTGTCCGTTTGATAACTCCTGTGTCAACAAAGTCTGTTTTGACATTTGCCATCCTAGATTTTGTGGAGAAAATGCAGAGTGTCAGACAACAGCACACCGTCCCACTTGCACATGTCCACCAGGAACCACAGGCAATCCAAACGTCAAGTGTTCGGCACTTGCTTTCGATAAACCAGTTCCAATTGTTCCTGCAGTTGCTGCAGATAGACCCCCTGTTGCAGAAACACCAGTTCATCCCATTGCTGGTCCAATGGCTACAGGACTGCCTCCTTTGGTGGAGCAGGCAACGCATCGTCCAACAGAGCCGCCAGTCTCACGACCTCCTCCACCTCCGATACGTCCTTTAGGCCTTCTTGCCTGTGAGAACAACGATGATTGTGACATGGCTAATTCATGTTTAAACAAACTGTGTTACAGTGTTTGTAGTCTCGGGGTTTGTGGTGAAAACACTGACTGTAAGACTGTTGATCATAGACCAGTTTGCCTCTGTCAGCCTGGAACAACTGGAAATCCACAAAAAGGCTGCATTGCTGTAATAACAGAAAAACCAGATATTACAAAACCTCCGGTTTCCAAACAACCACTAGATAGTGTAATGCCAATAGACCCAATTCCTGGTCCTACCTCGCCTCCACCATCACCACTAACAGAAAAACCAGTTCCTTCAACAACAGAACCTCCAGTTCCACTGCCTCCTGCAATACCAACTGCTCCACCAAATGCTGTAGGTTGTGAAAATACTGACGACTGTCCAAATGATAACAGCTGCATCAATCGCGTCTGTCTAAACGTATGTTTCCCTGGTCTGTGTGGTGAGGCTGCTGATTGTAATACTGTTGACCACCGACCCACTTGTGTCTGTCCCCCAGGCACGACAGGCAATCCCACAAAAGAGTGCAAAGCTGTTGCTACTGACGGACTTGTTACCCCAATTCCAATTGCTGGCACATCAAGCTTACCACCTAGTGAGCCAATTTTACCTGTATCAGGTCCCACTGCTCCTGCTCCACCACCTTTAGCTGAACGACCAATAACAAAACCCCCAGAACCGACAATTCCAAGACCAACACTTCCTCTACTTCTTCCACCAGTTGTCATTGCATGTGAGAATAATGATGACTGCACATCGGATAACTCTTGCATCAACAAACAATGCTATGATGTGTGTAGTCTTGGAGTCTGTGGTGAGGACGCAGAATGTAAGATTGACAGTCATCGTCCAGTCTGTAGCTGTCCTCCAGGAACCACGGGAAATCCTTTACACAAATGTGTATCTTCACTGACAGAAAGACCTGCCATCCAACTACCTCCCATGGCAGAAATTATGCCTACTGAAACTGGCGACCCAGTCCGTCCATTAACTGGTCCAACAAGTCCAGGTTTACCACCACTGACTGAACACCCAACACCGAGACCCAGACCACCACCAGTGACACAGCCTCCACCACCACCAACACCTGGTCCTATGGCTGTAGGATGTGAGAGCTCTGATGAGTGTCCGTTTGATAACTCCTGTGTCAACAAAGTCTGTTTTGACATTTGCCATCCTAGATTTTGTGGAGAAAATGCAGAGTGTCAGACAACAGCACACCGTCCCACTTGCACATGTCCACCAGGAACCACAGGCAATCCAAACGTCAAGTGTTCGGCACTTGCTTTCGATAAACCAGTTCCAATTGTTCCTGCAGTTGCTGGAGATAGACCCCCTGTTGCAGAAACACCAGTTCATCCCATTGCTGGTCCAATGGCTACAGGACTGCCTCCTTTGGTGGAGCAGGCAACGCATCGTCCAACAGAGCCGCCAGTCTCACGACCTCCTCCACCTCCGATACGTCCTTTAGGCCTTCTTGCCTGTGAGAACAACGATGATTGTGACATGGCTAATTCATGTTTAAACAAACTGTGTTACAGTGTTTGTAGTCTCGGGGTTTGTGGTGAAAACACTGACTGTAAGACTGTTGATCATAGACCAGTTTGCCTCTGTCAGCCTGGAACAACTGGAAATCCACAAAAAGGCTGCATTGCTGTAATAACAGAAAAACCAGATATTACAAAACCTCCGGTTTCCAAACAACCACCAGATAGTGTAATGCCAATAGACCCAATTCCTGGTCCTACCTCGCCTCCACCATCACCACTAACAGAAAAACCAGTTCCTTCAACAACAGAACCTCCAGTTCCACTGCCTCCTGCAATACCAACAGCTCCACCAAATGCTGTAGGTTGTGAAAATACTGACGACTGTCCAAATGATAACAGCTGCATCAATCGCGTCTGTCTAAACGTATGTTTCCCTGGTCTGTGTGGTGAGGCTGCTGATTGTAATACTGTTGACCACCGACCCACTTGTGTCTGTCCCCCAGGCACGACAGGCAATCCCACAAAAGAGTGCAAAGCTGTTGCTACTGACGGACTTGTTACCCCAATTCCAATTGCTGGCACATCAAGCTTACCACCTAGTGAGCCAATTTTACCTGTATCAGGTCCCACTGCTCCTGCTCCACCACCTTTAGCTGAACGACCAATAACAAAACCCCCAGAACCGACAATTCCAAGACCAACACTTCCTCTACTTCTTCCACCAGTTGTCATTGCATGTGAGAATAATGATGACTGCACATCGGATAACTCTTGTATCAACAAACAATGCTATGATGTGTGTAGTCTTGGAGTCTGTGGTGAGGACGCAGAATGTAAGATTGACAGTCATCGTCCAGTCTGTAGCTGTCCTCCAGGAACCACGGGAAATCCTTTACACAAATGTGTATCTTCACTGACAGAAAGACCTGCCATCCAACTACCTCCCATGGCAGAAATTATGCCTACTGAAACTGGCGACCCAGTCCGTCCATTAACTGGTCCAACAAGTCCAGGTTTACCACCACTGACTGAACACCCAACACCGAGACCCAGACCACCACCAGTGACACAGCCTCCACCACCACCAACACCTGGTCCTATGGCTGTAGGATGTGAGAGCTCTGATGAGTGTCCGTTTGATAACTCCTGTGTCAACAAAGTCTGTTTTGACATTTGCCATCCTAGATTTTGTGGAGAAAATGCAGAGTGTCAGACAACAGCACACCGTCCCACTTGCACATGCCCACCAGGAACCACAGGCAATCCAAACGTCAAGTGTTCGGCACTTGCTTTCGATAAACCAGTTCCAATTGTTCCTGCAGTTGCTGGAGATAGACCCCCTGTTGCAGAAACACCAGTTCATCCCATTGCTGGTCCAATGGCTACAGGACTGCCTCCTTTGGTGGAGCAGGCAACGCATCGTCCAACAGAGCCGCCAGTCTCACGACCTCCTCCACCTCCGATACGTCCTTTAGGCCTTCTTGCCTGTGAGAACAACGATGATTGTGACATGGCTAATTCATGTTTAAACAAACTGTGTTACAGTGTTTGTAGTCTCGGGGTTTGTGGTGAAAACACTGACTGTAAGACTGTTGATCATAGACCAGTTTGCCTCTGTCAGCCTGGAACAACTGGAAATCCACAAAAAGGCTGCATTGCTGTAATAACAGAAAAACCAGATATTACAAAACCTCCGGTTTCCAAACAACCACTAGATAGTGTAATGCCAATAGACCCAATTCCTGGTCCTACCTCGCCTCCACCATCACCACTAACAGAAAAACCAGTTCCTTCAACAACAGAACCTCCAGTTCCACTGCCTCCTGCAATACCAACAGCTCCACCAAATGCTGTAGGTTGTGAAAATACTGACGACTGTCCAAATGATAACAGCTGCATCAATCGCGTCTGTCTAAACGTATGTTTCCCTGGTCTGTGTGGTGAGGCTGCTGATTGTAATACTGTTGACCACCGACCCACTTGTGTCTGTCCCCCAGGCACGACAGGCAATCCCACAAAAGAGTGCAAAGCTGTTGCTACTGACGGACTTGTTACCCCAATTCCAATTGCTGGCACATCAAGCTTACCACCTAGTGAGCCAATTTTACCTGTATCAGGTCCCACTGCTCCTGCTCCACCACCTTTAGCTGAACGACCAATAACAAAACCCCCAGAACCGACAATTCCAAGACCAACACTTCCTCTACTTCTTCCACCAGTTGTCATTGCATGTGAGAATAATGATGACTGCACATCGGATAACTCTTGCATCAACAAACAATGCTATGATGTGTGTAGTCTTGGAGTCTGTGGTGAGGACGCAGAATGTAAGATTGACAATCATCGTCCAGTCTGTAGCTGTCCTCCAGGAACCACGGGAAATCCTTTACACAAATGTGTATCTTCACTGACAGAAAGACCTGCCATCCAACTACCTCCCATGGCAGAAATTATTCCTACTGAAACTGGCGACCCAGTACGTCCATTAACTGGTCCAACAAGTCCAGGTTTACCACCACTGACTGAACACCCAACACCGAGACCCAGACCACCACCAGTGACACAGCCTCCACCACCACCAACACCTGGTCCTATGGCTGTAGGATGTGAAAGCACCAGTCAGTGTCCGTTCGATAACTCCTGTGTCAACAAAGTCTGTCTTGACGTTTGTTATCCTGGTTTCTGTGGTGATAATGCTGACTGCATTACATCTGGACACCGTCCTACCTGCCAGTGCCCTCAAGGAACTACTGGTAACCCAACACTAAAATGCTCTGTTCTTGAGGTGGATACACCTATTCTGCCCACCCCTCCGGCTGCTGGAGAAAAGTTTCCAGATGCAGAGGCAATCATCCATCCTGTTGTGGGTCCAACAGCTACCGTACATCCTCCTTTGGCCGAGTACCCAACACATCATCCCCCACCGACACCTACACGACCTCCCCCTTCTACTGTTACTCCGTCAGTTATCATTGCATGTGCAAACAATGATGATTGTGACATGGGTAAGTCTTGCATCAACATGTTATGTTATGATGTATGCAGTCTGAACTCTTGTGGTGAAGATGCTCACTGTCAGAGCGTGAGCCACAGACCAGTGTGTCTGTGCCCCCTTGGAACTACGGGAGATCCTCAGGTTGGCTGCACAGCCACTGCTACAGAAAGGATTACAACTCTTCCCCCAATCACAGGCATACCACCACAGAAAGAAGACATTTCCATACAACTCCATACTGGCCCAACGTCAGAAATGCCACCTCCAGTTGCAGAATATACAACCATCAGGCCTCCTGAGCCTATATTCACTGTACTGCCTCCAGTTCCCACTCCTCCACCAGTAACTATTGGGTGTGAAAGCAATAGTCACTGTCCATATGATAATACGTGTGTGAATCGATTTTGTCTTAACGTGTGTACTCCTGGTTTGTGTGGAGAAAATGCTGCTTGCCAAACTCTAGGTCATAGACCTTCTTGTAGTTGCTATCCTGGAACAACAGGAAATCCTACGCAACAGTGCACTGCCCTGATGACGGAAAGACCTACAACAGCGTCACCTGTGTCTCAGATGCAACACCCACCAGATGATCCAATCATTATACCAGAGAAAGGTCCAACCACCACTTCACTCCCTCCACTGACAGAAGTTCCTGCAATTGGACCCCCTGAACCTCCTACACCTCCACCTCTACACTATCCAATTATTCCTGAAATTGCAATTGCTTGCCGTAACAATGATGACTGCACTTTGGACTCCTCTTGTATTAACAACTTTTGCTATGATGTGTGCAGTCTTGGAATTTGTGAAGACAGCGCCAAATGTAAAGTTGACAATCATCGTCCAGTCTGTAGCTGTCCTCCAGGAACCACGGGAAATCCTCTTAAAAAATGTGTGTCTTTACAGACAGAAAGACCAGCAACCCAACAACCTCCCATGGCAGAAATTATGCCTACTGAACCTGGCGACCCAGTACGTCCATTACCTGCACCAACAAGTCCAGGTTTACCACCACTGGCTGAACAGCCAACACCGAGACCCAGACCACCACCAGTGACACAGCCTCCACCACCACCAACACCTGGTCCTATGGCTGTAGGATGTGAGAGCTCTGATGAGTGTCCGTTTGATAACTCCTGTGTCAACAAATTTTGTTTTGACATTTGTCATCCTGGTTTATGTGGGGTAAATGCAGAGTGTCAGACAACTGGACACCGTCCCACTTGCACATGTCCACCAGGAACCATAGGCAATCCTACCATTAAATGCTCGGCTCTTGCTGTGGATAAACCAGTTTCTCCAGCTCCTCCAATTGCAGGGGATAGACCTCCTGCAGCAGAGATAACTATCCTTCCCATTTCAGGTCCCTCAACCACAGTACTTCCTCCTCTATTGGAACAGCCAACACACCCTCCTCCTGAGCCATCAGTGTCTAGTCCTCCCTTACCTCACTTAATTCCTTCTATTTCTATAGCATGTGAAAATAATGATGGTTGTGATTATGATAACACCTGCCTTAATATGCTGTGCTATGATGCATGTAGTGTTGGGGTATGTGGGGAGTCTGCTGAGTGCAGAACTGTTAGTCATAGACCTGTGTGTCTTTGTCCGCCTGGCACAACTGGAAATCCACAAATTCAATGCAAAGCTTTAATTGTTGAAAGTTCATCAACAGCGCCTCCAATTGCTGAGGTGCCGCTTACACCTCAAGAATCCATTCGTCCAATTTCAGATACAACTCATCGACCCTCACCAATAGTAGAAACACCCGAACCTAGACCTCAGGAGCCTACAACCGCTCAGCCGACATCGACCTTCTCACAACCGCCAATCATCGTTGGGTGTGAAAAGAACGACCAGTGTGGCTCCGACTCCACCTGCGTCAATCGACTCTGCACGGACATCTGTAGTCCGAAATTGTGTGCCGAGAATGCCCATTGCCAAACAATTCGACATCGGCCAACATGTTTATGCCCAGTTGGTACCACTGGCAATCCCACAGAAGGTTGTGTGTCTATGGCAACTGACAGACCAATAATTGAGGCACCCATAACAGGAACACCTCAGCAGCCAGAACACCACCCAGTACATCCTGTAATGGGCTCCCCAACAACTCCACTTCCTCCACTAGCTGAAACACTCACACCAAGACCTCCAACACCAGACTTTACAACACCTCTTTCACATGCTATTACTCCCGTCATTGCAATTGCTTGTGGGAATAATGATGACTGTACAATGGACAGCTCTTGTATAAACAAACTTTGCTATGATGTGTGTAGTTTAGGAGTCTGTGGCGACGACGCAGAGTGCAAGGTAAAAAGTCACCGTCCATACTGTAGCTGTCCTCCAGGAACCACGGGAAATCCTCTTAAAAAATGTGTGTCTTTACAGACAGACAGACCTGATATCCTACTACCTCCCATGAAAGAAATTATACCTCCAGAACCTGGCGACCCAGTCCGTCCATTACCTGGACCAACAAGTCCAGGTTTACCACCACTGGCTGAGCACCCAACACCGAGACCCAGACCACCACCAGTGACACAGCCTCCACCACCACCAACACCTGGTCCTATGGCTGTAGGATGTGAGAGCTCTGATGAGTGTCCGTTCCATAACTCCTGTGTCAACAAAGTCTGTTTTGACATTTGCCATCCTAGATTTTGTGGAGAAAATGCAGAGTGTCAGACATCTGGACACCGTCCCTCTTGCACATGTCCACCAGGAACCACAGGTAATCCTACCATTAAATGCTCGGCTCTTGCAGTGCATAAACCTGTTTCTTCAGCTCCTCCGGTTTCCGGAGGTAAACCGGTTTCTGAAGAAGAGACAACCATCCATATCATCTCAGGTTCCATAGCCACAGTACTTCCTCCTCTAGCAGAGTACCCAACACATCCTCCTCCACAGCCTCCAATCAAAAGACCTCTGCCACCTACAATAGCTCCTCTATTAACAGTTGCCTGTAAAAACAATGATGACTGTGACATGGAACATTCATGCCTGAACACACTTTGTTACGACGTTTGCAGTCTTGGAGTTTGTGGCGATAACTCTGATTGCAGGTCGATCAATCACAGACCGGTGTGCCTTTGTCCACCTGGGACAACTGGAAACCCACAAGTAGATTGCAAAGCATATGCGACAGAAAAGCCTGACATTACCACCCAACGTCCCAGTGTTGAACTGCTTCCAACTAGTGACCCACCAATCCGCCCACTTGCTAGTCCTACATCACCAAAACCACCACCTGTAGCTGAAGCTCCAGTTCCACCACCTACAGAACCTCCAGTTCCACTGCCTCCTGCAATACCAACTGCTCCACCAAATGCTGTAGGATGTGAGAGCACTGATAATTGTCCCTTTGAAACTAGCTGCATCAATCGCATCTGTCTAGACATCTGTCACCCTGGTCTGTGTGGTGAGGCTGCTGACTGTAAGACCGTGGACCACAGACCCACCTGTGTCTGTCCTCCAGGCACGACAGGCAATCCCACGCAGAAGTGTATAGCTGTCGCTACCGACAGGCCTGTTACCCACAGTCCAGTGGCAGGTACTTCAGTGTTACCGCCTGGAGAGCCAGTTTTACCGGCACCAGGTCTCACCTCTCCTGCTCCACCACCTTTAGCTGAACGGCCAACAACACCACCTCCAGAACCGACAATTCCAAGACCAACTCTTTCTCCAATCACTCCACCATTTGTCATTGCATGTAAGAATAATGATGACTGCACACAAGACAACTCTTGCATCAATAAACAATGCTATGATGTGTGCAGTCTTGGAGTCTGTGGCGAGGACGCAGACTGTAAGATCGACAATCATCGTCCAGTCTGTAGCTGTCCTCCAGGAACCACGGGAAATCCTTTGCGACAATGTGTGTCTTTACTGATAGAAAGACCAGCAACCCAACAATCTCCCATGGCAGAAATTGTGCCTACTCAACCTGACGACCCAGTACGTCCATTACCTGCACCAACAAGTCCAGGTTTACCACCACTGACTGAGCAGCCAACACCGAGACCCAGACCACCACCAGTGACACAGCCTCCACCACCACCCACACCTGGTCCTATGGCTGTAGGATGCGAGAGCTCTGATGAGTGTCCGTTCCATAACTCCTGTGTCAACAAACTTTGTTTTGACATTTGTCATCCTGGTTTATGTGGGGAAAATGCAGAGTGTCAGACAGTTGAACACATTGCAACTTGCACATGTCCACCAGGAACCATCGGTAATCCCACCATTAAATGCTCGGCTCTTGCTGTGGATAAACCAGTTCCACCGACTAGTCCGGTTGCTGGAGAGAGACCTCCTGGAGCAGAAACAATCATAAGTCCAATTCCAGGTCCCACAGGAACAATACTTCCTCCTATAGCCGAGGAGCCAAAACGCCCACCTACAGAACCACCAACATCACGACCGCTTCCACCTGCAATTGTTCCTCTAGGTTCAGTTGCTTGTAAAAACAATGATGACTGTGACATGGACAATTCATGCCTGAACCAAATTTGTTACAATGTTTGTAGCCTGAGCATTTGCGGTGAACAATCAGAATGTGTGAGTATCAATCACAGACCAGTGTGCCTTTGTCAACCTGGAACAACTGGAAATCCACAAGCAGGATGCAAAGCAATTGCGACAGAAAAGCCTGACATTACCACCCAACGTCCCAGTGTTGAACTGCTTCCAACTAGTGACTCACCAATCCGCCCACTTGCTAGTCCTACATCACCAAAACCACAACCTTTAGCTGAAGCTCCAGTTCCACCACCTACAGAACCTCCAGTTCCACTGCCTCCTGCAATACCAACTGCTCCACCAAATGCTGTAGGATGTGAGAGCACTGATAATTGTCCCTTTGAAACTAGCTGCATCAATCGCATCTGTCTAGACATCTGTCACCCTGGTCTGTGTGGTGAGGCTGCTGACTGTAAGACCGTAGACCACAGACCCACCTGTGTCTGTCCTCCAGGCACGACAGGCAATCCCACGCAGAAGTGTACAGCTGTCGCTACCGACAGGCCTGTTACCCACAGTCCAGTGGCAGGTACTTCAGTGTTACCGCCTGGAGAGCCAGTTTTTCCGGCACCAGGTCTCACCTCTCCTGCTCCACCACCTTTAGCTGAACGGCCAACAACACCACCTCCAGAACCGACAATTCCAAGACCAACTCTTTCTCCAATCACTCCACCATTTGTCATTGCATGTAAGAATAATGATGACTGCACACAAGACAACTCTTGCATCAATAAACAATGCTATGATGTGTGCAGTCTTGGAGTCTGTGGCGAGGACGCAGACTGTAAGATCGACAATCATCGTCCAGTCTGTAGCTGTCCTCCAGGAACCACGGGAAATCCTTTGCGACAATGTGTGTCTTTACTGATAGAAAGACCAGCAACCCAACAACCTCCCATGGCAGAAATTGTGCCTACTCAACCTGGCGACCCAGTACGTCCATTACCTGCACCAACAAGTCCAGGTTTACCACCACTGACTGAGCAGCCAACACCGAGACCCAGACCACCACCAGTGACACAGCCTCCACCACCACCCACACCTGGTCCTATGGCTGTAGGATGCGAGAGCTCTGATGAGTGTCCGTTCCATAACTCCTGTGTCAACAAACTTTGTTTTGACATTTGTCATCCTGGTTTATGTGGGGAAAATGCAGAGTGTCAGACAGTTGAACACATTGCAACTTGCACATGTCCACCAGGAACCATCGGTAATCCCACCATTAAATGCTCGGCTCTTGCTGTGGATAAACCAGTTCCACCGACTAGTCCGGTTGCTGGAGAGAGACCTCCTGGAGCAGAAACAATCATAAGTCCAATTCCAGGTCCCACAGGAACAATACTTCCTCCTATAGCCGAGGAGCCAAAACGCCCACCTACAGAACCACCAACATCACGACCGCTTCCACCTGCAATTGTTCCTCTAGGTTCAGTTGCTTGTAAAAACAATGATGACTGTGACATGGACAATTCATGCCTGAACCAAATTTGTTACAATGTTTGTAGCCTGAGCATTTGCGGTGAACAATCAGAATGTGTGAGTATCAATCACAGACCAGTGTGCCTTTGTCAACCTGGAACAACTGGAAATCCACAAGCAGGATGCAAAGCAATTGCGACAGAAAAGCCTGACATTACCACCCAACGTCCCAGTGTTGAACTGCTTCCAACTAGTGACTCACCAATCCGCCCACTTGCTAGTCCTACATCACCAAAACCACAACCTTTAGCTGAAGCTCCAGTTCCACCACCTACAGAACCTCCAGTTCCACTGCCTCCTGCAATACCAACTGCTCCACCAAATGCTGTAGGATGTGAGAGCACTGATAATTGTCCCTTTGAAACTAGCTGCATCAATCGCATCTGTCTAGACATCTGTCACCCTGGTCTGTGTGGTGAGGCTGCTGACTGTAAGACCGTAGACCACAGACCCACCTGTGTCTGTCCTCCAGGCACGACAGGCAATCCCACGCAGAAGTGTATAGCTGTCGCTACCGACAGGCCTGTTACCCACAGTCCAGTGGCAGGTACTTCAGTGTTACCGCCTGGAGAGCCAGTTTTTCCGGCACCAGGTCTCACCTCTCCTGCTCCACCACCTTTAGCTGAACGGCCAACAACACCACCTCCAGAACCGACAATTCCAAGACCAACTCTTTCTCCAATCACTCCACCATTTGTCATTGCATGTAAGAATAATGATGACTGCACACAAGACAACTCTTGCATCAATAAACAATGCTATGATGTGTGCAGTCTTGGAGTCTGTGGCGAGGACGCAGACTGTAAGATCGACAATCATCGTCCAGTCTGTAGCTGTCCTCCAGGAACCACGGGAAATCCTTTGCGACAATGTGTGTCTTTACTGATAGAAAGACCAGCAACCCAACAACCTCCCATGGCAGAAATTGTGCCTACTCAACCTGGCGACCCAGTACGTCCATTACCTGCACCAACAAGTCCAGGTTTACCACCACTGGCTGAGCAGCCAACACCGAGACCCAGACCACCACCAGTGACACAGCCTCCACCACCACCCACACCTGGTCCTATGGCTGTAGGATGCGAGAGCTCTGATGAGTGTCCGTTCCATAACTCCTGTGTCAACAAACTTTGTTTTGACATTTGTCATCCTGGTTTATGTGGGGAAAATGCAGAGTGTCAGACAGTTGAACACATTGCAACTTGCACATGTCCACCAGGAACCATCGGTAATCCCACCATTAAATGCTCGGCTCTTGCTGTGGATAAACCAGTTCCACCGACTAGTCCGGTTGCTGGAGAGAGACCTCCTGGAGCAGAAACAATCATAAGTCCAATTCCAGGTCCCACAGGAACAATACTTCCTCCTATAGCCGAGGAGCCAAAACGCCCACCTACAGAACCACCAACATCACGACCGCTTCCACCTGCAATTGTTCCTCTAGGTTCAGTTGCTTGTAAAAACAATGATGACTGTGACATGGACAATTCATGCCTGAACCAAATTTGTTACAATGTTTGTAGCCTGAGCATTTGCGGTGAACAATCAGAATGTGTGAGTATCAATCACAGACCAGTGTGCCTTTGTCAACCTGGAACAACTGGAAATCCACAAGCAGGATGCAAAGCAATTGCGACAGAAAAGCCTGACATTACCACCCAACGTCCCAGTGTTGAACTGCTTCCAACTAGTGACTCACCAATCCGCCCACTTGCTAGTCCTACATCACCAAAACCACAACCTTTAGCTGAAGCTCCAGTTCCACCACCTACAGAACCTCCAGTTCCACTGCCTCCTGCAATACCAACTGCTCCACCAAATGCTGTAGGATGTGAGAGCACTGATAATTGTCCCTTTGAAACTAGCTGCATCAATCGCATCTGTCTAGACATCTGTCACCCTGGTCTGTGTGGTGAGGCTGCTGACTGTAAGACCGTGGACCACAGACCCACCTGTGTCTGTCCTCCAGGCACGACAGGCAATCCCACGCAGAAGTGTATAGCTGTCGCTACCGACAGGCCTGTTACCCACAGTCCAGTGGCAGATACTTCAGTGTTACCGCCTGGAGAGCCAGTTTTTCCGGCACCAGGTCTCACCTCTCCTGCTCCACCACCTTTAGCTGAACGGCCAACAACACCACCTCCAGAACCGACAATTCCAAGACCAACTCCTGATCCAATCACTCTACCAGTTGTCATTGCATGTAAGAATAATGATGACTGCACACAAGACAACTCTTGCATCAATAAACATTGCTATGATGTGTGCAGTCTTGGAGTCTGTGGCGAGGACGCAGAATGTAAGATCGACAATCATCGTCCAGTCTGTAGCTGTCCTCCAGGAACCACGGGAAATCCTTTGCGACAATGTGTGTCTTTACTGATAGAAAGACCAGCAACCCAACAATCTCCCATGGCAGAAATTGTGCCTACTCAACCTGACGACCCAGTACGTCCATTACCTGCACCAACAAGTCCAGGTTTACCACCACTGACTGAGCAGCCAACACCGAGACCCAGACCACCACCAGTGACACAGCCTCCACCACCACCCACACCTGGTCCTATGGCTGTAGGATGCGAGAGCTCTGATGAGTGTCCGTTCCATAACTCCTGTGTCAACAAACTTTGTTTTGACATTTGTCATCCTGGTTTATGTGGGGAAAATGCAGAGTGTCAGACAGTTGAACACATTGCAACTTGCACATGTCCACCAGGAACCATCGGTAATCCCACCATTAAATGCTCGGCTCTTGCTGTGGATAAACCAGTTCCACCGACTAGTCCGGTTGCTGGAGAGAGACCTCCTGGAGCAGAAACAATCATAAGTCCAATTCCAGGTCCCACAGGAACAATACTTCCTCCTATAGCCGAGGAGCCAAAACGCCCACCTACAGAACCACCAACATCACGACCGCTTCCACCTGCAATTGTTCCTCTAGGTTCAGTTGCTTGTAAAAACAATGATGACTGTGACATGGACAATTCATGCCTGAACCAAATTTGTTACAATGTTTGTAGCCTGAGCATTTGCGGTGAACAATCAGAATGTGTGAGTATCAATCACAGACCAGTGTGCCTTTGTCAACCTGGAACAACTGGAAATCCACAAGCAGGATGCAAAGCAATTGCGACAGAAAAGCCTGACATTACCACCCAACGTCCCAGTGTTGAACTGCTTCCAACTAGTGACTCACCAATCCGCCCACTTGCTAGTCCTACATCACCAAAACCACAACCTTTAGCTGAAGCTCCAGTTCCACCACCTACAGAACCTCCAGTTCCACTGCCTCCTGCAATACCAACTGCTCCACCAAATGCTGTAGGATGTGAGAGCACTGATAATTGTCCCTTTGAAACTAGCTGCATCAATCGCATCTGTCTAGACATCTGTCACCCTGGTCTGTGTGGTGAGGCTGCTGACTGTAAGACCGTAGACCACAGACCCACCTGTGTCTGTCCTCCAGGCACGACAGGCAATCCCACGCAGAAGTGTATAGCTGTCGCTACCGACAGGCCTGTTACCCACAGTCCAGTGGCAGGTACTTCAGTGTTACCGCCTGGAGAGCCAGTTTTTCCGGCACCAGGTCTCACCTCTCCTGCTCCACCACCTTTAGCTGAACGGCCAACAACACCACCTCCAGAACCGACAATTCCAAGACCAACTCTTTCTCCAATCACTCCACCATTTGTCATTGCATGTAAGAATAATGATGACTGCACACAAGACAACTCTTGCATCAATAAACAATGCTATGATGTGTGCAGTCTTGGAGTCTGTGGCGAGGACGCAGACTGTAAGATCGACAATCATCGTCCAGTCTGTAGCTGTCCTCCAGGAACCACGGGAAATCCTTTGCGACAATGTGTGTCTTTACTGATAGAAAGACCAGCAACCCAACAACCTCCCATGGCAGAAATTGTGCCTACTCAACCTGGCGACCCAGTACGTCCATTACCTGCACCAACAAGTCCAGGTTTACCACCACTGGCTGAGCAGCCAACACCGAGACCCAGACCACCACCAGTGACACAGCCTCCACCACCACCCACACCTGGTCCTATGGCTGTAGGATGCGAGAGCTCTGATGAGTGTCCGTTCCATAACTCCTGTGTCAACAAACTTTGTTTTGACATTTGTCATCCTGGTTTATGTGGGGAAAATGCAGAGTGTCAGACAGTTGAACACATTGCAACTTGCACATGTCCACCAGGAACCATCGGTAATCCCACCATTAAATGCTCGGCTCTTGCTGTGGATAAACCAGTTCCACCGACTAGTCCGGTTGCTGGAGAGAGACCTCCTGGAGCAGAAACAATCATAAGTCCAATTCCAGGTCCCACAGGAACAATACTTCCTCCTATAGCCGAGGAGCCAAAACGCCCACCTACAGAACCACCAACATCACGACCGCTTCCACCTGCAATTGTTCCTCTAGGTTCAGTTGCTTGTAAAAACAATGATGACTGTGACATGGACAATTCATGCCTGAACCAAATTTGTTACAATGTTTGTAGCCTGAGCATTTGCGGTGAACAATCAGAATGTGTGAGTATCAATCACAGACCAGTGTGCCTTTGTCAACCTGGAACAACTGGAAATCCACAAGCAGGATGCAAAGCAATTGCGACAGAAAAGCCTGACATTACCACCCAACGTCCCAGTGTTGAACTGCTTCCAACTAGTGACTCACCAATCCGCCCACTTGCTAGTCCTACATCACCAAAACCACAACCTTTAGCTGAAGCTCCAGTTCCACCACCTACAGAACCTCCAGTTCCACTGCCTCCTGCAATACCAACTGCTCCACCAAATGCTGTAGGATGTGAGAGCACTGATAATTGTCCCTTTGAAACTAGCTGCATCAATCGCATCTGTCTAGACATCTGTCACCCTGGTCTGTGTGGTGAGGCTGCTGACTGTAAGACCGTGGACCACAGACCCACCTGTGTCTGTCCTCCAGGCACGACAGGCAATCCCACGCAGAAGTGTATAGCTGTCGCTACCGACAGGCCTGTTACCCACAGTCCAGTGGCAGGTACTTCAGTGTTACCGCCTGGAGAGCCAGTTTTTCCGGCACCAGGTCTCACCTCTCCTGCTCCACCACCTTTAGCTGAACGGCCAACAACACCACCTCCAGAACCGACAATTCCAAGACCAACTCTTTCTCCAATCACTCCACCAGTTGTCATTGCATGTAAGAATAATGATGACTGCACACAAGACAACTCTTGCATCAATAAACATTGCTATGATGTGTGCAGTCTTGGAGTCTGTGGCGAGGACGCAGAATGTAAGATCGACAATCATCGTCCAGTCTGTAGCTGTCCTCCAGGAACCACGGGAAATCCTTTGCGAGAATGTGTGTCTTTACTGATAGAAAGACCAGCAACCCAACAACCTCCCATGGCAGAAATTGTGCCTACTCAACCTGGCGACCCAGTACGTCCATTACCTGCACCAACAAGTCCAGGTTTACCACCACTGGCTGAGCAGCCAACACCGAGACCCAGACCACCACCAGTGACACAGCCTCCACCACCACCCACACCTGGTCCTATGGCTGTAGGATGCGAGAGCTCTGATGAGTGTCCGTTCCATAACTCCTGTGTCAACAAACTTTGTTTTGACATTTGTCATCCTGGTTTATGTGGGGAAAATGCAGAGTGTCAGACAGTTGGACACCGTCCCACTTGCACATGTCCACCAGGAACCATTGGTAATCCCAATATTAAATGCTCGGCTCTTGCTGTGGATAAACCAGTTCCTCCGACTAGTCCGGTTGCTGGAGATAGACTTCCTGGAGCAGATACAATCATAAGTCCAATTCCAGGTCCCACAGGAACAATACTTCCTCCTATAGGCGAGGAGCCAAAACGCCCACCTACAGAACCACCAACATCACGACCGGTTCCACCTGCAATTGTTCCTCTAGGTTCAGTTGCTTGTAAAAACAATGATGACTGTGGCATGGACAATTCATGCCTGAACCAAATTTGTTACAATGTTTGCAGCCTAGGCATTTGTGGTGAAGATGCCGATTGCAAAATTTTATATCACAGGCCAGTATGTCTGTGTCCACCTGGTACAACAGGAAATCCACAGCAAAGATGCTCTTCTATAGGCACTGTTCGACCTGAAACTGAACCACCAATAGCCAAGATAACACCAGCACCTCCTGGTGAACCTACGAGACCTGTTGCAGGTGTTAGCGTAGATCCCTTGCCCCCTCTGGTGTCTAAGCCTCCACCCAGCCCTACGGAGCCCCCTCTACCAGTAGTACCCAAGGTGCCCACTCCTCCACCTCTTCCTATTGGCTGCACCAGCAATGATGAGTGTCCATTTGATAACACTTGTGTTAACAAACTGTGCTTTGACGTATGTTATCCTGGGTTGTGTGGTATCAATGCCAATTGTGAGACAACAGGGCATCGGCCCTCTTGTGTGTGCCCCAGTGGTACCAGCGGGAATCCTACCATAGAGTGCATAGCTCAAGCTACGGAGAGCCCAGAGGAGCCTTCACCTCCCATGGGTCACAGCACTCCTCATTCACCTCATGAACCAGAGGTGCCCATTCAACCACCTGCATCCCCCAGGCCTCCACCTTTAGTAGAGATGCCCACCACAACACCTGAACCTCTGACACCGAGGCCCCCAATACCTCCTATTCAGCCTCATATTGTTATCGCTTGCAAAAACAATGATGAATGCCCTATAGACAACTCCTGTCTCAACCACATATGTTATGATGTCTGTGCTTTGGGTATCTGCGGAGAGAATGCTGCCTGCCAGATCTTCAATCACCGTCCTGTTTGTGAGTGCCCCCAAGGCACAAGTGGCACTCCTACAGACGGCTGCCAGGCAGTGCTTGTAGAGCACACAACGCCCCTCACGCCCACCATGGAAACTCCACCACCATTGATAGACAAGCCAATCATGCCAGTGGCGACACCGGGCTCAAGCCCCCCACCACCACTGGCTGAGGTAGGAACACCCAAGCCATCCCCACCTCCTGTTATCAGACCCCCGCCTCCGCCTACAGCTTCTCCTTTAGCAGTTGGGTGTGAAAGTACAGATCAATGTCCATATGACAATTCGTGTGTCAATCAGCTGTGTCTTGATGTGTGTCATCCAGCCCTGTGTGGTGAAAATGCTGAATGTCAGACAAGAGCACATAAGATAGAGTGCAGATGTCCTCCAGGCACCACTGGGAACCCCACACTCAAGTGTTCAGCATTAGCTGTGGTGGGGCCGACGACGACGCCGCCTCCAATGATTGGGGATCACACACCGCTGCCACAGCAGCCTCTGCAGCCTGGGATAGGACCCATCTCCACTCCTCTTCCACCCATTGCCCTGTTCCCTTCCACACAGCCGCCAGAGCCGCCACTCCCCACCCCTCCACCTCAACCCATTTTCCCACAAATATTAATAGCCTGTAAGAATAACGATGACTGTAACTTGGACAACTCCTGCATCAACCTCCTGTGCTACCCTGTCTGCTCTCTGGGAATATGTGGACAAAATGCAGAATGCAAGACCCTAGAACACCGAGCCATCTGCGTGTGTCCCAGTGGCACCACAGGCGACCCCCAGCAACATTGCCAAGCTTTAATTACAGAGGTTCCACCCACCTTACCCCCACCCTTCGGGGAGACGAGTCCCTACCCCAAGGTACCGATCGTGCCAATACCATCTCCTACCTCACCATCCCCACCTCCTATGGCACTGACACAACCACCTCTGGCCAAAGAACCGCTTCCTACCACACCCTCTCCACCTGTAACAGATGGCCCACCGCCCGTTGGGTGTGCCACTAGCGGGGAGTGTCCCTTCGATGAGCAATGTTACAATCGCCTGTGTGGCAAGGTGTGTAGCGTCCACCCTTGCCAGACTGATTCTGAGTGTATTGCTGGGATTCACCAGGCCATCTGCACCCCTGTCATGCCCCTCACGGAGAGGCCCCAGTGTATGGTGGACCAAGACTGCTTCACTACCCAAGCATGCATCAGCAGTGTCTGCAGAGAAGTCTGCCTCACCACTAACCCCTGTGCGCCCTTGGCTGTCTGCACTGCAGAGAATCACCGGCCTAGGTGTAACTGTCCACCGGGTTATGTAGGTAACCCCTTCGTGGCTTGTCGTCGCCCAGACCTGCCAACCCTGCCTCCCCATGAGCCCACCACCACCACACAGCGACCTGAATGCCTCGTCGACAATGACTGCCCCTACCACTTGGCCTGCCTCAACCATCAGTGTTTGAACCCGTGCCTGAAGAGAGACGTGTGTGGTTTGAACGCCGAGTGTATTATGACCGTGCACACACCCACCTGCTTGTGCATTCCAGGATACATTGGCAACCCGTATGTGAGGTGCCATCCCCCCACCACCTCAACGCCGTCCCCAGCGGAGCCCATCCTCAGACCCCAGTGCACAAAGAATGAGGACTGTCCCGCAGACCGTGCCTGCTACAGCGGCAGTTGCCAGAACCCTTGTGTTGCTACCAACCCGTGTGCCCCTACGGCTGTGTGTGATGCCCTCAGGCACGAAGCTGTGTGCTCTTGTCCCACGGGTATGACTGGTAACCCGCGTCTCCAGTGCCACAACAGTAAGATGTGTAGACGCTTGTCTTGCACTCCTTCACCTTCCGTTCGCGCATGCCAGAGCACGATGCATGTTTTCTCTTGTGCCTGTCATTTTCCTTAGTCTCAGCTTGTGCATATTATTTAAGTTTGCATTGTTCACTTGTGCATCAAGGAGTTTGTATTGTTCACTTGTGCATCAGGAAGCCTGCATCGTACCTACTGCATCGTCCACTATTATAAACTGCATCTTAAAAAAACTGTTTGCATCAATGAATCTTGCATTGTTCAGCATCGGTAAACTATATCTAAGCTTTTCTATTCTGAATTTATCTTTGTATATATATATATATATATATATATATATATATATATATATATATATATATATATATATATATATATATATATATATATATAATATATATATATAATATATATATATATAATATATATATATATAATATATAATATATATATATAATATATAATGTGTGAATATTTTAATGGACATTTAATCAGTTTTTGCTCAGTATTTTTCCGTCTGACTATGATATTCATCACAAAAGTATATGAAACAGCAATTTAAGTTAAGAATGAGATAAGAACATGAACAGTGTGAGTTATCTTGGACTGTAGTAAGAGACTATTGAGGCGAGGCGTTACTCCCATCCTTCACCTCAAGGTTTGGTATTGGCCACCAGGATAAGGCAGTGTTCGTGTTCACTCACCATTTCCAAGTGTTTAATATATTTTGTTACCCTGGTGCAGTCGAGGTGTCCACTCCCCAGCCTGAGTGCCTGGTGGATGACGATTGTAGTGATGTGCTGGCCTGCATCAACCAACAGTGCCAGAACCCTTGTGCCTTGTATGAGAACTGTGCCCCGAATGCCGAGTGCCATGTCATCCGTCACAGAGCCGTGTGTTCCTGCCCGGATGGTTTCGTTGGCAACCCCAACATCCAGTGTTTAGTGGGTAAGATAGACACGCGCCCAGTACCACACAATCTTCACTCTCACCTACACTCTCCTCTAGTTCATGGAGCCCGGCTCCCCGAGTTTGACATATTACCCTCGACATTGCCCCGGCTCGGTCACACAGTAGCACGATGTCAGTCAAGAGTGATGCAGTCTTACGTATCACTTCGGGGGTTTTCTCCCCCATGTGACAGTCTTGTCACGTCCACCTTACCCAGTTACCTGTCACCACGAAGCACTACACCTTACCCAGTTACCTGTCACCACGAAGCACTACACCTTACCCAGTTACCTGTCACCACGAAGCACTACACCTTACCCAGTTACCTGTCACCACGAAGCACTACACCTTACCCAGTTACCTGTCACCACGAAGCACTACACCTTACCCAGTTACCTGTCACCACGAAGCACTACACCTTACCCAGTTACCTGTCTCCACGAAGCACTACACCTTACCCAGTTACCTGTCACCACGAAGCACTACACCTTACCCAGTTACCTGTCACCACGAAGCACTACACAGATCCAGTTACCTGTCACCACGAAGCACTACACCTTACCCAGTTACCTGTCACCACGAAGCACTACACCTTACCCAGTTACCTGTCACCACGAAGCACTACACCTTACCCAGTTACCTGTCTCCACGAAGCACTACACCTTACCCAGTTACCTGTCACCACGAAGCACTACACAGATCCAGTTAGTCCACAACATGCTTCTCCGCACTTCAAATGCAGTACTTATTAATCTCTTTAATACAGGAACAACTGTTACAGCAGATTAAGACAGCTTATTGACAAAGTGACGTATGTGTATGTTGTGTGGGCTGGCTACACCTCGCTCCCCTCTCTTTCCTCTCGATAAAAGACTATGTCGACAAGACTGTTTCTAGCAACTATTGACCAGTTATTTGTAACTGTAAATAATTAATTTTATTCGTTATAAATAATGACTATAAAGAATATTAGCAACGAATGACTTTATTATATGTATACATCATACATTACAACGTGTATAGACGTGCAACGGGTTGTGTGTTAGCGTCCAGTAATTTCACTAATAAACTCTTTCACTGTTAGATCAGACAGTAATAAAACCTCTCACATACACACACACACACACACACACACACACACACACACACACACACACACACACACACACACACGACTCATTTAGGGTAAATATCAGATCAAGCAAGGCTGGTTCATCCCCTCCTCTCATTCTTGTCGGTCCCTTGACGTGTTGACTTAGAAAGTTTCTTGTTGCCACATCCAGCAGCTTAGCTCTCCATGTGTCTGGGCCTCCATGTGGGTCCCCCTTGGGAATGAGTTATAGCGCGCACACACACACACACACACACACACACACACACACACACACACACACACACACACACACACACACGCTAGAAGGGAGGAAATGTAACAAGAATGTTTGGTGGTCCACAGCTGGATGTCGCTCCAACTCTGAATGCCCCGTGCTGCACGCCTGCATCAACAGGGAGTGTGAGGACCCATGCCGCTACGAGAAGTGTGGCATCAACGCAGAGTGTCGCTCCGTTAACCAGAGAGCACAGTGCATCTGCCCCGAAACGTTCCTGGTAAGTGCCTTGGCCTCTGTCACTGTCTCAATCATGTTATTGTTAGGTGTCCTAGCTTCTATGGACGTCCCAAGAGTGTGTCCAGGTCTCTAAAATTGACATCTCGTCGCTATTACTAATCATAATATTTCTGTGTCAGATCTTTACTTGTTAATGGTCTTTCAATGCGACAGGGTGACCCGTACGTGCGATGTGAAAGACCCGAGTGCACGAGTGACCCAGAGTGCCCGTCATGGCTGGCCTGCATCGATGACAAGTGCCAGGACCCATGTAACTGTGGACCACAAGCCCAGTGCCGCGTCGTCAACCACCGCCCGCTCTGCACCTGTCCTCCGGGATATGATGGCGATGCTAACGTCCAGTGCATTCGCAGTACGTTCACACACACACACACGCACACACGCACACGCACACACACACACACACACGCACACACACACACACACACACACACACGCACACGCACACACACACACACACACGCACACACACACACACACACACACACACACGCACACACACACACACGCACACGCACACACACACACGCACACACACACACACACACACACACACACACACGCACACACACACACACACACACACACACACGCACACGCGCACACACACACACACACACACACACACACACACACACACACACACACACACACACACACACACACACACACACACACACACACACACACACACACACACACACACACGCACACGCACACACACACACACACACGCACACACACACACACACACACACACACGCACACACACACACACACACACACACACGCACACGCGCACACACACACACACACACACACACACACACACACACACACACACACACACACGCGCACACACACACACACACACACACACGCACACGCGCACACACACACACACACACACACACACACGCACACACGCACACACACACACACACACACACACACACACACACACACACACACACACACACCAGTCTATACGTTTCTGTTAAACCAAATATTAAAAAGTTTGTTTTGTAAGCAACTTTACACAAAAGTTACCTTACAAGAACAAATATAAGGAACGTTTTGGGTGACGATAACAAATATATTTTGAGTGATTTTACAGCTGTTATATATACATAAGAGAGAATTAGATGCCCTCTGCAGTTGCCCCTGACCAACACTTGTGAACTAGTTGCTTAGTGACCTCTTCTAACCGTGTCTTGTATCTTAATGATGTCATACAGAGCCGGTGAAAGAGCCGTCGTACAAGGAGTGCCAGACAGATGGAGAGTGCCTCAGCAAGATGGCCTGCTTCGACGGCCGGTGCCGCGACCCGTGCCAAGTGATCAACCCATGTGGCACCAATGCCAAGTGTGACGTGATCGACACCCTTCCCTTCAGGACGATGACGTGCGAGTGTGTGCCAGGCTTCACTGGCAACGCTTACGTCGAGTGCACTCCACGTAAGGCTTTGTTAAGTGTGTGTTTGGCATGTTTGTAAGTGTGTTCGTCTAAATCTTGAGAGGATTGACATGTGACTTCTGAGCAGTGAGTTTGTACATGCTAAACTGTAGATTAAATAGAAAACATTTTAATATTTAATGTTGCTCATCAATTCAGTAACTACACCAATACTAGTGATTTATGTAATAAGCAATACGCTCAGTACAGTAGTTAAGTGTACTGTGCACCACTATGTTCACTCTGCATCATCCTGAGCACTAGCGCCACACATCAAACACTTACCACATCTCACTTGCATCACTTGTGAATACAATTAACTCGTTATTCACTCAAATACTTGAGTAAATATTGTGAGAGGAGATGCGTGATATGTGCAGGATGGCGCGAGTACATACTGCTGCCCACTACACCTGCACTCATTATGTATTAACCTGTTAACCTGTGCTGACTTTTATTACTGTTCCAGGTGAAGCTTGACCCTCGCCAGTACTCTCATGTGTCCCCCAAGTTATAGCTCGTATATCATGTGTGATTATCATAGCTCCATCACATTAGTCTCTCCTCCCCCATAGTTCCCAGTTAACCAGCAGAGCCACACTCTTACATCTCATCTTCTTTTTCCTACAGCTGCAAAATCTATTATTTTATGTTAAAAAAAATCCAGCTATTTCTTGCATGCAAAAAGCAATGTTCATTGCATCTAAGATATTGTTTGACATTGTACAAGTTGACAACTTTGATTATGATAAATAAGGACAATAAATAATATAGTTACAATGCAATAACACGAGTTACATGAGCACGTCTCTTGCGGCCTCAGGCCCGACGCTGGCGCCAGGCTGCACGACGGACGACGAGTGTGGTCCGACGGAGGTGTGTCGCAACACATTGTGCCTGGACCCGTGTGCTGTGATCAACCCGTGTGCCCCCAGCGCCGAGTGCCAGGTGAGTCCTCCCCCACCTGACCTGGTGTGCCTGCCTCATGGCTTTACCTCTCTCAGGTCACGTTATTCTCCGCAGATTTAGTTTATCTTGCTTAGTCAATGTTGTTGTTCTCTGTTAAGATCATAGAGATCGCTGCTTTAACCCAATATATTGACTTTGTATTTCATACACATTACGAGTAGATCTGATTCTCAGTGATCTAAACTTTTGCTATTATTCATTTCAAGCAGAGAACAGATTTCTAGCATGAAGTAATAGTTGATTGAGAGAGTTATCATAAGTACTAGAGTGTTGTGCCGTGTTAAGCAGAGCTGATAGTGAGCCTGAGTAGTAATGAGTGACTTCACTCAGGTCATCAACCGCCGTACGGAGTGCTCCTGTCCGCCGGGTTACACGGGCAACCCTCATGTCAACTGTTATGAAGGTAAGCTGTTGTGAGGTGCTCTAGGGGGCCCCCTCACTGCTCGCCCCCCTCACCTTCCCCTTCACCACGCTTACTAAACCTCCTCACCACTGTGACTGACGCCATAAACACCTTCGCCTCCCACTCTCACCATTCTAACATCAGTCATTCTTAAAGTTGGGTTTGCTGGTGCAATTTAGGTATAGCCGTGAGTGTCGTGCTCGGGCGAGGATGAGGTATGGTGTGGATGGTGCAGGTAAGTCCACTGAGACACACTTGGCACTACTGTATGGTGAGGAGCGTGTGTGAGAGTACAGTGCATGCTGGATGAGCACCATGCACCATACCTGCATCTATAGTGAGCTGCTTTAGTGTAGTACTGATTGATTTAATTCACCGTATAATCTATTTGTAATGTATGATGTAATTGTAATGCTGCCTGTAACACCATAGCTTATTATATGCTTAATTGTACTGTTTGACGTCACTGTAGGATTGGCTATAACATCATACTGTAACACTAGTTGTAACACCTGATGCTTGTTGTGTAATGTTGGCTTGTTAATATCTTACTGGCTTGTGTAGAGTAACTGGTGCTGCACGCTGATGTGTGTGGTGGTGCTGCACGCTGCTGTGTGTGGTGCTGCTGCACGCTGATGTGTGTGTGTGGTGCTGCACGCTGCTGTGTGTGGTGCTGCTGCACGCTGGTGTGTGTGGTGCTGCTGCACGCTGCTGTGTGTGTGTGGTGCTGCACGCTGCTGTGTGTGGTGCTGCTGCACGCTGGTGTGTGTGGTGCTGCTGCACGCTGCTGTGTGTGGTGCTGCTGCACGCTGGTGTGTGTGGTGCTGCACACTGCTGTTGCCTGTGCTGCACACTGCTGTACCTCTGCAAGTGTTGCAGTTCACTCTTGCATCGTGGCTCATAATATAACTGGAGACCAGAGTAAAAAAAGAACCTTTAGAGTACAGTCAGAAATGTCCTCCGTGGTGGCCCTCAGTGTGAGCGCTCCGGTCCACTGCTGTAGCCGCCCCTCCTTCTCCTTCATCTTATTCTAAACATATTTGGAAACAAGATGCTAATGAAAATTATATAATTAAATATTTTACAGCTTAAAATTGTTCCATTTGCTTGATAAAAACAAATTCTGAACTTAATGCTTATGTCACGGGTGCCTTGCAGAGTCTCAGCAGTGTCAGTAAGGCATTTAATGTCTCCAAAAAAGTAATTAGATTATTTGAACATTATTGGTAAATTTGAGCACCAGCTTTCATTATCACCACATGCAAAACATTCACCAAATCTTGACAGTGTGGGGGCACACTGTCAAGAACAAGTACCTCAAACTTGGTGTGATAATCTGAGAGAATACAGTAGATAAGAGGTATTGTTGTATGTGTGTGTGGGAGGAGTGGCTGGTGCTCTAAGTTACCACAGCTCCCAGCACCAAGCCTAACACCCTAACTACACACCCGCCCCGTAGCCGACCCTCGTCCTCCTCGCAAGTGTGAAATTGACATCGACTGTTTTAAAATCGACTCGTGTTTGGATTTACGTTGTCAAAACCCATGCTTCGTGGCCAACCCCTGTCCGGACTCTGCTGCGTGTAAGCCCTACAAGCACCGCCCTTACTGCCTGTGCCCTAACAACACCAAGGGCGACCCTTGGGTAGGCTGTGTTCCAGGTACGTGTCGGGGACCCCGCCATCACGGTGTGTTCACTCCACAGTCATGCTCCAGGGCCCTCGATCTCATCTTTCTCATGGCTAACTTAATTCACAAAGACACGGCTCGAGTGACATTTTCTCATTAAAATGAGAAAATGTCATTTTTCAGTGACATTTATCTCGTTACAAAGCTCGTGAAATGCACATAAGTGGGAGTTTCACAGCACCAACATAGCTTGCACCTCCTGTCCCTCTTCTGAAGCGGGTATCACTTGTATAATATCTGACGACACTTTGTACCTTCATATTTGGTTATTAGGACACGGTTACAAATAATTAACATCACCTTTAAGATTAATTTTCTTTACTAAAAGTTACATAATTCTTCTTGGTCTAAACTGTTTTAATTTCGATAAAATGGAGTCATGTGCAGGTGTGACGTAGCTAGCACGCTGTGTGGGGGCGAGGTCTGAGGCCCGTAGCATGTGTACTTGAGGCATTTCAGTAATAACTGCGTTGTGTCCTGGGTAAGTTAGTTGTAATGGTCCGAGAGCCTGACATATCAGTGCGTTACCTTTGACAATGCCTATTAAAGTGGACCCTTGAGACTTTGATGCATACACAAACTTCATTCTAAATTCAGTAGATAAGAGAGAGGTAAGTATGTTATTGATACCTATACAATCTTGGTAAGCTTATCATACTGAGTGTTGTTATATATGAAGCCTTTGATCACAAACTCAAACTGACGTGTACATGTATTATAACATTGTGACAGTTTTAGTCATACACAAACTAGAAATCTTAGTGTGTATGTTGAGTGTAAAATCAATAATGAGTATACTTCCTGGTACAGTTAAGGCGGAGGAGCCCATATGTCGTGTGGACCCCGACTGTTCCATGGCACAGGCGTGCATCAAGGAGCAGTGTGTTGACCCGTGCCTGGTGGAGGAACCCTGTGGCCGCCAAGCGCTTTGTCGCACTCACCAGCACCGACCCATCTGCTACTGTCCCGAGGGCTGGGCAGGCAACCCCCGCGTGCAGTGCTTCAAACGTGAGTACTGACACACAGTAAATGTATGATTCTGCATGATCAGTGTGCACGGAAGGTGGAATGGATGTTATCTCGTTACAGATATTTATCTTTACTTGACGGAGATGATCATGGCATTGAATGTGGAGGACGTTAGAACAGCTCCTAGGCTGCTACAATTGTCCCTCTCTCACCTGAGGTCATTCCTGCCATGGAAGGCAACTAACCTGCTTGTGAACGCCTAAGCCACTTGTGGATATACTGCTAACCCGCTGCTGCTTGCTAGACTAACATCTAGGACAGGTAAGACCACATAATAATGTTGCACTTCCTACAGCTGACTGTATGAAGGACGATGAGTGTCCCATGGACAAAGCATGTATCAATCAACACTGCGTTGACCCGTGCACTCATAGTGGTCCCATCTGCGGCGTCAGTGCCCAGTGCCGCGCCATCCTGCACCGCGCCCAGTGCTTCTGTCCCGCGGGCACCCAGGGCAACCCCACTGTTGCCTGCGTCACCGTTGGCTGTACCTCAAATGAAGACTGCGCCGACGACAAAGTCTGCGATTACCTGAATCGTGTGTGCGTCCCAGTATGTGAGAAAACGACGTGTGCAATACAAGCAGAGTGTCGTGCTGGTAACCATGCGGCCATGTGCACGTGTCCTCCCCACCTCACAGGCAACCCCTTCCTCCAGTGCTACCAAGGTAACTCTCCCTCCACTCTCTCTTACCAATATTTTCCTGCTTGTTCACTTTCCAAATAAATTTATACTGTACTAAGTTTTCAAATCACTGGAAGTGGTTCTAAGTTTTAGATATCCCCCCCAACATAAAGATTATTATAGTTTATTTGAAAGTTTGTTATAAAATAACCTTGGTGTTATTCAAAGGGTGATATGTGTTCACAATACAAACATCCTTCCAGTGGTAGACGAAGAACCAGAAGAAAAGGAGCCTCCCATCACAGATGTTCCCAAGGAGCCTGACTGTCGCCAAGATGGTGACTGTCCGTCACAACACGCCTGTATCAACGCCCTGTGCCAGGACCCATGTGCCATCACCTCGCCCTGTCTCCCATCTGAGGAGTGTCATGTGGTGGATAGTATTCCACTAAGAACAATGTCATGCGAGTGTCCGTCAGACTATATCTTCGTCAAGGAGGGCGTTTGCGTCAAGCTAGGTTAGTCACTCTCGTATACCACTAATCAGTATCCTTGTGTAATATTTACCGAGCCGTCATGCTGAATATACGAGAAGTGTTCATGAAATCTCTAACGTCCCAAGGTGAGTTAAGATAAATGTAACAACAATTGATATTCTACTTGTCCTGTACCAGAACCAGAGTGTAGAAGTGACCAGGACTGCAAGAGCCCCGAGGCGTGTAAAGACGGCTCGTGCGTGAGTGTGTGTCACGGGGAACCGTGCGGCCTCAACGCTGTGTGTCAAGGCATCAACCACAGACACCAGTGCCAGTGTGTCCAGGGCTACACCGGTGATCCCAGTGTCCACTGCAGGAGGAGTAAGTCTTCCATTTTCAAGTACAGTAATTACTAAAACAATATCTAGGTATTATAAGGCAAAGGACGCTAAATGTAAGTTATGATGTTAAATTCGACAGTGATAATCACACTGGCGAGTCTGATTTGTACCTAAGTTTCTCTGTAGTTATCTACCCAACTTAGTCATCTCTTCTCTGCTTCCCGCCCATGTTAAAGTGCCACTGGAGCCTCCCTTGTTAACGCCAAGTATCACTGGTCTCCCACAGTGCCTCCTGTGGCGGTGCCCCCCGAGCCGGACTGTGACGAAGACGACGACTGTAAGGACTACGAGTCGTGCATTAACCAGCACTGCGTCAACCCTTGCATCCACGACAAACCTTGCGCTACCAATGCCTTCTGCTACACTGATGACCACCGCCCTATCTGCAGGTGTCCTGAAGGATTTGTCGGGGATCCTAAGATTGAGTGTCGGCTGTGTGAGTCTTCAAGATAGAGAGTTTCTTTGTTTTTGTTTGCTTTCTTAGCTTGCTGGAGCACTATTGGTTCCTCTCTGATTTGTTTAATACTTAAACCTCAATAGTTTTGCTTTCAATTACATTATCTACCAGAAATGATCAAACTATTGGCAAACTCAAGGGTTTTAAAATTTGAAAGTTCATAGTTAGTAATTTAGTTTTCAAGTTATTCTTTACTGAAACTCATGAAGGAGGTCTGTTGTGTTGTTCATGCGAGGTGAAGAGGAGGTTGCCAGCAAGCTAAGAGTGTGGTGGGTGTGGCATAGTGTGCCACACCCACCACGCCCCGCACCACAGCCAGCAAGCTAAGAGTGTGGTGGGTGTGGCATAGTGTGCCACACCCACCACGCCCATCACCACAGCCAGCAAGCTAAGAGTGTGGTGGGTGTGGCATAGTGTGCCACACCCACCACGCCCCGCACCACAGCCAGCAAGCTAAGAGTGTGGTGGGTGTGGCATAGTGTGCCACACCCACCACGCCCCGCACCACACACTTGTTCATTTGAGGCAGTCCGCTTCTGGGGGAGTATTGTCTCCAGTGACTTTGAGGCAGTCCGCTTCTGGGGGAGTATTGTCTCCAGTGACTTTGAGGCAGTCCGCTTCTGGGGGAGTATTGTCTCCAGTGACTTTGAGGCAGTCCGCTTCTGGGGGAGTATTGTCTCCAGTGACTTTGAGGCAGTCCGCTTCTGGGGGAGTATTGTCTCCAGTGACTTTGAGGCAGTCCGCTTCTGGTGGAGTATTGTCTCCAGTGACTTTGAGGCAGTCCGCTTCTGGGGGAGTATTGTCTCCAGTGACTTTGAGGCAGTCCGCTTCTGGGGGAGTATTGTCTCCAGTGACTTTGAGGCAGTCCGCTTCTGGGGGAGTATTGTCTCCAGTGACTTTGAGGCAGTCCGCTTCTGGTGGAGTATTGTCTCCAGTGACTTTGAGGCAGTCCGCTTCTGGGGGAGTATTGTCTCCAGTGACTTTGAGGCAGTCCGCTTCTGGGGGAGTATTGTCTCCAGTGACTTTGAGGCAGTCCGCTTCTGGGGGAGTATTGTCTCCAGTGACTTTGAGGCAGTCCGCTTCTGGGGGAGTATTGTCTCCAGTGACTTTGAGGCAGTCCGCTTCTGGTGGAGTATTGTCTCCAGTGACTTTGAGGCAGTCCGCTTCTGGGGGAGTATTGTCTCCAGTGACTTTGAGGCAGTCCGCTTCTGGGGGAGTATTGTCTCCAGTGACTTTGAGGCAGTCCGCTTCTGGGGGAGTATTGTCTCCAGTGACTTTGAGGCAGTCCGCTTCTGGGGGAGTATTGTCTCCAGTGACTTTGAGGCAGTCCGCTTCTGGGGGAGTATTGTCTCCAGTGACTTAGGGTCCAGACCCCTCGAACCCAGAAACAAACCAACCTCCCTCCCTCTCTCCCCGCCCCCCTCCCCCCCCCCCTCTGCCCAACCACTTGGCCTGGATGGTAGAGCGACGGTCTCGCTTCATGCAGGTCAGCATTCAATCCCCGACCGTCCAAGTGTTTGGGCACTATTCTTTCCCCTCCGTCCTATCGCAAATCTTTATCCTGACCCCTTCCCAGTGCTATATAGTCGTAATGGCTTGGCGCTTTCCCTTTGATAACTCCCTCCCCTCCCTCCCTCCATCTCTCTCTCCCTCCCCCTCTCTCTCTCCCTCCCCCTTTTTCTCTCTCCCTCTCCTCTTTCCCTCTCCCACTCCCCCTACTCCTCTTTCCCTCTCCCACTCCCCCTACTCCTCTCTCCCCCCCCTACTCCTCTCTTCCCCACTCCCAGCCTCTCTCTCCCTCTCCCTCCCTCTTTCTCTCTCTCTCTAACCTAGCTGTGCTTACACGGTTGAGCTTCTGCTCTTAAGCCCCACCTTCCGACCCTCAGTAGTACATGGAATGATTTTTCTATCGATATTTGAATTTCCTTCCAACATCTTTGTGCTTCATATTCCACATACGTTCCTTCGTTCTTCTCTTCCTCGCTTTGAACATTGCTTTTATATCTACTTTGTCAATTTCTCTTAGTACATATCTCGTATGTCGTTATCATGTCTGCCTTATATTTCCTTCAGTGTACGTTTAGTTTCCTTAGTATTTTTTTATCGTTCAGTCCTATCAGTTTAGAAACTCACTATGTTACATGTCTTTGGACTTCCTATTATTGTGTTTTATGTTTTTTGGGGGGAGAAGGGGTTGGAGAGCGGAGCAGCGTATGGCGTAGTACGCTGCTCACTCCGTACACGTAGTGGGTGACGCATGTTGGGAGCGTTCACTTGCGGTCAAAGTCCCTCAATACTACCCTCACAGTGGTGGGTTTGGCACATACTGGCAGCACTACATGTGTGCATCTAGTGATAGAATTAGAGTTCTCTACTCCTCTCTTCTTCTCTCTACTCTCTCTTTTTTTAGAAGTGAGAAGTCAGTCAGTCTGGTCAATCAGTCTAGTCAGGCAGTCTAGTCAATCTAGTCAGTGAGTGAGTCAGGTCAGTCAGTCTGGTCAGTCAACTGTATGTGTTTCCCCCCCCCCCCCCTGTCTCATCAAATATAAGTCCTCACAATATGAACAAGAGTGTGAGTGTGGTGGCGGGTGTCAGAGGGTGACATTAGCAGCCAGTGTCACCCCTCGAGTCTGCCACACTTCCCTGTAGGAGGATGGCAGCCGGGGGGGTCACACGGCAGGTCGCCCGGGTGGCCGCCTCACCGGGTGGCTGCCACATCTATGACACTTCCTGCTCATGTCATCTAAACTAATTTGAAAAAAAAAATATGCTAACATCTGGCCAAGCCTTCTGACAAACACATACACTACCAATTAAGATGTTTTGTATAATATTACTTCCTTGCTGTGTTTGTCTGCCGTCATTGTCATCCTCACATCCATCACTGCATTATTTTCTGTATTATAATACATCCTTAATTAATTTAAGACTTCATCCGACTTAAACTTTATTATAAGAGTGTGATTGAGTGAGGCATGCAGGCACCCCGAAGCGTCGTGTAAGTCATGATGAAGCCCTATCTTGGCCGGTGTGTGCACATGTGGCCTTTTACAATGACCACTTTCAATAAGTTATGAATGAGAAGGCAGAAGTATGAGGCAAGTGAGGCAAGGCAGTGTACAAAATACATATTGCTTCTGTGCATGTGGAGGACTGTAGCGTGCACATCGCGACCTTCTCCTCCTCCACACGCATCGAGCCTTGCCATCTGTCCCGTAACCGCTCATTGTGGACACTATCATACACTGCATCTTTAACACCGTATTCATTTTTCCATCTTCATTAGTCTGATAATTTAATTACTGCATTTTTGCTGATCCCTGTGTCTAATAACCTACCTCATTAATGATCTAATTAGACAAGACTAGTCAACAAGGGGCCACTAGTTAACCCATTGCTTAAACAATTAACGAGTCAACTTGTAGTCATTAACTACCAACAACTTGTGAGCACTGTCCCCCTGTGAGCAGCTGGTTGTACTAGTGTAACTAACTGGTGGTGTGTGTGTGTCTAGCTTCCGTGCCTGGCCCCGTGGGTGTTATCACCAACGACACTATCGGGGGCGTCGGTCAGTCTTGTGGCACCCACCGGGACTGTGGGCCCACCCAGTGGTGCCAGGGGGGTCGCTGCACCCACCCCTGCCCCACATCTTGCCCCCTTAGTGCCCAGTGCCAGGTGCGCCAACAACGTCCCGTGTGTTCCTGCCCGCCCACCACCACGGGCGACCCCCACATCGCCTGTTCTATAAGTAAGATAATCTTCCTTCGCTGACTTCCACCTTATTTCAACACATGTACTAATTCATTTACCATTGTTTTAATTCCTTGTTTATCTTACCTTTCAAATAGTTGATGTATGGAGTAACGTTTCTCAGATAACTTGGTGTGAGAAAGTTTTATATACTTAAATCAGTTCTAAGCTAACATCTGCAGAATTACATTATGGATAATATGTGAAGAAAGTTAGGCATAGCCTTCTCATCCTGTACCTTCTTGTCACAGTCGGCTGTGAGACAGACTTTGACTGCTCCTACACTGAAAAGTGTTACAGTGGAAACTGTCGTGACCCATGCCAGGCAGGTCGACCTTGTGCACCCACAGCCAAGTGTACTCCTTACAACCACAGTGCTGAGTGCACCTGTCAACCTGGCTATACTGGACACCCAACCATTTCCTGCCATGCCATCGGGTGTACGTCTAGTGAAGAATGTCCATCGGAAAAGGCTTGTTATCGAGGATCATGCGTTGACCCGTGCCTGCTGGAGCCAGCATGCGGCCCCGGGTCTGTGTGTACTGCTCTGCACCATGCCAGCTCGTGTGTGTGTCGCCCCGGCCTCCTGGGGGACCCCTACACTGGTTGCATCCCACCACACACAGCTCAGTGCCTCTCTGACTTTGACTGTGCTGAAAAGCTTGGGTGTGTCGACGGAGTATGTAAAGACCTTTGCATCTACCTGCAGCCATGTGGCGTGAATGCTGTGTGCCGCACAGTGGACACAGAGCAGTCACGCATGGTATTGTGTGAGTGCCCCCCAGGGCATACAGGAAGTGCCTATGATGAATGCCACATTATTCATGAAATACAACCAGGATGCCAGTATGATGCAGACTGTCCGTTATTCCATGCCTGCGTTGACAAGCAGTGCCAAGACCCGTGTAAAAGTAAACCATGTGCCGTTCATGCTGTGTGCCGAGCAGTCAACCACCGCCCCATCTGCTACTGCCCCTCACGTTACACGGGAGATGGCTACAAAGCCTGCTCTCCACTCGAATGTAAGAGCAATGATGATTGTCTGGACAAAAGCGTTTGCCACAACCACAGGTGTGTTGATGCTTGCACAATATCTCGTCCCTGTGGTGTTGATGCCCAGTGCACCGCCTCGCACCACTCCACGCATTGCAACTGTGACATAGGATACAGTGGAGATCCATATATCACTTGTTCTACTATTGGCTGTAGAGACAACTCCTCCTGCCCATCTACCCATGCTTGTATTAATGGGGTATGCAGTGACGTGTGCAAAACCACTAGCTTCTGCCACCCCAGCCAGATCTGTGAAGCGAAAGACCACCTTGGATCCTGCACCTGCGCGCACGGCTTTCACAGTACTGCAGGAGGAGTTTGTGAGGCTCGTCCCAGCGTCGAGTGTACCTCTGATAAAGACTGTGGTTCACAAGAGGCTTGCCTTGATGGCAGCTGTCAAGACTTATGTAAAAATGAGCCGTGTGGGAATGGAGCAACATGTACCATTCAAGGAACGCGTCCTCTAGCCACCATACTATGCCAATGTGGTCCAGGCATGACAGGAGACCCCTTTACCCAATGTGTCACGATATCCACCCCCACTCCTGGCTGTGGATCTCAGTACGATTGCTTATGGGACCAAACATGTGTAGAAGGTCGTTGTGTTGATCCTTGTCGGGAGACTCCATGTGCTCCAGGCGCCGCCTGCCGTGCTCTGGGACACCGAGGCGTCTGCTCTTGTCCTGCCGGCTACCATGGTGATCCACACACATTGTGTACTCCAGGTGAGTTGGAATTTATTGAAATAAATTTTAAATGATATTTATGGTATTTTTGCAATAATGTAAATTTTAGAGTGGAACTGTAGCATGAAAATAGTTTTGGGTGAACATTTGAATTTTTACAATTGTCATGTAAAATAATCATATATAATTCGCTCCCACTTGCAGTTGGTTGTACTCAGAGAAATGACTGTCCTGTAAAGGAAGCTTGTGTAAATGGTCGCTGTGTGAACCCTTGTGAGTCTCACAACCCTTGCAGCCCAGGGGCCAAGTGCCACCCTGAAGGAGAACATCCGGTCTGCTCCTGTCCTGAAGGCCTCACAGGTGATCCATACATTAAGTGCCAGCCTGTAGGATGCTCCCAAGATACGGACTGCCCCTCTCACCAAGTGTGTCAAAACCAACAGTGCCAGGACCCCTGCCAGCAGATTCGGTGCATAGCTAATTCTGAATGTCTTGTCAAAGATCACCAGGCCAAGTGCCAGTGCCTTAAGGGTTATGTGGGTGATCCAGACCGGTACTGCATATTACCGCCCACACAAGAATGTAACGAAGACCAAGACTGTCCGGCTCTACAAGGCTGCATTGATGATCAGTGTCAAGACTTGTGCCAGGCAGTACACCCTTGTGGCACTGCTGCTCTATGCAAGGTCTTGGAAAACCAGCCCATGAGAGCTATGTCTTGTAGCTGCCCTGAAGGTTACGATGGAGACCCACACTATACCTGCACACCTAGTGAGTATATCGGTTTTTATTTACACATTTATAAGCATTCATAGTATCATTTTATTGGCTACACAAAAAACTAAATACTCAGTAAAGTCTGCCATGTGTTCTGCCTTTGAAAAGCGATAATAACATTTTCACTACACAGTAGTGTATTTATCTATAATATTAGCAATCAAAGTTGACGTAATATTCAAAATTGTTTACATTCCTCATGTGATTTGTCTTCTTCTTCCAGGTAAGATTGACAAAGAAGAAGGTTGTGCCAGCGATGCAGATTGTCCCTTGGTGTTGTCGTGTGACTCAGGAGTGTGCCGCAAACCCTGCCCTGCTGGGTGTGGCCTCGGTGCCATCTGCTCAGTCCTCGACCACAGACCTGTGTGCCACTGCCAGCCTGGCTATGCCGGCGACCCACAAGTGGGCTGCTTCAAGAGTAGGTTTCCTCACTGGCAGAAATGTTTTGTACTAAAGTATTTGCAGCACCACTTGTTTTGAGCGTCATCATTATCAGCGATTTTGTTCTTCAGCTTTGCATTTTTAAGCTAATTTTTAAGAGTTTTTGTGCCAAGATTACAGTACTATAATTTGTGAAAATGTTGTCTTTCATACTTTTAACATTTTGCCAACTTTTACGGTATTCTAAACTCTGTATTCTCTTTCTTTCGTGTAGTTGACTGTGAAACAGATGAGGAGTGTCCCTCATCTGAAGTGTGTGAGCACAACACCTGCCTGGACCCCTGCAGGAAGCACAACCCATGCCCTCCAACCGCAGTGTGTGTCGGTGCCAACAATCAAGCACAGTGTCAGTGTCCACCAGGCACTTCTGGAGACCCTCAAGTATCTTGCCAGTTGGTGGAGTGTACAGGTGACCAGGATTGCAAGAGCTTTGAAGCGTGTGTGAATGGGGAATGCAAGGATCCGTGTGCCTACTACAACCCATGTGCTAAAGACGCTGTGTGTCAAGTGATTACTCACAAATATGAGTGCGAGTGCCTGCCCGGCCTCCAAGGAAACCCAAGATTCAGATGCGAGAAACCTAAGGATCTCGGCACCTGTCTGGTAGATCAAGACTGCCCACCTACACAAGGCTGCATACTTCAGTCCTTAGTAACTCGCTACCACAGCCAAATATCGGCTGTGTATATACGGCTGGATGACTCGGACTCTGCTGCCACTTGCCGTGACTTGTGTCAGGAACATAAGCCATGTGGACCCAATGCCATCTGCTCTGTCATTGACTCTAAACCCCGTCGCTCCATGAGCTGTGCTTGTCCACCTGGCTACCACGGCGATGCGAAAATTGAGTGTCGTGAAAGTAAGTCAGAAAATCTTCGTCCTTAACTGTAATCAAATGTTTACTTATATTTTGGCATTTGTCAGTTGTAAATAGCTTGTGTAATTGCTCTACTACAATTACAACTACATGTGCAATATCTTATTTTAACTTGTCATCTAATTTTTGCAGTTCCATTACAAGGAGGCTGCATTCGCCATACAGACTGTCTGAATACCGAGGCATGTGTTGAGGGGGTGTGTCGGGACCCCTGCAATTGTGGCCTCAATGCCCAGTGTCATGTATCCTTGCACCGACCCTACTGTACCTGTGCCCCTGGCCACACCGGTAACCCAGATGTGGCCTGCTACACAGGTTAGTTTTTATCAATCCTTGATGACTCTGCCACATTTGCTTCAAACATTGTGGTGGATTTTTAACATTCGTATCATATTTTAAATAAATAAATTGATCAGTTGAAATTAATTATTTTTACTTAGTTAAATCTCTTGATACATCGATCTTCATAATTTCATTTGTCTTGCAGTTGGGTGTGTGAGCGATATTGACTGTCCAGGTGACAAGGCATGTGTGGAGCAGCAGTGTGTAGACCCATGTGGCCAAAGCTCACTCTGTGCACCTTCAGCTACCTGCTCAGTGGAACAACATAAGGCAAAGTGTGCTTGTCCACTAGGAGAACATGGTGACCCTAGCCATCAATGCCTGGCTCTAGGATGCAGGAACAATGACGAGTGTCCTCCCAGTCTTGCCTGCATCAACGACCAGTGTCATGACCCATGCAAGGATAATGTGTGTGGAGTGGGTGCGACCTGCAATGTTCACCAGCACACCCTTGATTGTAACTGCCCAGAAGGATATAAGGGAGATCCAAGAGTGGCTTGTCGACCACAGTCGCATGCATGTATGGCCGACTACGACTGTGGCACAGGGCTGGTGTGTGTGCGTGGGGTTTGTACAGACCCCTGTAAGCAAGAGAAGCCATGTGCACCCAACGCAGTGTGTAGTGTGCAGGACACGAGACCCATCAAGTCTGTCACCTGCACCTGTCCTGCAGGTTTCACGGGTGATGCAGAAGTCCAGTGCCGGAAAAGTATGGAATTTTGCCTCTTGCCCCGAGCACCATCATGTCTCTTGTCATCACATATTCATGAATTCTTCTTTGCCTGTCCTTTTCTAAATAATCTCTGTGTACTAAAGTTAAAGTTAAGATAATCTTATATTTTCCAGGTTTAGTGAAGAAAATGAATATATTCTCAGTCTTATTGAAAGCAAGTACTAATCAATAATATTCTGTAGTAACTGGTCCAGCGGCGCTGTGCTTGCGGGACACTGAGTGCCCCGACAGCCTGGCGTGCCTGGGTGGGCAGTGCGTAGACCCGTGCTCCTGTGGCACAAGTGCTGTGTGTCGTGTTATCAACCACCACGCTGTGTGCTCCTGTGCCCCGGGCTTTGATGGAGACCCTTACACTGCTTGCTTCTCTAGTAAGAAACACGCACTACACCATTTTACAATCTACCTGTATAATGATTCACCAACTACATGCTGTTGCACTAATGTGCTAGGTTTTAATACTATAACCTTAACATCTGAATTTTGCAACTTACAAAAACTGACTATTAGTGTCTTAACATTTAATTAATATCTGTTCAGAGCATAATATCTGCTAATATAATAATAGAGAATAACAGTATGAGGGATAACACACTCGCTTGCCTCCGCCAGAGGGATGCGTCACGTCTGACAGCTGCCCAGCAACACACACCTGTCATAACGGTTACTGTGTCGACCCATGCTACATCAACAACCCGTGTGCCATTAATGCCGAGTGCTTCGCTGTCAATCGTGAGCCCCGGTGTCGGTGTCTCTCTGGCCTAGAAGGTGACCCGCATGTCAAGTGTCAGACTCTCAAGTGTGGGCTGAATGATGATTGTCCACAAGACCGAACCTGTCGCAATGGGCAATGTGTAGATCCCTGTGTGTACACCACATGTGCTGACAGTGCCACTTGCACCCCTATTGAGCACAGTGGAGTGTGCCAATGTCCTCCAGGCTATCGTGGTGACCCTGTGTTTAGATGTGAGCTAGACGCAGAGCCCATATGTTCCAGCGACAAGGACTGTAGCACAGGTCTGGCTTGCATCAATGGCAAGTGCCAGCAGCTCTGTAGCTCTGAGGTGTGTGGGGACAATGCAGAGTGCCGTGTGGTAGAGTCAACACCCTTCAAGGCAATGGTGTGCAAGTGTTTGCCTGGACACCAGGGCGATGCACACACACAATGCAGACTCAGTAAGCATAACATTTAACACTTGTCATGGTATTTTTCAATATACTGTATATTATGAGCCTTTTCCTTAATATTCACATTTATAATATGCTTTACAAACCAATTTACAATTAACATCGTAATTATTTTGCCCATATTAGTATTATAATGACCAAGTTTACCAACTTGTAGTTAACACCAATGCCACTAAAAGTCTAGAACAATTAATACCTAAGTGAACGTTACCTTCCGTCAAGGCCAGACTGATGCGGCTCTATACTGGGTGTGGTAACTGGAAGTCATTCATCATGGCCACTCACCGCATACTAATACCACTAATGTTCAGTTCCAGAGAAGACAGGTTGTGTACGTGACACGGACTGCGCCACGGAGTTGGCATGTGTGGAGGCCGTGTGCCGTGACCCTTGTGATTGTGGGGTCAATGCACTGTGTACTGTCGTCAAACACAGAGCAGTGTGCACCTGTGTCCCGGGTTACGAGGGCAACCCGCAGATAGCTTGTTCTGCTAGTAAGCAATTTAACATTTACTTACATATATATGATATATATTTAATTTATTTGTATATAAGGGATTGACTAATATAGAAGGAGCTTTATAACTGACAATATACACTGAAAATGTAGGAGTAAGTATTTAGTGACACGTTTAGTACACTTTACTCACAGTAGTTTACTGGTGAAGCAGAATTAACCAATGCATTTATTGCTAATATGATATCTAATATGATAGTTACATGGAGTAATATCTACAAGGTGAGACAGCAGGAGTACCAACAAACCCCACAATAATGCATGCACTCTCTCTCTACCCTAGCTGGGTGCACCAGCAACTCCCAGTGCCCAGATGACCGCTCCTGCTACAATGGAACCTGCGTCAGCCCATGCTTAACAGACAACAAATGTGCCCCAAGAGCAGAGTGCCAACCCATTGCCCACAAGGCTACCTGTTTCTGTCCTTCTGGGACTAGTGGTGATCCTCTTAAGGAGTGCCAGGTCATAGGATGCTCGACAAACACAGAGTGTCCGCCAGAACGCGTGTGCTTAAATGGCCGCTGTTTAGACCAATGTATTTACAATAACACATGCGCACCAAATGCAGAGTGTCGTAGCATTAATCACGGAGTCGAGTGTCGGTGTCCAGTAGGCTTTGAAGGCATACCAACACTTGCTTGTAGAGAAAAGACACAGCGTGACTGCCGCTCGGACTACGATTGCGAGAATGAGTATGGATGTATGGAAGGGAAGTGCCAGAAACCATGTCAAGTGCTAGAGCCATGTTTGGACCCAACAGTGTGCACCTTGGTAGCTACTAGGCCCGTCAAGACCATGACCTGCAGCTGCCCTGAACACATGGTTACCTCTCGTCAGGGGCAGTGCATAGACTGTAAGCATATTATCTCTATCTTTTGTTCTCTACAGCTTTATTATAATCCTTACCATGTTTGTCTTTACAGAAAGTTTGACTGTTATCAGTGACCATTTTGTCATCATTTGTGTCTAACTTGTCTGCTTATCAATACCTTAACATCACACCAAGCACAAATACAAATTTAACATCTGGCCAGAACTTGTATAACCATACCTAACTTAAGTTAACATCTGAGTTTGAATTATTTGCTACCCCTCATGACCAGTGATAACCTGAACCTTACTTCCTACAGTGGAGCTTCCAATGAGTGTGGGCTGTCGTTCGGATAACCAGTGCCCAGAGGAAACGGCCTGCCTCAACACCCTTTGTGTGACTCCTTGTTCCTGTGGTGAGCACACAGAGTGCTTTGTTCGTGACCATCGACCCATTTGTACCTGCCTTCCAGGATACCAAGGCAACCCCAATATTGGATGCTACAAGGGTAAGTTCAACCTTAAACTGAGCTTGTTTAAAAAGTAATTATGATTCATTATTGTTCTATTGACCAAACTATTTTATTACTCACACATGATTTTTGCTTGCAGCGGGATGCAGCAAGGATGAGGAGTGCCCACTGGACACAATGTGTTCCAGTGGTGTGTGTATAAACCCATGTATGGTGAATGACCCGTGTGACATCAGTGCCGAGTGTTACGCTGAGAACCATCGCTCCAATTGCCGGTGTGAAACTGGACTCGAGGGTGACCCCTACATCAAATGTCTGGTTATTGGATGCAGAAGTAACTCAGAATGCCCAACAGACAAGGCCTGCGTTAATCGTCAGTGTGTGGACCCTTGCTTATATGATGACGTGTGCGCGCCCAGTGCGGAGTGCTATGTCTTCCAGCATGTCATTGGCTGCAGGTGTCCAAGTAACATGCCTTATGGTGACCCACGCTTCATGTGTGAGGAGAAAAAAGTTTTAGTGGAGCATCCTAAACCTGAATGCCTTGTGGACTCTGATTGCCCCAGTAAACATGCATGTATCAATGAGCGTTGTGTGAATCCCTGCCACATTCTGCATCCTTGTGACAAGACAGCCATGTGTGATGTGGTAGATTCCATCCCAGTAAGAACCATGATATGTGTATGTCCAGAGGGCTTCATTATGTCTGACAAAGGAACTTGTGAATTAATTGTCCTAGACATAGCGACTGGATGCCGTGCTGACTCTGACTGTCCATCAGTGGAAGCTTGCATCAACCGAATATGCCGTGCTCCTTGCGAATGTGGTCGCAATGCCCATTGTGAAATCAACAATCACCGTGCAGTGTGCACCTGTGAAGTAGGATTCCAGGGTAATCCTAATATCGGATGCTTCCCAGTTGGTTGCCAACACGACAGTGAATGCGATGACACCCAAGCATGTTACGATGGAGTTTGTGCTAACCCATGTCTTGTTGACGACCCATGCTCTGTTAATGCCGAATGCTATGCTAAACAACACCAAGCCTATTGTCGCTGTCCATCTGGTCTTCAGGGTGATGGTTATACCGACTGCCTCACTATTGGCTGCAGGGCCAACTCAGATTGTCCAAGTGACCGTGCATGTATTAACACAAAATGTTTAGATCCTTGTGTATATGATCCTTGTTCTCCCAATTCTGAGTGTGTCATCATTGACCACAATGCTATGTGCCGGTGCCCACCTGGGACCACAGGCGACCCTAATGTACAATGTACACCAGCCATACAACCTGTATGTGTTACGGATGGTGACTGCCCCAGTCAACACGCATGTATTGACGAGTTATGCGTCAACCCATGCAAGGAGTTAGAGCCATGCCATGAGACCGCAGAGTGTAAGGTTGTCGATACTCTTCCGGTAAGGACAATGCTTTGCATTTGTCCTGATGGTAAAGTAACTGAGGAAGATGGAGAATGTGAATTATTACCACCAATTAAGCCAGGATGCGCAGAAGACCCAGAGTGTCCTTCAGAAAAGGCTTGCTTCACTGGTGTCTGCAGGGATCCATGCCAATGTGGTGCCAATGCTGATTGTGAAATTGTTGAGCACCATCCAGTGTGTACATGCAAGCGGGGCTATGAAGGTGATCCAGAAATTCGGTGTATTGAAATTGGATGCTATGGAAATGACGACTGTCCGACTACACATGCATGTCGGAATGGGCAGTGTGCACCAGTGTGTGGACCCAACAATGAGCCTTGTGGCAGTGCAGCTGTCTGTCAGGGAGTTAAACACGAGGCTGTTTGCTACTGCCCGCCTGGCTCTCAAGGCAACCCACGTACACAGTGTATTGCCATTGGCTGTGTCTCCAATGATGCCTGCCCAGATGACCGCAGCTGCATCAACCAACGGTGTGAAAGTCCCTGCAGTCTTGAACCATGCAAAGAACCAGCCACCTGCTATACCCAGGACCATACTTGGGAGTGTCCCTGCCCACCTGGCTTTAACCGCACCATCGACAATGGCTGCGAGATGTGTAAGTGCACACATTATTTTGTCTTAATTTCATATTTAACTACAATACACATCTGCTTATATAATGTTTTATAATAATTTTATAAAATTGCTAAAAGTGAATACTTTTTTATTCAGTGGTGATAGGGTGTAGGTCAGATGTGGAGTGCCCAAGCAAGACTGTATGCATCAATGGTAAGTGTATTAACCCTTGTGACCTGGATCCTTGCGGCGAAAACACAGAGTGTCGTGTGATTGACACAGTGCCAGTCAGGACCATCGCCTGCGAGTGTCTGCCAGGCTACCAGGGCGACGCTGCCGAAAAGTGTACCCCAAGTGAGTGTCCTCTTGTTAGTGGTGCTGTGTTCCACATGGTATCCCACGCTTGCTTCCTCATTCATAATTAATGCTTCAACTGCTGCAATTCATATCACATGACATGTATTGCTTGTAGTTTGTCCGGTACTTCAGTAGTTTGCTTATACACCATTTTTAACCTGCATTATTCATATCATTCATCTACGAAGATTGCTGCAAACATAACACCTTATTCCTTTTAATTAATTTTAGCCACTGTTTATAGCTGAGAGAATTTAAATACAGTAGCTCTATATCTTTCATGATTATTACTAAGCATATTAATTTAATACAATGGAATCAACAAAATTATGGTTAAATTTTATAAAAATGATAACACATTGATTTTTATCATGTGTACTGGAAACAAAATTTTCATATGTATTTTAATGATAAAAATATGCCAAAATCTCATTTTTGTGATTTGAACTAAAAATTATCAAATCTTGCTCTACCAGGTTTGTGAATTGAAAGTTAAAAATAAAAATAAAAAATTAAAATACAGTATGTTAGGTTGATCAGGTATGAACACTGCTCTTCATCCTTGGGCACAGATGTATGCTGGTTTACAGCTGTTCTCTTGAAGCAATTGGGTGTATGCAACACTTGCCACTCACCACTTTATTGACCTAATTCATTTGTCTGAATAGAATTACCTTATGTCTGCAGTATTACCAGATATATTAGATTGTATATCTGCAGTATTGCCAGATATATTAGCTTGTATGTCTGCATTATTGCCAGATATATTGGTCTGTGCTTTCAAGATATTATCAGAAATGTTGATGTGTAGTCAGTGTGGAGGCCGAGGCAGCGTTGAGGAGAAGGTGGGAAAGGTGTGGAGACGCCCCACAAGCCCCTTGTGGGGGTGTCTCCCTGGCCTTAAACATGAAGGCTCTTAAACATCTAAGCTCTCATCTCTAACTTCGAGTTAGAGATGAGAGCCTAGATTAAAATTACATAATACAGTATTGGAAAATATAACAAAAAATGTACAGTATATTAAAATCTCAAGTATAAAAGTTGTATCTTAAATTTGGGTACTCCGTATATCACATGCTTGCTGAGGTTTCCAGTCACTTGAATTATATATGGTACTTCATCATTCAGATAAAAAAATATTTACCAAAATCTTTAAAAGATTAATTCAAACTTAAACTGTTAACTTCATAAAGTCTAAAATTTCTTGGAGGGCTTCTTGCCGTCTCCCTGAGCCACCCACCTGGAGTCCCCCGACCACAGTGCTACACCAGGCTTTATCAAATAATGAGTGTCTACTGGAGATCACACACACAGACCCAGACACACTTGAAGATGTTACACCACCTCTACACCATTCACTCCAAATATCTACTGCCTACGGGGCTAATCATGCCTGTGCCACCTCTTGTGGTGGCTTAATCTTCAACAACAACAACAACATACTGTAGATCAGTACCTGGGTCTGGAGTACTCCAGATGGGTAGCTTGTGAAGATGCAGATAAGAACCCACCAGAAAGGGACATTTCATTACATTCACTGCTGGATTTATTTACTGGGTACTGTATATGCCACTGCCTTAACGTTAAACCTGCATAAAAGGGGAGAGAATGGAGACAATGTTGTTAATACCATCGTCTCAAGCCCGACCTCACCACTGTTGCAAGCATCCTCTAGGAAATAAGCGTCCTCTTTATGGGTCAGCTAGTGTTCTAGATTGAAAGCTTTAACTTGACTGGTAATAGTATTTATTACATGTACCTCATCAGTGGAGAGGAAATCCTAAAACAGCGCAGTATTATTAATAATGCCTGCAGCATGTTGACCAGACCACACACTAGAAGGTGAAGAGACAACGACGTTGCGGTCCATCCTGGACCAATCTCAAGTCGACTTGAATCAACTTGAGAATGTTCCAGGACGGACCGAAATGTCGTCGTCCCTTCACCTTCTAGTGTGCGGTCTGGTCAACATACTTTAGCCACGTTATTGTGACTCATCGCCTGCATACCTGCAGCATGTGTCTGACAGCTCATCAATGATTAATCATCCTACCAACCTTGCTAAAGAGACAGCTTTCCTTGTGAAACATGCATGAAACTTATCTGGTAGGAATCATCGGACTATTAGGTGACTGGGTAACGTGTTTATTTCCAATATAAAACGATACTCTTTGCTTAGTTCGTCGAGGTGTAGCTGCACTCTTGAGTCCAGGTGTTACAACTCTGGTAGGAACCATTAACACATCAATAAATAATTTAGTGACCATGTTTATAACAATAAGGCCTAACTCTTATTTATGAAACAGTATAGGGAAGATAATGTTCATAGATGTTCTTTAATTTGATATTAAATATGTATGATAATTCCAGTGCAAGTATATAACCAGTAATACTTAACCTCTAAATGACCCATTCACACAAATTTGACTGTTTATATTTAATGGGGTAATTTATTATCAGTTTTGCAGTTTATTGTGACTTTGTAGTACAGGTACTAGGTTCTGACTTTAATAATTATGCTTTATGACTTGGGTATACAGGTATTACTGTATGTGTGACCTAAGATAACTTGACTTGGGTATACAGGTATTACTGTATGTGTGACCTAAGATAACTTGACTTTTGTGAACTTACTGCAGACAAACTCAGTGTGTGTTGCCTGCTGCTGCTGTTGTCATTGTTATGCATCATGTCTCTTGCTTTGCTAACCCACATTATTCAGTGTTTGTACTAACGTTTTAATATTGTTCTCGTTTCAGGACAATCAAGAATTTTTGTTTATAATGCATGTTTTTGGTGGTGGGATTTGTGTGTGAGGAAGATGAGTGCATTTGAAGTTGTTTTATACACTGATTAATATGTTGTCTAAATATAATCTTACCTAGTAATTGTGTTTATATTGATATTTAATATTGATATTAGTACAGTATATTTAATTTATATGTTATGCAATATTTGAATTTAAACATATTTTATTGTTATAGAAAAATATATCACAATGAATAGGTTTTCAACATATATATTCTTGATGAAATTTGTTGAATATTAATTTTAATAATTAAAGTTTAAGGATCATTCTTTTTAATTGAATTAATACTTCCCGTTGTCAGGGACAGGGAGCCTATGTATATATCTACTTTAGGCTTGTACCACGCTTCCCCAAAAGTCAAACTATTGACCCTTCCCAGGATACATTCCCATAACAGTTGCCTATTTCCTGGGTACCTATTTACTGCTAGGTGAACAAAGGCTTTAGGTGAAACGAAACGTGCCAAACTATTTATGTCCCGTCCGGGATTTCGAACCTGGGATCTCCGATTGTTTGTCAAGAACTTTAAATTAAGCAAACTAAAAAAAAAAAAAAGTTAAATTTAAAAATTACAAAAGTATAGAAGTGCACATATAGTATTGGCTTGTTCCGTGACATCTTGTCTGCCCAACAGCACCAGTCTGTCCATTGGAGAAGGGCTTTATCCTCCTTGACGACGACTGTGTATGTCCCACCGACCGTGACTTCTATGTTGATGAAAATGGAAACTGTGTGCACTGTCCAGTGGAGCTGGGTTACGTCCTCACAGAAGATGGTGTGTGTATGTGTGATCCAAAGAAGGGCTACCACCCAACAGCACGTGGAACTTGTGATTGTCCTCCACCAGCCGTCAAGGATGAAAATGGCTACTGTGTCGGTAAGTTATGATCTGTACACCCCTTCCTCTAGCCACCTACGGCATTTTCTTTTCTCACAGTGTGTCTGGTATTTTGTTTTTTATTTAATTTCTTTAACTTGCTAGTTAAAGCTCCACATTCAGTGAGAATCAGATACTCTTGTTTAGATTGTGTAAAATAAGCTAACAGTTGTTTCTTCATCCCTTGATAAAATCTTTCTAATGTGTAGTGAGACCCGATCAGCCACCAGTCGTGGGTTGCACCACGAATGAGGACTGCCCGTTGGACCAGATGTGTAACCAGACTGTGTGTGTTCAGCCTTGTGCAGACTTCCCTTGTGCCAAGTATGCCAACTGCATCGATGCCAACCACAAGGCCATCTGTAACTGCTACTCTGGCTACTCTGGTGACGCTTACCAGAAAGATGATGGCTGCAGTGAGTGTCGATGTCTTCTCGATTTTGAATTTTATTTACACTAATAGCTCAGATGCGTTGTGCAGTTACTTTCATTATTTTGCTATTCCTTATTATTCTTGTTATTCCTAAGAAAATAATCTCAGTATCAGCAGTTCTTAATACATTGATTGGTGCTCTAAATAAAAACTGTAATTCAGATAACTAGTCTTGGTGTATACAATATTCTTCAATACAGTATTGGATTTATTCTTATTGCTAAGATAATATAACTAATTTTTAAAACACTTAATTTTCAATTATAAAACAAAATTAAAATAACAAATGAGCTAACAGTGCCCAAAGCATTGAAATACTCTTTGCTTGTTAAAAGTAAGTTTATAATTATGCTGGGCTACATAAAGTAACATAAGCACTTGATGCTATCCGAACAGAGCCAACCTTCGCCAGGACAGACTTCCCTCGGCCTGATATGTTGGTCAACTGCCTGGCCGATGGTGTGCAAGTGGACATCAACGTGGGTGAACCAGGCTTTAATGGTGTCATGTATGTGAAGGGATACTCCAAGAATGAGGAATGTCGTAAGGTTGTCAGGTCAGACATTGATGTTAATACCATCGACTTCAAGGTCAAGTTCAACACCTGTGGCCTCATCCATGAAAATGTACGTTGGACACATTTGTTATAGACTTACTGTCTTGGATATTCCCAAAGTTTTCTGTAAGAACTGGTTATATTGTGTATTGTCAGTTTTATAGGATAGTTTTATTAAAACTTTATCATGTGAGATCATTAACAAAAAGCCTAGGTAGAAAATTCACATGTGCCATTAGGCAACATGTTTCATAAATCTCATGAAAGGTCATTTTCCACCCCATACCTCCCACAGGGTCTGGCAAGGTTCATCTTGGTGCTACAGAAACACCCCAAACTAGTGACATACAAGGCCCAGGCATACCATGTAAAATGCACCTACAACACCGGTGAAAAGACTATCACCATTGGCTTCAATGTATCCATGTTGACAACAGCTGGCACCATTGCCAACACCGGTCCACCCCCAACTTGCCTCATGAAGATCACTGACCCCAGTGGTGGTCCCATAGACAAGGCAGAGATTGGTGACCTCCTCATGCTCAGAATCCAAGTTGAACCTTCTAGTAAGTATTTGTCCTATTCTAACCTGACATTTTACCTGGCAATACTGTACCTGCATACAGCTGAAATGTATAATACAGTACAGTATATAAATTTTGCTTGGGACCAATTACCAAATACAATATTGCTCTATGATATTACTTAATGTTTAAACATTACCGTATTATATTTCAGATATCTATGGTGGGTTTGCACGCTCTTGCATCGCCCTGACAGCCAACACAGACGGCAGTGACAATGAACATCTGGTGACAGATGAGCATGGGTGTGCAACTGATCCATCTATATTTGGTGAGTGGGAACAAGATGATGGGGAGGGCAAAGCACTTGTTGCCCTCTTCAGTGCATTCAAGTTCCCTTCATCGAACTCTATAAGATTCCAATGCAACGTTCGTGTCTGCTTCGGTCGGTGCCACCCTGTCAACTGCAACGGGTACGATGCATTTGGAAAACGTCGACGTCGACAGGTAGAACAGGATGCCGAGGTGTTGTATCAACCCGAATCTGTTTATGATGGTCAGCTGAGGGAGATCCAGGTCAGCTCTCAAGCAATACTCACAGTGGAGAGCCGAACAGAGAGATTCACCGCACCAGAAGGTCAGTAGCCAGACTTTTCTTAGAAATGTAACAAATTAAGAATTATATTGATAAAGATAGTTCTCTACAGTAACAGACCAATCATGCCACTTGAGATATCGTATAATTTTGACATCAATATTTCAACCTTCATTTAATTTTTCATTGAGATGAGAATTTAGCACCATTGTTAACAATTGAAAAGACAAATACTACTGCCATAATTTTTTTTTATTTAATTAAATATTATCTCTGCAGATCCAGATAACGTTGGGGTGGAAGAAGTATGCGTGAGCAAATGGGGTTTCATAATTGCACTCATAATCACTGCTCTGCTGGCTCTAGTAGCAGTAGCAGTGGCCGTGTCCTGCTGGCTCATGGCATATCGGCGTCGCCCAAAGCACGGAGGACCTCTCCCTCACCCGCCAGAGTTTCCCAACCCACTATTCACCACCCCTGAGCCTCTGGCTGAGCCTTCGCCAGACTATCTCTCCTGAGGGATATTCTGCAGGGCTCCAAGAGCCTCTTACTCCTAAGTACTGTGATTGACTCTTTTTTTTCTAAGTTGAGCCACTCTCTTATTGAGCCTCTGAAACAGATTTAATAATAACAAACCTAGGAACAAAGTTTATTGCAAATTTCCAAAAAATGAAACCTTGAGAACGAAATTTAAAAATCTAAGTGGCTTTTATTATGTGAATATTTTGAGTTGTGATCCCAAGAAATATAAGAAAAGTTGCACGATCAAGCTTGTCACCTGTGTGACACATTCCGTTAACTTTGATCGACCTAAGTTCTGCAGAAACCACTGGGATGTGTCATGCAGGGCAGGTCCCTAGTCGTGTGGCTGAAGGAAAGTTATATGAACTTGTAAGACATATCTGTTTCTATATTTGTACAAAGTCATTTCCTAAAGTTCTCTGAAAATGTACCTGTTTTGCTATATTTGTTTTAAGGCATTATGGGTATCATTTCAGGGCTGACATAACAGTGGCACACAGTCCCTGTTGACAGTGACAAATAATGTGTTTGAAAAGTTGAAATATTCCCATGAGCGAGTAGTCCAAAGATTTTATGTTATTTTGTACTTTGTCATCAGTTGCAAAAATGTGCTAGATTATTATTAAATAATAATTGGGTGCTTATGGATAAGTCCCTGTTATGTCCAACTTCTTCAAGTGTCAAATGTAAGGTGGAAAGCAATTTTTTTATTTTATTAAGTGGCAAGTCACCTCTGCTATCTCTACAGGAGTCTTGTCAGAATGAGCTGAAAAATTGCTTACTACATTACAGTGTATAAAGTGGATCTGCCATGGCGGCTATGGGGAGTCACAGGTGGTTACTGCCAGCTAATGCTGCAATTGGTTATTAAATAGAGGTTAGTGATTTGTTTTTAAGAGGATTTTAGAAATGCACAAAGTTTGACCTCCCCCTATCTACTTGGCAGGACCGAATCAATGGTTATTGAGATGTTTTAAGTTATATTTGTGCACGTAGGTAATAGACTAAATGAAGAGTTATTGACGGTGTAAATGAAGACAATGTGTGTGGCTACTGTGATTAATTGTAATTCAATGTCGGCTCTTTCCAAGTGTACGGCTAGTCGTCTTTTTTTTTTTTTTTTTTTTTTCGTGGAGCCACTAATCTTGGCTAATATTTTGTCAATGCCAAGTCTTCTACGCCTGTTGATAACCAGAAAAACGTCTAAAATTCAGACATTACTGATACTGCAGAATTTGAAAAGATATATATTTTTTAAAATGTGATACTTTTTGATATAGCTCCTAGGAGCAAAATTCTACTCAATTAGTCTAATAATCCAGCCTCATTTATCCCCATCCCTCCCCACCAAAACAATGAATCTTGCGCTAACCAAATATCAAGGCAAGCCAGCACTAGGTGTTCTGTCCTAACTTGGTTAATACACTGACTTCAACAAGGGCATATTTTCACTTGTTATGTCCCTCATTACTGTGATCTGCACTAGGGTGCATTGCTTTAATCCCAATATGCCCTTGTTTGACTCATGGGAATATTTTTTGTAATCCATTTTTGACAAAAATAGGTGGTGGATTCTTTCATGTTTTCGCAGACCAAAGCAATATTAGTTATATCCTCTTTGATCTTGAGTTAAAAATAATAGGTGTTGGGTATTTCTGTCCATCGAGTCTTCACACACTGCGGCTTGCCTTTGATCTCCTCTTGTCCTCCATTTGGTAAATAATCATTATAACATTTCCATGCTTTAAACAAGTGTTAATATGTCTCACTTTGTAACATAAATGTTACCGAATAAAGGATATGGAATACATTCTAGATTTATTGCCTATACGAAAAGGGAGAGTATTCACTACTTTCCTCAAAGCACGGGTAACCTGTTCCTCAAGAGGTCAGTCCTTGCTGTTGCAACATGTACTTTGCATCCTCTCATTTTTTAAACCCATCTTTTAACATCTGTGAGACTGTTGAAGTAAATTAGACCCAATGACACTTTGGGTTATAATGTACAGTACACTATATACTATTGTTGTAACCCTTGACACCGTCATTGCAAAGAAATGTTGCAGCCACAACACTGACAAAGCTGATCACTTGAGCAGTCTGGAGCTCACAGAGACAAACATTGATTCTGTTGCCTTTATTTTCTCAGTACAGCCCAATACACCAGTCCTGAGTATCACAAGACAGTATAAAAACCTATTTATGGACATAAAAACTGTTGTTAAAGTAATTGGAAATGTACCAGCACAATAAATTATGACACAAAATGAAGGACATACATTAATCTGTACCATTAAGGTAGTACATGGCACACGGGCATGGTGGTGCATGGTATTACATGAGCAAGGTGATGCATAGTGGTAGATGAGCAAGGAGGTGCAGGCAGGGTGGTACACCAGCAAGCTAGTGTAATGCAGCGCTTCAGCAAGGTGGTGTGTGGTGGTACACCACAAGGTGGTACATCATCAAGCACCAGCAAGGTGGTGTGCTACTGTATGCCAGCATGGAGGCGAGTCACTGTATGCCAGCGAGGCAGTGTGTCATTGTATGCGTGGAAGGTGGTGTGTCATTGTATGCCTGGAAGGCAGTGTGTCATTGTATGCCTGGAAGGTGGTGTGTCATTGTATGCCTGGAAGGCAGTGTCACTGTATGCCTGGAAGGTGGTGTGTCACTGTATGCCTGGAAGGCAGTGTGTCACTGTATGCCTGGAAGGCGGTGTGTCACTGTATGCCTGGAAGGTGGTGTGTCATTGTATGCCTGGAAGGCGGTGTGTCACTGTATGCCTGGAAGGCGTGTGTCATTGTATGCCTGGAAGGCGGTGTGTCACTGTATACCTGGAAGGTGGTGTGTCATTGTATGCCTGGAAGGCGGTGTGTCACTGTATGCCTGGAAGGTGGTGTGTCACTGTATGCCTGGAAGGCGGTGTGTCACTGTATGCCTGGAAGGCGGTGTGTCACTGTATGCCTGGAAGGTGGTGTGTCACTGTATGCCTGGAAGGTGGTGTGTCACTGTATGCCTGGAAGGCGGTGTGTCACTGTATGCCTGGAAGGTGGTGTGTCACTGTATGCCTGGAAGGCGGTGGGTCACTGTATTGAGAAAAAAAACAGCATTTAATGTAATGAAAGGCAATTTCTGGTGAGCCTTGGAGGCTCCCTGAAGCTATCCGAACTGATGTGTGCTATATTAGTTTGGGGTCATCAGTCACAGGAGTTCTTAGGTCTACTGGCAACCACGAGTCAGAACCTGGCCCCCTCAGAGAGGTGCAGGAAGCAATGGCCTATGAACACTTTACATTCAAAGTAAAGTTTAAAGTAAAGTTTCAAAGTAAGTAAAGTTTACATTCAAAAACATCATTGCCATCAACCAGGGAAGGACCCAGAAAGACAGGCAAATCAAAACAAACCACTGGTTAACCTGTGCAATCTACATCCCAAAAGATCAAAATAACTCTCCTAGAAAGAAACCAAAGAAGCAACCCTTCATGTGACTAGCACTTCCACTCGTTAATGTTACCCCCACCCCATAGGGAAAGGGGGGGAGGAGGGGAACTGGCTCCAGTTCTTGAACGATGAAAAAATGCCAACCAGAATGAGGGAGGGTGTCAGGGAGCCTCAGGGACTCGCCCAGAAAATGGCATTTCATTACATTCAACGTTGGTTTTCTGTGAGGAGCCCTGTTGGCTCCCTGAAGCTAACTACCCGAAGATAAGTAAAAGTATATTAGCCTTGATTAGGACTGACGAAGAGCACTTAAGACTTTAATTAGTTTCTAAACCAAATTTCAGCATATCATTTTATAAGAATTAAAACTGCAAGTCTCTCTAAATTGTTAAGGAATATTCTTATCTAAGTTAATCTTAACACACAGTGCCAATCAAAAATACTGGCATCTTTTCTTGTGTTAGTATTAAAAATAATCAGTCTGACATTGCTAATATAGTATTAAAATGGCGAAAATTACTATAGGCTGTATGTAGAACACGGGACGAGTTCCTGAATCCATTATTTATGAATCTCGAAAGCTTTTATCCCTTGTTTTGATTTATAATATACTGATTAAAGTAAATCAGTATATTGCTTATTACTTATTATATTAAATTATAATATTACTGATTAAAAGTAACTAACGGAATGTAAAACATTGGAGCGCAAACTAGCAGAGCACGAGAAATTGAAATTGAAATAAGTTTATTGAGGTAAAATACACACAAAGGGATGAGGTAGCTCAAGCTATTCTCACCCCGTTCAGTACATCGTGTTAATACATACATAAACACACATCACAAGCAATAAACGTATTACCGAACATTCTGAGAGATAAAAACATATACATTAACTAGCACAGCACGAGGATATGGTCGTTAAGCACTGTGACGTCACCAATGACGTTGGGCAAGAAGGTCAGGAGCGGCCGGCGCCGCGTCAGTGTCGGGCTGACAGCCAGCAGACGTGGTTCCTTAGGCGGTGTCCCGCTTCTTACATCATTTGCAGCTATACCGGTCATCAGGTAAGGTTACAGTGGACTTTATTGGTTAATGTATTAACTCATATAAGGTGCAGGTGTCAATATTTAATTATGGTGTGACCTGGTTGTTGGCGTAGCGTAATGTGGGCTCTGTGATGCCTTTATAGGGACGGTGATATTTGGGTGGCGTATGATAGAATTGGTAAAGTTATTTACATGGAAACCTAGTTGACGTATCCAAATAATAGTATTAATAATTAACTTCGTTTAAGATTTAGCCGTACAGCATTAAGTAGCTGGTCCACAATTTTTTGTTAAATCTGCATTAGAGCGGGCAAAAAGTCTTATCTGGGCAGTACGTAAGGTGTTTTAAGTATGTGGCCCGTTTAAAATGCAATAATTGTTGGTAATGAGTAAAGGATACAATTTACTGCATAATTTTGGGGATTTGTAGCTGTTTTAGCCAGCTGTCATATTTCTTAAATTGTTAAATGGCTTGTAGGTACTGTAAGGCACTAAATGTACAGCTTATTCCTGTGGCGTAGCGTTAGTAGTTAGTGGCAGTTTATGGGTGTCTACTGTGGCTTAATGGTCACAGGGTGTTTTCACAGCCCTCCCTCCCCCCCCCAGGCTCGCAGAACTAGGCTGCTTCGATGAATCTTGATGCTTTTAAAACTTAATGGTATTAAACCCACTTTTTTTTTATTTAACAGGTGGGTGTGGATTTCTGGAATGTAACTCACGGAACCAATTTTATCCGAATTACCTTGGTTAAGACCTGGTATTTGGTAAGTTATGCAGGTTTGAATTTCTTCAGTCTTGATATCTGTAGTGTCCATTGCAGCGGGTAAACAAATTTTCAGGTACAGTAGTTCTAATAGTTTGTGGTTAGGTAGAAATTGAAAATTTATATTTTGGTATTAAATCTTCCTTCCACCCCCACTACTACTTGGGCAATTTTCCTAGTTCATGTGGTTTCTTCAGTAGTGCGAAAGTTGTATTGTAAAGCTTTCAGTAAAGTTAATATATTCAGTGGGGCCGTAATTAGTAAACGTAGAAATCTGCGTGTCTTGGATCACATTGTTTTCCCAGACGGTCAATTTTGTAAGTAATTAAGTGTTGGCATGTCGCTAATTTACGGGCTACTAGTGGACATGCCACGTCTTATGGGGTCGTAATGTTAATCAGTCATGGTATCTGTAGTAACTAGAATGCGTGGTAATATTGTTTGGAATGGCAACTTAAAAGCTATTAGGATGAATGTATCAAACAAATTAAGAATTTAAATTTATTGCAAAAGGTTTAGTACTAAAGTTTGTACCCTGGTGTTGCCCTATATATCAAAGATTACAAAGACACGAGGGTATACAATATTATACAGAAATTATAATTTGAACAGAAATAACCTTGAGACTTTTTCATAAATTTATTTGATACTTTATAAATCATTGTAATGGTATATATAACTTAATGTTTGTTTTTCTAGGGTCTGGCTCGACAATGGCCACGAGTCTTCTTGAGAAATAACTTGGTGAACGGAGGACTAGTCAGTCACACAAGGCACGGAACTAGTTCTGGCGTGACGTAGCTGCAAGTCTCGGTAGAGGTGGTTGGACGGTGTTGAACACGGCGGCTGGCAACGTTGCAGGAATATCTGAAAGAAAAGGAAAGTTAAAACGTTCAGTTAATATTTATAATTAGCAGGAAACTGAAGATATTCTGTAGAATTATAGAAAGAGCGTCTGTGGGACATTAGTTAGTATTAACTAGTTTACTTGTTCTAGTTGAGACTTGGGTTTAGGAGGCAGTAAAAATGCCAGTTAAAATATAGAAATGGAATAGGCTACCATAATTAGTAGGGAAATATCAGAAGAGCTTTGAAGAAGCATGATTAAAAGATTGTGTAAAGGATGAATGGTACAAGTGTTCATGACGTTGTAGTTGGGAGGACCTAATAGTGATCGGTAAAAATAGTCTAGGGCATTATGAAGGTAACAGGGGAGGGGGGGATGACGAAAACGGCAAGGTGTTGCTTCTACACTAGAAATTGCAACTAGAAATATTGAACGGAGAGTTTGCAAGAATACTGGTTTCATACTGGTTAGTGTAAATGTTAGGAAGAATGAAGGAATGTACATATTCTTCAGTTGACTTTAACGTAAGTGTTTAGCAGTTTTAATGTCAAATGGTATAAATTGGTATTCAATGAAGTATGGTTGACGGGCCATTTTGTTAGTGAAAACGTGTAAAAGTAATGTAAAGGGAGGAAACGTGACTCTATTAACGATAACTTTTACAACATCGTAGATTTGTGGTAGAATGGTGGTTAGAGAATAGTTTGTAGTAGGAAATAGTTTGGTGTGTAGTTACTCTAGCTAGTGTTGGAAGGACAAGTAGAGAAACGTGAATATTGAAATTAATGCAAACATTTTAACTTTACAGACGCAGTATAGAAAATGGATGAAGACGGGTGGGTGTAGCAGTAAGGCCGGTGAAGCATAGACTGCAAAATTGGGAAGCAAGATGCAAAATAAGTTTTAAATCTGTATTGTGTACTTTGAAACTGTTCTTAGAAGTATAGAATCTGTTCCCCTCTTATGTTTAATATCTGGTGTATGGTGTTATGGCTATTGTTCGGCTGGTTTTCTACATTAACAAATGTGGGTCCGATAAATGTTCGTATTGGAATAAATCTCTTTAATTATACACGTTAATGTTTACAGCTGTTTGTGAATTCTTTAACGGCTGGCTATGCACAGTTTGTCTACAATGCCATGTTTATTGTTGTAATATTGCCTAGGCCCAGCGCATGTGACAGTGGCTAGAATTTAAAAGGTTTGTTAATAAAGTGTTCATATTGGATAAGTGTATGAAAATGTCCCAAATGGCTTTAGTCCTCTTGATGTAAAAGTTTAACCACGAAGTGTTATTGTCAATGTTAAAATGGTTGTTCCTAAGGGTTTAAAATGGTGTTGACTGATCACCTTGTTCCTCAAGAGCATTTTGGTGAAACAGGCTGTACACAGAATGATGCAAATTGGTTTATAGGGAATATTTTTGTAAACTGTAATCCTCACCTAGGTGGTGGTAAATACTTGGTATTAATAGATGCAATCTTGTGGAATATAATAAATGAGCAACATGAACCTTAGTGTCTTGTTTTACTTTGACATTACTTATTTATCAATGTAAAGAAACGTGACGTGTTTTTTCTAACTTTGTTACATTTTTCTTAGGTCAGTTGTACATAAGTTTTCTAACCATATTTATTGCCGTTTACTTGGTTTAAAATTCATCGTATTCGTCTGTTTCTTGTCAAATGTTGGTGCTTTTAATGTCGGTGTCTCCCTTGGTGTGTGGTATAGGTGTGATAATGATAGCATCAGTGAAACGTTATCTAACTACGTATGTGCATCTTGGAAAGAGTGAAACAAAATTGGGGGAGGAGGGGGGAGTGAAAAGCGCAGATGTGTAAACGTTGAAGGGGTTGAATACATGGCACATTGTCGTGAAGTCAGCCTGATAGTGTCCTTAACGTAAATTAAGGTTTTCACAGTAGCAGTAAGTGAAGAGTAATAAGAACTTTCACTCCATGCGACGAAGACGACTCAAAATTTACAAGAATTCTGCGTCGCAGAATTCAAGAGTTAAGAGAATGGGGGAGTATGGGGGGATAGTGGGGGAGAGTAGGGGAATATGGAGGATACTGCACGAGTGGGGGAGAGTGGGGGATAATGCAGGAGTAGGGGAGTAAGGGGGAGAGTAGGAGTATGCGGGAGAGTGGGGAGTATGGGGGAAGAGTAGTCTGTCGTGTTTTATTTTTCAAATTTCTTGTGATTTGAGGCGAATTTCTTGTGAATTTTGTGCTATCTTCATCGTATGTAGTGAAATGTCGTCGTTTGTCGTTGTGTCGTCGTCTGTCGTGTTGTGTCGTCGTCTGTCGTTTTATTTTTCCAAAATTTGTGATTTGAGGCGAATTTCTTGTGAATTTTGTTCTATCTTCGTCGTATGTTGTGAAATGTCGTCGTTTGTCGTGTTGTCGTCGTCTGTCGTGTTGTCGTCTGTCGTGTTTTATTTTTCCAAAATTTCTTGTGAATTTTGTGCTATCTTCGTCGTATGTAGTGAAATGTCGTCGTTTGTCGTTGTGTCGTCGTCTGTCGTGTGTCGTTTTATTTTTCCAAAATTTCTTGTGAATTTTGTGCTATCTTCGTCGTATGTAGTGAAATGTCGTCGTTTGTCGTGTTGTGTCGTCGTCTGTCGTGTTGTGTCGTCGTCTGTCGTGTTGTGTCGTTTTATTTTTCCAAAATTTCTTGTGAATTTTGTGCTATCTTCGTCGTATGTAGTGAAATGTCGTCGTTTGTCGTGTGGTGTCGTCGTCTGTCGTTTTATTTTTCCAAAATTTCTTGTGATTTGAGGCGAATTTCTTGTGAATTTTGTGCTATCTTCGTCGTATGTAGTGAAATGTCGTCGTTTGTCGTGTGTGTCGTCGTCTGTCGTGTTGTCGTCGTGTCGTGTTTGTCGTTTTATTTTTCCAAAATTTCTTGTGAATTTTGTGCTATCTTCGTCGTATGTAGTGAAATGTCGTCGTTTGTCGTGTGTCGTGTCGTGTTGTGTCGTCGTCGTCTGTCGTGTTGTGTCGTTTTATTTTTCCAAAATTTCTTGTGAATTTTGTGCCATCTTCGTCGTATGTAGTGAAATGTCGTCGTTTGTCGTGTTGTGTCGTCGTCTGTCGTGTTGTCGTCGTCTGTCGTGTTGTGTCGTGTTGTGTCGTTTTATTTTTCCAAAATTTCTTGTGAATTTTGTGCTATCTTCGTCGTATGTAGTGAAATGTCGTCGTTTGTCGTGTTGTGTCGTCGTGTGTCGTTTTATTTTTCCAAAATTTCTTGTGAATTTTGTGCCATCTTCGTCGTATGTAGTGAAATGTCGTCGTTTGTCGTGTTGTGTCGTCGTTTGTCGTGTTGTGTCGTCGTCTGTCGTTTTATTTTTCCAAAATTTCTTGTGATTTGAGGCGAATTTCTTGTGAATTTTGTGCTATCTTCGTCGTATGTAGTGAAATGTCGTCGTTTGTCGTGTTGTGTCGTCGTCTGTCGTGTTGTGTCGTCGTCTGTCGTGTTGTGTCGTTTTATTTTTCCAAATTTTCTTGTGATTTGAGGCGAATTTCTTGTGAATTTTGTGCTATCTTCGTCGTATGTAGTGAAATGTCGTCGTCTGTCGTGTTGTGTCGTTTTATTTTTCCAAAATTTCTTGTGAATTTTGTGCCATCTTCGTCGTATGTAGTGAAATGTCGTCGTTTGTCGTGTTGTGTCGTCGTTTGTCGTGTTGTGTCGTCGTCTGTCGTTTTATTTTTCCAAAATTTCTTGTGATTTGAGGCGAATTTCTTGTGAATTTTGTGCTATCTTCGTCGTATGTAGTGAAATGTCGTCGTTTGTCGTGTTGTGTCGTCGTTTGTCGTGTTGTGTCGTCGTCTGTCGTTGTGTCGTTTTATTTTTCCAAATTTTCTTGTGATTTGAGGCGAATTTCTTGTGAATTTTGTGCTATCTTCGTCGTATGTAGTGAAATGTCGTCGTCTGTCGTGTTGTGTCGTCGTCTGTCGTGTTGTGTCGTTTTATTTTTCCAAATTTTCTTGTGATTTGAGGCGAATTTCTTGTGAATTTTGTGCTATCTTCGTCGTATGTAGTGAAATGTCGTCGTTTGTCGTGTTGTGTCGTCGTTTGTCGTGTTGTGTCGTCGTCTGTCGTGTTGTGTCGTTTTATTTTTCCAAAATTTCTTGTGAATTTTGTGCTATCTTCGTCGTATGTAGTGAAATGTCGTCGTTTGTCGTGTTGTGTCGTCGTCTGTCGTGTTGTGTCGTCGTCTGTCGTGTTGTGTCGTTTTATTTTTCCAAATTTTCTTGTGATTTGAGGCGAATTTCTTGTGAATTTTGTGCTATCTTCGTCGTATGTAGTGAAATGTCGTCGTTTGTCGTGTTGTGTCGTCGTTTGTCGTGTTGTGTCGTCGTCTGTCGTGTTGTGTCGTCGTCTGTCGTGTTGTGTCTTTATTTTTCCAAAATTTCTTGTGAATTTTGTGCTATCTTCGTCGTATGTAGTGAAATGTCGTCGTTTGTCGTGTTGTGTCGTCGTCTGTCGTGTTGTGTCGTCGTCTGTCGTGTTGTGTCGTCGTCTGTCGTGTTGTGTCGTTTTATTTTTCCAAATTTTCTTGTGATTTGAGGCGAATTTCTTGTGAATTTTGTGCTATCTTCGTCGTATGTAGTGAAATGTCGTCGTTTGTCGTGTTGTGTCGTCGTTTGTCGTGTTGTGTCGTCGTCTGTCGTGTTGTGTCGTCGTCTGTCGTGTTGTGTCGTTTTATTTTTCCAAAATTTCTTGTGAATTTTGTGCTATCTTCGTCGTATGTAGTGAAATGTCGTCGTTTGTCGTGTTGTGTCGTCGTCTGTCGTGTTGTGTCGTCGTCTGTCGTGTTGTGTCGTCGTCTGTCGTGTTGTGTCGTCGTCTGTCGTGTTGTGTCGTTTTATTTTTCCAAATTTTCTTGTGATTTGAGGCGAATTTCTTGTGAATTTTGTGCTATCTTCGTCGTATGTAGTGAAATGTCGTCGTTTGTCGTGTTGTGTCGTCGTTTGTCGTGTTGTGTCGTCGTCTGTCGTGTTGTGTCGTCGTCTGTCGTGTTGTGTC